CTACAATTCATGGAAAGCAGTGCGCAGCGCACACACGCCCACATGATTATGATAGACTGGCAACTTGCGGTCCAGGCTGTTCAAGGACTCCCTAATACCATTTCCTGAACTTGCTGTTTCATGCTGCTGCTAGCCTTGTCGCGTAAACGGGTCTCGCGTTCAGCGTGGCGTGCACTATAATATATCAGAAATGCCATTTTTTGAAAGAGGTGTGTTTCAAAATATTGTAACGACTTGACGTTTGGATGATATCAACACACCCTCTCCTTTTCTTCAACGATGCTGATGCTCGGCAGAAAAGAAAAGGGGATGTTTTGCTCGCACAAGGCACCATAAGGTCCAGCCTACGATTTTCACATGAGAGACTCCCAGCACTCCGTCTCCCAAGTAGACATCGATTTTCACGCAATTATCAGTTGCCGATCCTCCAAGCCCGCAATGATGGATGTGGACAGCTTGAACTAAACTGCCAAGGGCAGACTATAGAGCAGCATGGCTGTTTTCAGCATAGTATGCGCGTCATCCTAGAACTACTATTATCGATACAGGCTGCTTCTTCAGGTTGATAGTGTTGTTTGGTTTGCTCATTACATCATCCACCTCCCTTATCAATAGCGACACAAAGCCAATCAGACGTGGTGTTTACTTCCTCGGCGTGTGTACGGGTGATGTATGATACATGTGAAAAAAAACAAAGCAAAACAAAAAACAGGTTTCGGGCTGGTACCCTCCGAATAATTTTTTTCCTTTCGATTATTTTTGCGAACGAACTACGCGAAGATAGAAACAAAAAAAAAATAGGTGAAAAACGCTTACCAAAGTGTGGTAAAGCGCGTTGTAATAGTGTTACATACTGTCGCTACGATACAGAAGATCTGTCATTGTTCCCCGCGTTGTTAGCACGGACCTGTGGATGGGAGTGGGGGTATTTTTTTTTTTTCAAAAGAAGCGGGGTCTTGAACGTGTGCATGAAAAGGCACCCATTTTCCGCAGCGTGCTGCTTCCTCGCTTTTTCTCTATCACATGTGGTAAGTCCCTTCCTTTTTTTTCAGTGTGTGTGAGTGTGAGTGAGGGTAGGTAAGCGCAAGGTGGGTGCTGATGCTTGTTTTGTAGGCACGGGGCGACTTCTAAGTAGGTAAGTGGATTGGTGAGACCGCTGGCATCTCAATGCCGATCGGACCCTCCGAGATCCATAAAGCGACCAAGACAGAACCCAGCTTTGTGGTAGAGGGTTCGGGAGCAGATGCCGATGCACCTTCCCGGAAAGCTAAGACATCGACACTCTCGTTTTTGGACGAGCCTCTTTAGGAATTTGACCAAATTAAATAAAGGCCTTGTTGTTGTTGTCCCCCGTCTATCAAACATGTGCTGTTTGTTATTGTGTTTTACGCGTATTGTATGTAGTCAAGCTACTACTTTAATTAATGCTGCATATTAGCTATCTTACCTCACCCAAGCTACACGTATCTTTACGATCTTCTACGTTTTGAGACCCAAAGCAATATTTTAAAGGTTTGATAGCCTGTGAAAAGAAGAAGGTCTGACAACGTTGAAATTCTTAATGATGCGCGCTATACCTCTAGTCAAGAGTGTCGTATGGCAGATTCGTTACATCTCTTCAAGATAAGACCCTTAATACATAGCTCTAAACAATACACGTCCAAAAAGTCGAGCGTAGACAACCATTTGCAATTAATCTGTGTGATCATGTCTATTCGATCTTTAACGCAAATACAATTCGATCAATCCAAAGTTTCTTCCGATTTAGCCACCATAAACAGCTCCGCGGGTATGTGCACAGATATTGTTGATAGATGCTGTGGGCTGCGCGTTCCATGACGATCCAATTGAGCCAGTTTCCTCTGTTTATGCCTGTTAATTAATAAACATAACGTGACAGTAGCAACACATACAACTTATTATTATTGCTTGCTTGGTCTTAATAATTATGAAAAGCCAAGATCTTGGGTTGCACATCGGCAGCACGACAATTTCTTCCTTGACATATATAGAGGAAAATATAGCATAACAAACAGTTTGCGTGAGAAATCAATTCAAAAGTCTTTCACACACTCGTTTGGTATGGTATCGGTCGAGAGATTGACCACAACATCAATTTACTGGTCCCAGTCTTGTCGGTACTGTATTATCCCTGGCGATAAGATTTCGTTTTAACCCTTCCCTACTCTTTCGCTAGGCACATTAGCACAGTTTATATAGTTTAAGCATTAATCGCATAAGATGGATGTACAGTAGTTTTCCACCAGGGTATGTAAAAGTAGTCATTCTTACTACAGTTGTTTGGTACTAAGTCTTAGTTGTAAGTCAAGAAATCTCTCGGCGTATGATACGAGCTTTTTTAAGTGTGCGTTGTCAACTTGGAAGATCTTTTGGAAACACACCCGTATTCTTTCTTCTTATCTCCCCTGAGTATGATATGTATATGTCCGGCCGCTCCCTCGAATTGCATCTCTGACTATGGAAAATATGTTGGTCGACTGAATTTCTCTGTTCTTTATGACTGACCATTGTACCATAATCGCACAGCAGAAAATAAATAACTACTACTGACACAAACATAGTAAGCACAAAACATGACTTATACCGAAAACGATCGTATTTACCCAGAATTGCAGGAACACTCTTGATCGCCGCAATCTTATCGGACTCTAATTTGTACACACATCTTTATGCTTTTTCTTTTTTTTTAGTTGCACAAAAACTCTGGCCTTGGTTTGGAAGAATATCATGCTCATAAGGTCTTGACAGACTACTGTATCTAGAAAAAAATGGATTCACTGTGACCCAAAAAGCGCTCGAATTGGATACGGTATTCATGGCCAAGTATACCAATGGTTTCGGCTTACGTGTTGGCTTATATAAACGTGGTCCCCTCGTACAACTCGCTTCTTAGGAATTTACAAATTGCAGTTATCTATAGGTAGCTGTGTAGTAGTCGCTTTTAATTAAGGGAGGAAACAGAATACATTCTGTTGTTATTCAGGTTTTACACAGACATGGAAGCTGAAAGTTCTTCTATGGCTATCTCCAGATAATGCGTGAATACTTATGCACAGATGTAATAGTAATAATATGCGGAAAAATGAATCCACACATGTCCATAGAGAACCAAGAACTATACTATATATACTCGAACCATCAGGCAGGGCGACGAAATGTTTACCCGAGCCAGTAAATTTAAATCGATCAGTTTCTTTCGAACCACCCGCATATTCAACCCCATTTTGTATTCTCCAGGGCCGTCACAGCCCAGTCAAATGGGCTTATGCACTGGCTCTCCCATAACCACTTTAGGACTGTCGCTTTGAGGCCAAGGAAGCTAACCATTTTTAATACGTCCGAAACTGAATGAGCTCACGGACGCACTTGCCCAGACATCAGACCAACCGCCCAACTATCTGGCAGTCCTGGTTGGCGCTAATCCGCCTCATCAGGGAAATTTAAGTCATCCAGTTGGCGGCTATAACGACGAATCAGCTCCAGAAGAAGCACTGCAGCTACCAGCCTCACCACCTACTCCAACACAGCATATACACTCAATCTCTTTCTTCGCAATTTAAGCTTATAGTATTATTCTATATTAGCATAACGTTTCTCTTGTGGGGTTTATTTTTTCATTTATTGCATCATGTCTTCATATACCAATATTTCTCCTCCAAAAATGTATGATATCTCAAAGAAGTGACCACATGCCCAGAGGCGCAGGTCCATATAGCTTCCATAAAAAAGCATTAACTTTAGCTTATTCGTTGTACCTCAATATATACTGGGCTTTATTAAAATTACATGTATTTAATAGAGAGTACAGACAATGAATTTGCAGTAAGACAGGTACCGTGAAAAATACCAAGTGGATTGTCGCCGCTGTTAGAGGGATTTAATAATAAAAAAAAGGCACAGCTGCATATAGCTTCTCCTACATAGGATGCTAACTTAACATGTACATAATATGAAAATCGATACTGACGATTATTTATCGCCGTATTATTAATAAGCTTGAAACCAACCTGCTGCCCCCCATACTGTCAAGTATATATTTGACGTTGATGATGGTAATAAATTTTAGCAGAGAGTACTTATTCATGCTACAATGATATAGATTTATAGATCATGAGTCAAAAAAAGTCTATTACATCAACCTGTTTTACACTTGCTTAGGAACCGGGTTTTGGTTAAGCGATGACTTCCCCTTGAAATTTTTTTCGGTCGGATGTTTCGTGTATGCATGCATGGCGCGCTGTTCGTGGGAGAAGTAGCATCATAACACTACATAAAGATGTGCATGCAAAAAAAAATGTTCATATCCGCTGTATATGATACATGGAAAACGAGTAGCCTATCGCTTTGTTTGATTTTATAGGGCAACCTTAATGCCGACGATCCTGTTTATACGAGCAGAACAATGAGTCCATTGGGTTACTTTTTCTCTTTTCCCATTATTTGTGCTGATGATATGAAGAATTTTGAGAAATTGATGAGAGGAGTTTCTTCGCCGATCCTATCCCGTGATTCGTATATTCCCGCCCCCGAGTTTTACCAATTTTAGTATTGTTTACATCCAGACAAAAAAGCTACTACAGTCTAGTAGGGATTCTTTATGCTTTAATTCAATGAGAAGAAAGAAAGAGAGTTACAGTGACAAACATGTTTGATCTTCGCAGAGCTAAAGTCAGCCAACAAGTTTTCTTTGTAGTAACTGTGAGAGAAAGAAAACACTCATTCCTCGATAATCATACTAGCATATACCAATAATAGTGCTTAAAGTGCAAGTGGGAAAAAAAGGGGTTATCATACTAAATCGTAGAATATAGCGTATCATTGTAGTGCTCGAAAATTAGGCTTTTTCCCTTCTGCAAATAATGCGTTACTATATTGGAAAAAACTAGTACCTAGTAGCTGCTTGGTTTGGAAAGTGATACTTGGACAGCTGAGCAAATAGACAGTCAGCGCTGGTCACCACCAACAGACGAGAGTAAAGTCCGGGGCTCAGCATCCAGATCAAAATTAATTGCCAAGAAGCAAAGAGAAGCAGCTATAGAGGACCTGCTGCGCTAACACAGGAAACAATAGTGATTGTCTAAAAAGATATATGAACAGATTCTTTATGTATATCCACTCTTCGAAAAAGATGATGATGAGTGAAATGAGGTAGAGCACAGGAAAGATAGAGTGCACAGTATAATGAGAGTATACTAATATGTACAACGTGGTAGTGATGGCGCGTGTTTTGTAAATGTTTCTATATATACAATATATGGTAGTGTGTATCTAAAGTGTAGAGAAAAAAAATAAGGGATAACGATCGCCATCATCTTTGAGCTGCTCGTGCAACGCGCGCCTGGTATCGTCTGGACCTAGCGGCCGTAGCGGCAGCAACAGCCGAGGGCAAGATGGCCACAGACAATGCGACCTGCGGTCGTGGCGTGTCGAATTCTTCGTCCTCGTCCTCATCTTCTTCCAAAGACGTGTCGCTACTGTCGTCGCGTAACAGCTCCGAAATGTCGTCAAAATGGCTGCTTCGAACTGTTGCTAGTGTACTTTGGCTCAATGCGCTTCCAAGAGGCCTAGCAGCTTCGGCTTTGGTTTTCTTCGGCCGTGGAGGCGGCTTCAAGGATGGCAACCGACTGAGCTCATGGACAATAGCACGTTCGTCGTTTTCAAAGAAATCGGTACGATCCGCTTGTTCTTCTTGGATCGCGGTCACGATGGTGGCAGTGGTGGGTTGGTGCCTCGTAAAAAGAGATGATGATGCTGTTACTTTTGCGGATGGTGAGGGTGGTGGCAGCGGTGAAGATGTTGTGGCGGAGATGGGGCGGTCCGTTTCGGGATTGCATGGAAACAACAGCCGATTGAGCTGCTGTGTAAACCGCTTTTTGAATGTGAGCTTCATGTGGGATGATCTGCTGTTTGCAGGATAAATGGTGTAAGCCGATCGTGGTCGCAAAGTGTGCTGTGATGAAGGAGGATTATGGACCAGCATAGTGTTTCTCTGTGGAGGCTAAAGAGGATGAAAGGAGATGTGCAAAGAGAAATGAGAGGAAAGTGAAGAAGAAGAAGAAGAAGAAAAAGCAGACGAAATGCAACGGGTCAGCTAAATATAAATATTTGTGGATTCCACCAGTCCAAAGATGGGAGGCGGTGGTGGTGCGCGCCTGCACACTCTTGCACACTCAATCTTGCAGCAGCGGCAACAGCCTTCCACCAGACACACTGCATAAATGCTATCCTGCACAGCCCATCAAATGGATAGCCAAGCCTACAACGCATGCATACACACAATTCTACTGCGTGTAAGTCAGATGGAATTACCTTTACCACTGTAGGGGATACTACTCCCCCTCTCTGCTGAACAAGCCCCTGGTTGGCCAAGCTTCTTCTTCTTCAAGATGCTATTGTGATCCAACAGTCTATTTGAATTTTGCTGCTCCCCTGAATATAGAAGCATCGCCTTAATAACCGTATTTAACATATTTGGACACTCTCCACCCGCCGCAGTTGGCGTCCAAAACGGGAAACCGTGGCGCCGGCTGTCGTCGGGTAGCCCCAAGCGCCCCACACTGCTGTTTGTGTTACTTTATAGGAAGCTTACCACCGGGTATCAACAAAGAAATGTCCACTAGAGGTGCTGCCCAGTATTATACCCTTGGCTTCTTTACCCCCTCCCTCTTCCCCCTTATGCTTTGTTGCAGTAGTGGCCAGGAAGTAAAAGGCAATAAACCACACTATATTGTCTCTCGCACGCTCTCCATCAGCAACCCCAATTGGCAACGGAACCGGGGCGTTCAGGGGGAGGGGTTATTTTACGATTATTTTGAAAAGAAGACATATGGATGCTGTTGCCTTTACGCCCGGCATCCTCTAATTAACTTACATTCATGCAGCTCTGGGAAAGTGTTTCATGCCATGTGAAAAGTTAGAGGGCGATATTGTGGATCACTTTTAAAGATGCCTGCGTTATTGTTTATTTTAAAACAAGGTAAAAAAATTACAAATGTTCTGCTTCTTTCTACAAGTTTACATATAATTAATTAGCGAACCCTTCTTTTCCATCCGTCAAGGCAGCAAAGAGCACCTATCACGGCAACGATGGAAGAGAAAGGTGCAAGTGGGTGTTGTAAATGTGGGGCGTTTGGAGGAAGGGATGATGATTGCAAGTGCTACTGCTATGAGGATGAAGGTAGTGGTGATGATGACGATGCGTCTACTGCTACTAGTGGATGGCTATGGTGGCTGTGATGACTGTGATGAAGATTGTGATGATGATAAGGCTCAACAAAAAGCGGGAGCACGCTCGTGGCTTCGGAATGAGCCGAGGCAGGTACGGGAACGGTGATGTCTCGCTTGCAGATGGGGCACTAATAGAACGAGTGTTCAGTGCAAGATCTGACGGGGGGCCTAAAGGGTGGATAGTACTTACAAATTTCTTCTGAGTGGTTAACCACGCGTCCACGCAAAATGTATGAAATGTGTGGTGGCATGGTAGCACGCGCAGCTTCTCCCCGTCCATGTAATCCTCGAGACAGATAGCGCATTCTTCTGCGTCGTTCTCGCCCATCTTCTCGCGCAAGAAGCGCCTGACAGCAAGTCTGGAGACAACATGGACAGGAGCCAAATCCTGCTTTAGCTTTTGACGTTGTCGCAGTTTGAAGGAAATGTACAGAAATGTCATGACAATGCTTGGTGAGACAAAGATCAGGATGACAAGATGCATCAACGGCCTATTTTTGTAGCAGCCCGTCCCATATAAACGCGTGAGTTTCTCACCATTAATGCATTCTATGCGCCTTTCTTTCTTTCTTTCTTTCTTTCTTACTCCTCTTACCATTCGAGCCAGTTGTCAATCTGCAGTAACAGCACCATCATGGGCGTGTCGACAAAGTTGGAGAGATATCGCAGCGCTTGGTACTCTCGCTGTGCCAAAAAGACACTTGGAATATAGATGTCTGATGTGTCTCCTATTTTTATAGGGTAATATTAGAAGCAGTTACACATACACAGAGTGCAACCTTGTTTCTTTCTTTTTTTTTCCCGGATTTTTCTTTCTTTGTCAAATGTATTCCATTCGTTGTTTACCTGGAGCGTACATGGTCACCCAGCCAGCTTGGTCAGGATCACCTACGGCGACAGCAATTGCTCCGCTCTTCTGCATGTTGCGCACTTTGGAAACAAACGAACATCCGCCTCGTCGAACAAGCGCAACCCAATCTTCACAGGGAGGTTGGACTACTTGGCAGCCAGTGGGGTCTTCGAAAGGCTCCATCAGGTACCCTAGCTTGCCCTGGCTTGCGCTCAACGAAGGGCCGAATGCTGCTAGTCGATCGGGAAACGTCTCGTTTGTTGCCTAGCAAACAAATGAAGATATGCTTTCTGAGTTATTATCATCGTGGAAACCCGGGAGAGAGAGATAATGGGCAACAAGTAATATGCTGTTACCAAGACGACAACGGTAGCCGTAGCAGCATGTGGTGATAATGCAAGAAACAATAGTAGCGTCGTCGTACAGTACAAAAATCGGCATTTTGCTGATAGGCGTTTGGTCATGATTTCGATGATATAGCGAACGACACTACTGCAAGGGAAAAGCTGGATGAACGAAAGAGACAAGTGGTGCAGCCGCCAGCAGCTACAGAGCGAAGTTGGTAGAAGAGACAAGGAAAGTAAGAAAGAAGGAAAGAAAGAATAGTAGTAAGTAATAATGATGATGGTAATAATAAAAGAGGGAGGTGAAAGGCAGAGAGGGATCGTGGAAAAAAGAAGGGAGCTTGAAAATTGGACGAGGGAAAAAGCGTTTCGTATAAAGCAAGCAAACATTGGCCGAGTTTATTCCTCGGCCTTTTGCAACTGTCGTTGAAATTCAACCAAACACTTAGCGCACCTCCCCCTCCTTTTTTTCTTCTCGCTTTGCAATTTACATCATGATTGATTACTCACCACCGCAGCAGCCCCCTGAACTCAATGCAAGTACCCGAAAGGCGTTGAGATGAATACGTGTCTCTCTCTCTCTCTCTCACTTGTTTACTACATGCGTACAGAAATGCAAAATATAAAATGATGAAAAGAACAGTATGTGTCTTGTGACGTCTAATAGGGTGGTGTACAAATAATAAGAAGAGAGAAAGGGAGGGCTTAAGAGCGTCGTCTCTTGAGAAGACAGTAGTCGGCCCATACTAGACCTTTGGAGCCGGGGACATAAAACGCACGTGAGAGCTGATTAGAGTTGACTGCATCCAGCATGGGTGCACAATCCACAACCTCCCAGGTCTTTTCGTCTTGGATGTATCGAGGCTCACGAGTGGAAATGGGTCGCAATGGGTAATCGGCATCCACGAGATAATCGCATTTATCAAGGTCAAACTGAAATTTTCCAGAAACCATCAGTAAATAAACGACAAAAAAGGTTGACAAACAGACAGATAAACACAAACAAGCATATTGCAACTTACATAAGCATCAGAGTCTGCCTTGTTGTAGCTGTTGAAACCAGGCTGAACGGTACGCGCTCCCTTGAACGAATACTCACGTCCACGATATGTCATCACCTCTCCGTTTTCCTCGTACGTCACAGTCTTGACATCGGGCACAAAGTGCTTGGGGAGCATGCCGTCAAAGTCACTCTTGATGAATTGTAAGCGCATGTCGCTTGGCAAAAAGTAGCTACCAGGGAATCGGTACCATTCCTTTCCGACGCACAAATTGATCTCGCCAACGGTCGCATCGTTGAGATAGTTTTCTTGGAGATAGTTGAGGTTGATGAGCTGGTCGGCTGGACGTTCCTGCCACAGAGTGCTGTAAACTTGGGCAGGCGCACGATACCGGGTTGTAACGGCAATGATACGAGATACAGAAATGACACTGTACACAGCCAATACAGCAAAAGCAAGATAGCGTACAATGTTGGCACGCACAAGAACCTGATTTCAGAAATGTTGCCAGTGTCAGAATACAATTGGACACGCAGAAAATGATCATGCACGCAATGATAACTTACGCTTGCTCCAAATGCTCGGGCCGTCCTGCTCACCCATCCACGTGCCAAAAAGAGAGAAATAGCGGCATTCAGAACAATGAAGGGGTAAGCGACATACAGGAAGCGCTCCTCTTTGTGAGGTTGCAACGTGAAGATAGTGAACCAAATGTAGAAGGGCAAGAGCTTCGTACCCAATTGGATATAAGGCCACATTTTATCCATCGTGGTTGATCCTGGTACACGTTCGCGATCAACAAATGCTGCAATAGCCTATATGGCATCGTTATTAACAAAATCAGTATTGTTCTCTACTGCCAACAACAAATCAAACAGATCTTACCGCGAAAGGTGCAGATGCTAACGCCAGCAAGAATAAGATGTTATAGCTCAAAAATCCGTTCACAATGTAATAATACCATGGCTCAGTACCAAAGATGTCGGGGCCTTGGTTAGCTCCTCCAAACACATTGTAAAGAACAATGTTGAGCGGAACAAACATAAGTCGTCGATAAAAGAAATAGTCAACCAGGACGACTGGCACGGAGATGCCAGCGGCACAGACGGCAACAGCCTTTGCCAGACGAATAACGCGCTGCAGTCGCCAGTTAGGGGGTCTGATGATTTGAACCACTCGACCTTGCCTATCCACAGCACCGTCATGGCCGTAAACCATAATCTCGTCAACTACAAATGGGATGCTAATAGCGGCGCTGAATGGCCATCCAATAAGTGCGCCCAAGCCGATACATAGAACAACACGATACGTCCGCTTGCTGGTGATTTGGTTTGGTGGTCGAAGAGCGTACGAGAAAGCCAAAAACGTCGTCCACATTGCAAACGAGGATGGCAAGAAAGCTAACGTCAAAAAGATGAAGATGTTCAGTGCATCTATCTTTCTCACTCTTAGAGTCTCGTGTTTGAATCTCTTCTTTACCTGTCGATGCATTAAACATGCCAGCGCTAAAAAACAAACCGACAAACACATAGCGACCGACATGTGGATTGATCTCTTCAGTGACTGTACGGTAGAATCGAGCTTCAACAAAGGCAGAAATTGCAGCAAACGCCAAACGCAACAGATAAAACACTTGCATCTAATTCCATTCAACTTGGTCAACAACAACAACAACTATTCCTCAAAGGCTACCCATCGTATTTTTTTTTCGCTTACCTTGTGTGTAGCCAAGATACTGACAGCAGTTGCCACAATACTGTGCACAAGAATATAAGCCCAGCTTCGAATGCCAAACTCTGGGGAGTATTCCCACGTCTCCATGCCAGTACCGTGCTGAAGGTAATGAAGCGGCTCCCAATAGTTGAAGACTTCATCGCAATCTTGGATAACACCAAACAGAGCCGATGTGATGCGCGCAATCAACAAAATTCTGAATGCCGAGTTGAATGAGAACGAAAAGGTACCGGCTTCCGTCAACAGATCGCGTGCAGCTCTGTATATTGAAGATGTAGTTTCGACGGTACATTTGAACGTATGTTTAGAATCGATTGGCGCGGTCAGAGCTTCAAATAAAATATATATATATATATATATACCTTGCAGCTTGAACGTTCGGATTTCCAGCGGAAGCTAATGATGGTTTGGCAGCCTCAGCTTTTTTGGCCCCTTTGCTCGTTTTTTTGTTGGACCTCGAGCGTAGCTCTTGGTTTGTTGGCATTGCGTGTGGGGAGGGATTCGGCGGGAAGGCAGGAAAGTGCGGAAGGACTGACTATAAGCAAAGAGTTTCTGAAAAAATAAAAAAGGCGTGAAGTGCGGCGTTTTTTTTTTTTTGCATAGCAATTTAATAAACGTGGTGACGCGTGGCGGGTTCATGTTCCCCCGGCTGATTTTTTAGATCAAGCAAGAGCTCGTTCGCCACATACAATGTGGTTCGTGGAAAGAACGATAGCTGGCGCTTATAAGGAAGATCTGCAACAGGACGATAATCAGCTACAGTGTCTCCTATTTTATTTTTATAATTCTTATCTTCTCTAATACTTCCTCCGATAGATGAACGTACTGGCCAGCACACGCGACTTATACCTCCTATATAGGGTGGAATTCGGCAACCGTTCGCGGGCGATCCTTTCGTCAAGTCTCTATTATCTCGCTCTTAAAGTTGTTACTGAATGATTATTTTCTCAAGATGCTATGCTGATCTACTACTTTGTTCACAACATGCTTCATGAAATCATGGTAATACTGATAGCGGCTAATCCTAGCACAATGTAGAAAGTATGATAACAAACATACAGATCGTGGCGAGCAGACTCAGTTAAATAAGCGTTTGGTAGGATGCGTTCTAAGCAGAACCTTTTCCTGGTATGAGACCTGAAGGATCAGTAAAAATACCAACTTTTTTGCACAGTGGGAATAATTACATGGGGTTATAATTGATATGATTGAAGTTTTAAGGAAAGCCACAGCTCTACATACTGCAGCCGTCATAACAATATACTTATAAAAAAGGAGCTGTTTTTGTAATGGTTGACTGCGTAGTAAACCCATAACCGATAGTACTGAATACAGTATAGCTGCCATATCTTTCGCACATTATACTACAGTTTTTTTCTTACATGGTATCATATCGGTCATGCATATTGCCAGCTCAGATGCAGCAAGCTGCTGCTGCATGCATGATTATAGCCTTTTAAATTCATAAGACTTTCTTCTTTTCTCCTGGACCCATCGTTGATCTTAGCAGCTCTTTTTAAGCACTTATTGCTAATACCTCAGGTAATATACAAGCATATCACGCTATTTACTACCTTATTCATCAGCTCAAAATAATCATTTTCTCAACAGCAAAATATCATTCTAGACACAAAGGTACCGCTTATACGCTTCCACAAATCGCGATGCGTAATCCTTCCCTCAGTGTTCACACCCTTCACGAAAAAAGTCAAAAGCACTGTGGTAATATCACTATCAGGTGCAAGAGCCAGCACAATATACAAGTACTGAATAAAATACGTGCGTCTGACATCGAAGCCGAACAACATGGACCACCAATTGCAGCCGCTTTTTTACTTTACTCCCAAACGCTGCTACAATAATTTGATGTGCCTTATCCGACTTTCACGAAATACGTCTGACAATTTTGCTTTTCCATAACTTGATATCGTAAACAGCATTCGGGGAATGGCTGCGCTTCGATACAGTCAAGCTATTGATGCTCTAGCGGTAGAAGGATTAGGCGGAGGCATAATAGCTGATCTGTACCCTGCGGAACAACGCTGGTAGAGCTTTTGGCTTGCCTTATCATTGGTAATAAACGCTTATTTTTGCTTCTGCACTCTTCATATTCTAATATTATACTAGGTGTATACAAGATGTACTATATGGTTCCTGTACTTTTCTCACTTCATATAAATAATTGGTGGCTTTTTGTCAATCAGTAACATCCCTTTCGGCGCGCTACATCTGGGATTGCGTTGCTTTTAGTAGATTTATCACTACTTTGCGTACCCTAGACATCTCGTATTGATGGAAGAAGCCTGTAATCAACACCGTCATTAGAGGGTACAACCAAAAGAGTAGGAGTCTCTGTCGACGAGGGTCATGTTAACAGGAATAATCATCAACTGCTTCGTTACTTGGCCATTACCTCCTTGGTCAGTGCTTCTCCGTTTTCTTTTAATGTTTACGATTGGAACTGTGCTTCCCAGGCTGTTTGAACGAGAATACAGCTTCAATGCATGGCAGATATGTAGGTTGGCAAAACGTTCTCTGCATGCATAGCAAGGTCGCATAGGAACGGATCCAAAAAAAAACATACCGACTCTTCTTTTCAAAGTATATGCTAGGTGTAAGCTATCTGGGAGCGGAGACAGGTCATGTTGATATCTCTAACAGCATTTTCAGTAGTCGAATGGATCGGGCCTGGATACTATTTGAAAGTACTTTTTGTTGGACTTTGCTGGCTTTCTACTCGTAGTTTAAAGTATACGGTCAACGAACTCGTCATCGTCATGGATTTATACAAAAATCAGAGCGAACACATCAGTAATTTTCCTGTACTCGAAGCTACAGTAAGTCCCCTCCCCCTCTCAAGTGACATTTGTAAAATTTGTATTCAGGTAGCTTTGGCTCTAACGCTTATATTATATATTGCTCCATCAATAGCTTTTATTGACGTCAACTCTACTATAAACATAGCATGGCGGTCGTGTCTTTCGTGGCTACGTGGATTGCAGAACTGATACTCACTCTCAACCAAACACACTCACAAGCATGTCATTTATTTATATTGGCTTTCAAGTGCGCGTTAAAGAAGTATACAGCGCTAATATATTTGGTGTAGACCATGGCTATTCAAACGGCTGGTATTTGAGCAATATGCTGCGTGAGCAGTTTCCCGAGCGTCACGGTTGCCGCGTGGCCTTGCCGATGAAAGCACTGTTGTATGTATGTACACTTGATTGCATCTTGGGCATCCACGCTGACGAGCACTGACTAGCGAATAACCATATAAAAAAGGCGCAACTTTACAACCAGTTTATACCATTAAGAGCACATGTATTCAATGTCTACTTTTCTTATCGTACATAAAAGCGAGAGCCGCATTTCAAGGATCTCACATCATCAACCTTCCCTTCTCTACTTTCTTCTCGCTCTCTTCATCCTCATCAATAAACTTTTATTTGAAGTCTGCTTTATTGTGATTTTGAATAACCTTTCTACTTCTCTTCATAATCTTTCCTCTGTCGCTATAGCATCTCCTTTAATAGCGAGATTGCCTCGGTTTATTATTTCTACGTTTTGTATTGCTTCTTCGACTACCATTATAATGGTTTTCAATGTCTGATTCGGTTATTCTTCTACTTACCAAAATAGTAAAATTTGATGGATTTGTTTGATAAATGAATGCTTTGTACATAACCACTGCAGTTGCTTTATCCTATATATTGCCAATATCACTTGTTATACGTTGAGGCCATTTAACCCGAGAATCGAGATATATTTCCTTTGGACAGCTGTTCCTTGTCCGTCGCTATCTTTAGCTGTACTGTATATCATAGCTGGGGTCACATTATGCCATCATGCCCACTTGTTTAAAAATCAACATTGTATGATACAGCAATTAATGAAAACGCACGTTCCTGTCGGGCCCTGATAGAACCCAGTTACCCATTACCAGGTCTTCTTCACCACATCGTACTGCACATGGAGATGAAGAAACATAAGCCGGGTGACAAGTCTATGTGTACATGGAGCACATCATTACCGGGATTATAAAGCTATACAGAACAGCAGAATATAAATCATGCCATCCCCCAAACGCCATGCCCCCCAAAATTTAGCGGGTGTACCTGATGATTCCGCTTCCGCTTGAATGTATCGTAGCACTTTCACATGACGACGCTAAAGCTTAAAAAGCGATTCACTTTTCCCAACAACTGCGGGCTTGTACAACTTGTTCTTTCTTTCTACACACTACACTACTATTCGCAATGAACACACACATTACAGAAACCAAAAAGCCCGTTAGGTACAGTATTCGTTTTATGAAATAAAAAAAGGTCGCGAAGCAGAAGAGAGGTCGTGTATGAACCTTGTTGACGTTTGCGCGAATTTATAGAGTCTGGGTCGATGGCTGCTTTGACATGATGCACTACGGACATGCCAACGCTCTCCGTCAGGTATGAATGAGACCAAAGCGTGCAAAGGTTACTTATGTAGGTACCATGCTAATCCTTCCACGCATTGTTTGTTGTTAGGCTAAAGCGATGGGCGATGTACTCGTCGTCGGTGTGCATTCCGATGCCGAGATTGCAAAGAACAAAGGGTAAGAGTGATAGGCTGTGTTGTTGACTTTTAAAAAGTGATCTTTACTAACATGATGAACTTGCTTTAGCCCTACTGTGATGAAGGAGGATGAAAGGTAAATCGCCAAGAGAGAGAGAGAGAGAGAGAGAGGGTTTTTGAGAAACTAACACCTATATGTGAACCAGATATGCAGCTGTTGGTGCTTGCAAGTGGGTGGACGAAGTGGTCCCTGACGCACCATACAACACGACTGTCGAGATTCTGCGTGAATACAATATTGATTTCTGCGTGCACGGTGACGATATCACGACCATGGCTGACGGCACCGACTGCTACCAGGCTGTCAAGGATGCAGGCTTGTACCGCGAATGCAAGCGTACGCAAGGCGTTTCAACCACCGAACTCGTTGGCAGAATGCTTTTGATGACGCGCGACCATCACAAGCGCCGCATGTCTGCTGGCGCATCATCCTTGTCGAGCTTCAACTCGGAGGATCTGGGCTCGTTCAGTGCGGGCAAGCGTCGTACGACGGTTTCTCACTTTTTACCGACCTCAAAGCGTATTGTCCAGTTCTCGGAGGGACGCGAGCCGCGTGATACAGACAAGGTCGTGTATGTGGATGGAACGTTTGATTTGTTTCATGTTGGCCACATTGAGTTTTTGAAACGCGCCAAGGCGTTGGGCGATTTCTTGGTTGTTGGCGTGCATGATGATCAGGTAAAAAACAGGGTTATAAGGGGAGGGGGATGAGGGAAGAAGACGATATTCTGAGAAAATGATGCTGATGCCCTTCCCGGTGGGTGGATGATAGACTGTCAATGCCATCAAGGGCGCAAACCATCCTTTGATGAACCTGCACGAACGCGCATTGAGCGTACTTGCATGCCAGGTAAACCGAGCGAGTGTTCCGAAAAAAGAAAACAGAAACGAGGTTACTGATTCGATTATAAACAGTATGTGGACGAAGTGATCATTGGTGCACCTTACAGCGTGACAGAAGACGTTCTGAACAAGGAGTACAAGGTCCAAATCGTTGCCCATGGCAATACTGCCACTGAGCCCGATTTGGATGGCAGCGATCCATATGAGGTTAGTCCTGTGCTTATTATCATCATCATCGGTGCCTTAAATCCAGATGTTTCTCTGACACACAGTCCCTCTGATAGTTGCCCAAGGAACGCGGCGTCTATGTCGAAATCGAAAACCCCAACTCGACCATCACCACCCAGGGCATCATTGAGCGTATCATTGAAAACCGCTTCGTGTATGTTTTATGGACTTTTACGATGAGAAGGAGTGATGCAAACGAGACATTGGAATTTATGGTTGGGGAGAGGGACAGCTATGCAAGAAACCTTGAACTAAATTTTGATGGGGTTGGCCTTTTTTGTTACCATAATAGATACGAAGAGCGACAGCGCAGAAAGGGCGCAAAGGCCGCTCTGGAAGCTGAGCAAGAAGCTGCCGAAAAGCAAGTCAACAAGACTGCTGCCTAGATAAAGGCACAAAGAATACCCTTGCCCACCTCCCCTCCCCGTCCCCTCCTCTTGTCACTGCTAACCGTACCCTATTTCAACATGTGTGTATATCCCCTCGTTCCCTTTCTGTTTTATTGCCAAGAATAGTTGGTGCTGTATCATAAATATTTCGTAGACAAAGTACATGAATAGTAAAAAAAAGTGTAGAGCGTTCAACCGCTAATGAAAGATGCAGTGTTTTAGAGATGTTGGCAGTACTGTACCAGTGGTGAAGAGGTACGGTGTAACCTTGCTTGTCGCAGCACTGTTGCTAGACATGGCCTGTACCATCCGTGGTCTGCAATACCCAAGTTAGACAGTGACTATGGGGCTATCATACAACGTAAAAAAAGATAAGAGGCTCATCGCTGTCAACCTTTCAGGAGGGCAATGCGCCAAACATACGACAAGCGTCTGTGCACATGGTGTCATCTGTAATAAGCTCCAAGTAGCTGCTTGACAGCCTTATGTATGCTTTGTTGGATTTGGCTTCGATGCACCCCTTTTTCTGCTCGGACCTGATGCCAAAAGTTAAAGAGGTGTTCCCCTGGATTTCATGCACATCCGATTTCTCGGAAAAAGAACAGACGGTCACTTGGTTAAAAGACATGGTAATTTTTTTTTTAATTTTCTGGTTCTAGTTTCTACACAAAGAAAGAAAAAATCACAAATGCAAAAATAAAAGAAAGACACAAAAGGGAGAGTATGTATTTTGGCCGTGTCGTATGAGTGGGTGACGTGTGTGCTGTAAGTGTGCGTGCAAGTGGAGAAAGGGTGGTGCAGTTCATAGCCAAGGGATAGACAAGGGGAGGGGGGGATCCGTTGAATTGGAGGGGAATAGTTTTTGGAGACAAGAAGTTTACAACTCGTCGTGACCGCTGTCTTCCTGCTCTTCCTGGGACTCGGCATCTGCATCCTTGGCAATGGAGAGCTTGACGCCGTTGCTGCCGTTCTCGTTGAGGAATTCGACTAAATCCTCGAGCGAGCGACCGCCGTTGTAATCGAGCAACTCATTGGTCTCAGCCTTGAAGAACTTCAACGTGGGGAAGCCCGACACAGTGAAGCCGGCCTCCGGTGGGACGTCGTTCTCGGTGCCGTCCATCTTGGCAATAACCACCTTATCCTTCAAACCCTGCTTCTCGACAGCCTGGCCCAACTCTTCCCAGATGGGGGCCAAGCGCTTGCAGTGACCGCACCAGGGAGCATACACCTCAAGGAAAGCATCCTTGCTTTTGTCCAGGACCACTTCATTGAATTGCTTGGCTACAACGACCTTGACCGGACCATCGTTGTCTGCGGGGATGTCCTCCGACTTTAGCGTGGGCTCGATCTTGCCGGCAGCGTAGTCAGCAACAAACTGTTCAATGTTCTTGGTCGTGATCTCGGCAGACTGGTCGTAGGGGAACTTGGCGCCTGAATCAATGTGCTGGATGGCGAAAGCGGGCCACTCCTGCTTGAGTCCGACATTGCCAGCATGTGGACCATACTTCTTTGCGTCGATATGGACAAAGTTGATCTTGCCCTTGTACTTTTGTGCGATCGGCTTCACAGCTTCGACCAAGGGTTCGGCCATCTCCTTGGAGTCGGCGAAAATGTATGCAAGGGGCAAGCCGGCCTCGGCGTACGAGGCAAAGTTGGAGGCCTGGATCTCGTCCAAAAGTGGCACCGAGTTGGTCTTGATGAACTCTTGGACCTTTTCGCTGTCTTCCAAGGACTCGGTCCAGTCGCTACGGCCGCCGTCCAGCTCCTGGTCGAATTGCTTGTAGATCACAACTGAAGGGAGCTTTTCAACGTTCTGTTCCTTGATGAGAGCCTCGTCCGTCACCAAACCGAAAAAGTAGTCGTCGCGGAGCTTCTCTGCAACCTCCTTGACGGCTGCCTTGCTCTTTTCGTCCGAAGGCGAGGTGTAGGCGACCACGACGACACGGTCGGATTCCTTGAACTTTGCAAAGTTGTCTGCGTCGAGGTCGGTCACGGCAGGTGCAGCTTGCCTTTACAATTGGTAAGTGACTGTATTAATTTCCTTTGTGTGTGGCAAAAACGAGCGGGTCTAAGTGTGTGTGTGTACCCCAAGCCCGCCCTTATTTAGTACGCGTTCCACAAATCACTTACTTTTGCATATAGCTGACAATGCCATCCGCCTTGCGCGCGCCCTTGTAATCGGCCGTTTCGCCGTTGCGGAACACCTTGATGGTGGGATAGCCGCGCACCTCGTATTCCTGACACAGGTCCTGGTTGACAGTGCAGTCCACCTTGCCCAACTTGATGTCATCCTCCTTCAGTGTCGTGGCGGCAGAATCGTACTCGGGTGCTTTATTATACAGATTCGTTTAATAATCCCTCTTGTAGCTTGCTGAAACGCAGTCTTTAGCCAACAAAGTTCAATGCTTACCAAGAGCCTTGCAGTGACCGCACCAAGGAGCATAAAATTCCACGAGCATCAGGTCCTGCTTCATCACTTCCTTGTCAAAGTTGGCCTGATCAAGCACAACGACATTGCTGTCATCGGCCAGGACATTGTTTGTGAGTGCAGCAAAAGTAGCGGCGATGGCAGAGAACAAGAGCGTCTTTTTGACCATGGTTGTGTATGATGTGTGTTTGCTGGTATGAAAAGTGAAAAAAGAAAGAGAAAGAGAGAGAGAGAGAGAGAGCTTATTAATTAAATAAAGCCCATAAATTTGCAGAATATATTAGCCTGTGTTTCTGGTGTGTGTCCGACATTGATTGGCCCTCTGAGCATTAAACTCAAACATGCCATCCTTTCAACGATGCAACATGGCGAATGGTACATAGCAGCAGCCGCACAGCCCCCTCTCCCTTCTTCTCTGGGGCGCCGTCACTCTGGCTGTTGCCTATCTGGAATGATTGATTAGTAAGAAACTGCCGACCTTCCTTGCACCCAATATATCGTTGTCACCGTCGCTGCTGTTTATCGCCCTGCTTTCACTTGGTACATATGCACATGCGCACATGAACAAGGTAACCAAGCATTGACAGCTGTCATTATCCGACAGCGGTTGGAGACGTGATAAATACATATCCGACTCGTTCTTCTTTTGCTGGTTGAGACCACAATATACATTACTTTTGGTAGGGTCTGATAAACGTACGTGCATGCATTCTCGTTCTTATTATCTTGCATATCACGATAAATGTACAATAATTTTCAACAGAGAGCTGTTGTGGTCCTCCAGAGGATCCAAAACTTAATAATATGTGTCAGCTCAAAAAAACGAAAGAGAGAAGTCGGAAAAACGTTGGTCACTGGCCGGCTAGAACATAGAGGAAGTATCTGAGTACGGTAGGTTGGTTATGCAATGGCTGTTGAGACAGGGGAAGCACCTCTCTCACTCTCTGCGTGTATCCAAGTCGCTTAAGGGGGAAGAATCAAATACACAACCGACGAGCGAAAGGCATGGTATTCCAATCCTACCAACCCCATCATCCCCCACCCACCCAAGACCCAAAGACCCCCTCCCTTCCACCGTCTCCCACGAGCTACATACAAAAATACAGTACACAGGCCACCCCTTCTACCCTTGTTCCTCCTTCCCCTAAAATAGATCTTTTTTATTATCATGCCCTTTTGATTTCCGCCGCTCTCTTCGTCTGATGAGCATAATGCCTGTCTCCCTTCTTTCTTTTTTAATTCACGTATTTGATAGCGTAGCAATATATCTCTTTCTCTCTCTCTTTTGTTTTTCTTTTTCTTGCCGGAACTGGGGCCGTAACAATACAGTGCAGCAAACACAGGAAAGGGTAAGTTGGTATAGTCATCGGTTTCCGTCGGATAATGGGTGCGATGGAGTGTTCTAGACTATATAACCCTGCGTGCTAAACCCTTGTCTGCTTTCCTTTCTTCCTTTTTCTGCTGTCTTTCTACCTCTCGCTAACTACTACTCGTTGAACGTATCGAAACAAAGGAACAATGTTGGCATGTTTGAACGAGGGTGCTAACGAACAACCAGCACCGCCACAGCCACCTGAGATGGAATACATTCATCCAACCGACGCGGCAACAGGTCAACGGCCACCATTACCATCTTTTGAAAATGGCAAGTCGCCCACGACGCCGATACGTAAAAATCCAGTGATCGACTTGAATGTACTAGCACACTATATCGAACAATCAATATCTCCTTCATCGTCTTCTGTACCCAATACTCGACGCACGCATCAACGCCAGGCACCATCTATCGATGTGAGCACATGTAAACGTAAACTAAGCTTGTACGGAGACACAAGTCAGACACAGGTACTAGCATGCGTAACTTTACGTTAGATTAGTAACCCAGCGATAATAGCTTCTTTTTCTTCATGCATTAACAAAATAATTACTGTACATCCTCACTACTACCCTACAAAGGTGGTTCCATTCCAGCAGCATACGGAGCAAGCAGTGTGCTACTACCATCCCGAGACTGGCTGTATTCAAGCAGACTCGTTGCTGCACCTACACCATCCACGATTTTCCTTGCAGGACTTGCTCACCATGGAAAACTACTGGATAGATATCACAGCACCCTCGGTCTCTGAAATGAAGGTGATCAGCAAGATCTTTCGTATCCATCCTTTGAGCACCGAGGATATTCTGTCCCAAGAAACGCGTGAAAAGTGCGATATATTCCGTACCTATCTATTTGTGTGCTATCGAGCGTTTGTGCATGACGGACACGTGCTGAGGCCAGTCAGCTTTTATAACATCATCCATAAGCAAAGTGTCCTCACGGTAAATGGCATATTCAAGAAAGAGCAAACGAGGGGAGAAATAATTACAACACGATGGTGTACATAGCATGTTTGTAGTCGACAATCACTCTAATAGAAGCTCTTGCTTATCCCCTTTTCTCCACTTTCTACACACAGTTTCACTTCAGCCATGTACCGCAACTGCAGCACGTGTATCAAAGGGTGGAGCAGATGCAGGATTTTATTGTGGTAGCGCCCGACTGGATCAACTATGCCATACTGGATGTCATCACTGACCAGTTTGCTCCTCTGATCCACCAAATTGAAGCCGAGGTCGATGAAATAGATGATCCAGCAATGCTACTTCAAATCAATGATGACGAAACAGAAATGGTACTTCGTATTGGAAATTGTCGCAAACGCGTCATGCAGATGCATCGTTTGCTCGGTACCAAGGCAGACGTAGTACGCGCCCTGATCAAGCGATTGGATGATACGGCTGCTCTTGCAAACAGCAACAATAGCAGTAATAATAACAGCACATCGACGTCAACGGCAACCAGTAATAGTAGCACACCGTCTACCTTGACGCCTGATTCAGCTATCTCCTCATCAAATACTAGATACCATCACCATCACCATTACCATCACAAAAGAGCTGGGTCAGGGTCATCATTAGGATATATACGATCACCCCCATCTCGACGCTACACTTTGGATGATGAGGAGCAAGAAGGCGATAAAATCTTTCCTGATGTGGCGCTATACCTCGGTGATGTACAAGGTATGTAGTACGAGCAGTAAACTATAATGCAGCTTTACGTCGTGTGTAACATCGCCTTCCCACATCATGAAAAAATGTTGACACTTGAAGTGTAATGTGTAGATCACCTTATCACCATGTTACAAAATCTGAGCCATTATGAAACGGTGCTTGCACGCGCCCACTCTAACTACCTTGCGCAAATTTCGATCAAGCTTTCCCAAACGTCGAATTCTACAAACTATGTCATTGGTCGCCTCACTGTCTTTGCCACCATCTTGATGCCAATGAATCTCGTAACAGGTTTATGGGGTAAATATATGAGTTTTTTACGTTGCAGTAGACAATGAACGATAACATGACACCTATTTTCATTTCCTTGTTAAATAATTATATTAGGTATGAACGTCAAAGTGCCAGGTAAAGACTATGACGATTTACTATATTTCTTCTGGATCGTTTCGAGTTTGGCCGTCTTTGCCATTGGCTCCTTTACTATTGCTCGGCGTTTTCAGTTTTTTTGAAAAAAATTAAAGACGAGGAAAAAAGGAGACAAGCTTTGATGATTGCAAAAACATAACACACACCAGGCTAAATCCTCCTTCTTTTGACTACCCCTTTATATCACTGTTAGCATAGATCTCTTCATTACCTCCAACTCTCATATCCTTTCTATCCGTCGCAATCAGTATCAACAAACGATACCATCAAAAACAATCAAACAACCCATTCTTACAATCGCACCCCTTCCACTTAACTGTAACCAATCTATTCGCATTTACTCCCTTTTCATTTTACAAAAGCTTACCTACCATACCTTTGTACATAACAAAATATATACACATTACATATATACATGATTACCTGCTCAAGCAAATGCAAAACTAGTGCTATTCTTTGATAGTTAAAAAATGATACATATGTACATAGTCCTAAAAAGATATGTAGCAAGCACAGGAAGTAAGAACGTGTGTATGACTGCACATAAAGTGCAGCCCCTGCGAATTTGCAAAATATTATCGTCATTATTGTCGCGTTTATTTATTGGTCTACTTGTTCTTTAGAGAACAAGAGAAAAAGACACATCCAACAAATGGTGTAACTCTATTATTAGATCGGTGCACCTTCATACTGAGGCGCTTTCTCCTTCAGAAGCTTTTCCGTGAACTCCCACAATTTAATAGCGTTCTTGTCACATCTTGAGTAAGGGTTTACAGATCCTGGTTTTCCGAAAGGAACCTATACACCAATATAACAAGAATCGTTCTATTAAGTATCGCCTCCATGAATCCTGTACTGTATTACCATCACAGTCATCAGATTGAAACTAATCCTTACGTAATATTTTCCCTTAATATCCATGCTTTCCACTTCGGGGCTGGTGGCCAAGTAGAGTTGAGTGAGGGATCCCTTTTCTGTCGGGATACCGACATAATCACTTTCTAAAACTGTAGCCCAAATCGACTTTTGTTCAATGGCGTGCCTAGTGAGATCGCTTTTCACGACACCAGGGTGATTGCTGTTAACGTAAACCTTAGAGTAGTAGCAAACACATATAGAGAAAATGAAGCATACTTTTAGCAGCCATGAATTACTACATTTGTTTGACCATATTTCTTTACATTGTGGATTCCCCTAGACTCCAATCGCTTAGCCAACTCCCGGGTGAATAAGATATTACAAGCCTAAAGGAATTGAGTACCATATGACATTCGTGTTACTAAGTTTATCTCGTAAACCAAGGTAGCTTTTTTACTGCGATATAGTAACTATACCTTGCTTAAACCATACTGAAGAGTGGAATTATAGCCTTTTTCATCGTTCACTTTATCTAAGCTACGAGCAGAAAGCGATGTCATTTGATGGCCCTTGGAACTGACATTTACAATACGGCTCGGCGCTGATTTGATCAGGAGAGGAAGTAGTTGCATGGTCAAGTAGTAGTGTGCTACATGATTGGTCGCAAAGTGGGTTTCCAGGCCTAAAAGATATAATAACAGCAACCGGTCATCCATTGATACAACTGGATCGTCATGTCACGCGCCATCTCTCTTCTTGCAGTATACAAACCATCTTCACTGAGTCCGTATGGACACAACATAACACCTGCATTGTTCAGCAAAATGTGTAATTTGTCGTATCTGGACTTGAAAGTATCGGCGAATGTTTTGACAGATTGGAGGGAGAGTAAATCCAACTTAACAAACTCGACCTTCTCGTTTCCAGTTGCTGACTTGATTTCGGAAACTACAGCTTGTCCCTTGTCTTCACTTCGGGAAGCTACGATGCTACATGATTACATAGTATACATTTTTTAATGTTCTCTGTATAGTATTATATGTCAACAGAAACATCATAATGTGATGTCTCTCTTCGTTTGTTAATGCGTGTATGCTTACATTTGACAGTGCTTTCGTGCCATTTCAAGCGCGCATACTCTGCCAATGCCAGTATTGCTGCCGGTAATAATTGCAACTTTGCCCGAGAGATCAGGAATATCCGAGAGTTCGAAATGGTTTGACGAAAACATAACACTACTCGAGAAAAAAAGGCTGTGTTAATAGATGGGTAGTATAAAAGAAATTATGCTTAAGGTTGTTCTATGATCTGCATTGTTTAAAACAAGCCTTTTATATGATTTATGGATCTTTTCATTTTCGCGCTGCTATACAGATCAGCATATATCTTGTGCAGACTATGTTGAATCAAAAATTGATTTAAAACCTTAATTATGTGCCGTCAACTCAATACAAAAGGAAGTATGACGCGTTATTCTACGTTGGAATAACTATTGTATGTAAAAGTATTGCCCCTGGATAATAATGGTTTCCCTCTTCTCTAGGAAATACCAGTGTACATATATATATGGAAAGTGCTTATGCAATCACAATGTCTACAATAGGAAATTACTCGTCAAATTTCGAATTTTGGTTTACTTGTGCATGGCAGGATGTACCAAATAGTCTTTTTTTTTGCCTTAAAATGATGTTTGGTACCACAGGTATAGCTGATTTAAATCCTTCATGTACATTGCATAAGCTTGATATATTACTAGATTGTTACTTGTAGATAAATTACTAGTCCACTATCACAACGCTATTGGTTCTCTGTTTTACATATGAGATCGCAATATCAGTGATGGATGTATACCTTTTGAGTGTCATCTTGTCCAGGTTTTTGCAAAGTATAGTCGTCATTATTATCGGCTGTATATATCGTTCTTGCTTTGTTACAGCACGAAAAAAAAACGTAACTCTATTATTATACATATCGGTGCACCTTCATACTGAGGCGCTTTCTCCTTTTCCGTAGACCCCATTTTTTAATAGCGTTCTTGTCACATCTTGAGTAAGGGTTTACAGATCCTGGTTTTCCGCAAGAATCTATTCACCTACATACCAAGAACTGTTCTATTAAGTATCGCTTCCATGAAGCCTTAAATATCCCAATCATCAGATCGAAACTAATCCTTACGTAACATTTTCCCATGATATTCTTGTTTTCAACTTCGGGACTTGTGGCCAAGTAGAGTTGAGTGAGGGCTCTTTTCCCGACATAATCGCCTCCTAAAACTGTAGACAAAATCGAATTTTTCTCGATGGCGTGCCTACTGAGATCGCTTTTCGCGACACCAGGGTGATTGCAGTTAACATAAACCTAAAAATAGTAGGAGACATAGGAGGATAGAAGTATACCATTAGCAGCCATACTATAAACTTGGAAACAACAACATACTGTGTTTATGTCTGAATATATTTCTTACCTTGCGGATTCCCTTGGACTCCAATCGTTTAGTCAACTCCCGGGTGATCAGGATATCATAAGCCTAGAGAAACTGAGTACCATATGTCACCCGTGTTATTAGATTTGTCTCCCAAATCAAGGTAGTTTTTTTCTGCGATATAGTAACTATACCTTGCTGAACCATATTAAAAAGCGGAATTATAGCCTTTTTCATCGTTCGCTTAATCTAAGCTACGAGCAAAAAGTGATGTCGACTGGTGGACATTGGAGCTGACATTTACAATACGGCTCGGCGCTGATTTGATCAGGAGAGGGAGTAATTGCATGGTCAAGTAGTAGTGTGCTACATGAATGGTCGCAAATGGGTTTCGAGGCCTATAATGGCAACAACCAGTCATCCATTGATACAACTGTATCATCATGTCACGCGTCATCTCTCAGACTACTACGTAGGTTTACAAGAAGAGTTAATGCGGTAAAGTCGTACCTGCCATCCTAAGAGCGACAATTTAGATAAAGCGCCCATCTTCCATTTGCTTCAAATATCTGAGCAATACATCACGATCTAAAGTCGTTATAGTCAAGCCCTTGACGTGCTTTGCAATATAAGGCAAAATGCGCGCAACCATAGTTTCTGCTTCACCGTTTTGTTCGTTGGCTATGTCCTTCAATGCTCTCCGACAGGCCGCTATCTTCTTGTCCCATACGGTAGAAACGTTCAAGCAGGTTACCTTGCCCTTCTCTGAGAGCTACTCGATAATGTCATCAACTATCTCCAGTGGAAGCGCAGCAATAATGTCACTCTTTTATTTCGCTTTTTTTGCAAAGCATCCTGTTTGCTATGCTCCAGTTAATTGTATGCTGGATTGTCGTGCGAGATTTTTTTCCCCAAAGCTGCTTGGTACATTTGAGCTGCCTTTGATGGCTTGCCTTGCATATCTAGCAAGTTACCGAGCCTCAAATATCCGACCGCCGCTCTTGATTTATGAGCGATCATAGCTTCAGCATCTCTGCTGGTTTCGTTGAAATCAAGAGCATCGGCACGATCGTCCGTCATGGTCTCTGGTGGGTGCTGTTCACTTTTAACAGTAGATGTCGGAAGATTCAAGGTCTCATCGTAGTTATTATTGCTGGTTGAATCCATTGTCATGATAAATTTGGGTCGGATTGGTATTTTGTTGTACAGTGGTGACTGGATGATATCCGTTTATAAGCTAACAATAAATTTATGTAAATTTGTCATAATAGAGAAACAATGAGGGCTCAACCCGGCTCTTTCTTGAAAAATAAATGGAAGTGTGTTGCCATGAAACGTTATTGATTACCTTAGATATAAGCGTCGTTTTATGTGCTTTATCAATAGTAATACTGGGAAGTGTACAAAAAAGCGTCGTAAAAAACACTGTAATAGATACATATGACAGATACTTTATATATTCAATGCTTTCATTTTGTATCATTATCAGATTTAGGTCGTCACAGCATTGATTTGAGCGAGCTACTTCAGCTGACGCTGATCATCTAGTCCTCTTACATCATATATACAGTATACATGTTAGCAAAAATCATCATTGTACAGCTGGTACGCATACATTTTGTATGCTCCTCTCATGCGCTACGATGACCACAATACCTCGTATAATGGCTGTCAGAACACATTCATAAGGGCGGAAGAGCGCACCGATTACTCGATAATGAGGATCATCCTCTTCCCTGTGTAGCTCGTACAATATAAAGCAAAGTAGACTTTGTTACATGTATGATATAATTGGATAGGATATATTATATGGTATAGCATAGAAACACACAATCTGTAGTTAAGGTCCAATGTGACAGCATTGAACTTCCTTGTCTATCCTATTTTTACAGATGCTTTTTTGCCTTCAAAGACTTGCCAAAACGCCGCACATCATCCACCAACACATCCGGGACTTCTAATGCTGGAAAATGTCCGCCCTAATAAAGAAGACCATTAATATATGACAAGATCATTCATTGTAATGGACTCCATCAAAAGACTCGCTACGTACCACATCCGGTTCATTATATTGCACGAGGTTACCACTCGCCTCCAACCATTCACGAGGAAACTGTAAAGACGGTTTAATCAAGTGTTAGGTACTATGTGCTCATGATCTAGTAGTTATTCTCTTACACCCTACCTTGGAAAGCTCGCCGGGGAAGTAAGCTGCCGCCATAGGGATGGTGACCGAGCCCATGAACACCTTCATCATTTCTGCTTCGTTGAAAGCCTCGTAATACAGACGTGTAGACGATGACATTGTGTTTGTCAGCCAGTAGATGGTAACTTGCGTCAGAAATTCTTCGGTCGTGACAGTTTCTGGTAACGCCTGGGTCTCTACGTTCCCAGAAGGATGATACGTCCAATTGTGAAATTTCTCAAGCATCCATGCTATGTTGTTGCAACAGAAAGGTCATTTATCTTTCAAAAATATATATATACATACATCTTGTTTTCTCAACTCACCTAAAAGACCGACAGGGCTATCAGATAACCCGTATGCTAACGTGTATGGTCGAGTGGCCTGTATAGCCCGATATCCGGAATCTCGATCATTTTGCACATCGGCAAATGATTTTCCCTTGAGCTTCACGACGCCCTGACCGTACACAGGATCAAAACCGAGAACAGTACTTGCGAGAAACTTGGCCACCTTAACAGGGTGAGAAAACAAAAACGAGGGCGTAGGTAACGGTGGCGGGCAGAGTGGCATCACTGTGTGGTACCCCTTGCAATGCGATGATCTTTCCATGGCAATCCACTTTCCAATCGTACTTCCCCAATCGGATCCGTGTACAACTATGTTGTATATATTAGTTCTATCGATTTCTGTGTTTGTTGACTTTGAAATACACATACCGTACTCATTGTACCCGATGGTGGTCATGAGCTCAGCCATGATTTCGCCATTCTTTGCAACACCGTAACCAGGCAGTTTGGGTGCTTCTGAGAACCCGTAGCCAGGTAAGCTGGGAATTACGACGTGAAAAGCCTATCAACGATACCCATTTATTGTGTGTAAGCATAATGAGGTTGGGGAATTGTTTTCAACCATACCTGTCCTCCATTTGCGCCGTCTCGGAGAGGCTGGATTACTTTGTGATATTCATAAAAGTTGGATGGCCAGCCGTTCAACAAAAGGAGAGGAATAGCATTGGGCTTGTCTGAAGGTTCATGGATAAAGTGGACACGTAAGCCTTGAGCGGTTATTTGGTAATGGTGCCATTGATTCATTTCAGCACGCGCTTTTTCCCAGTCGTACTCGTTGAGCCATGCTTTCACCAGCGGTTCGACAGCCCAGCGAGGCGCGCCGTATGTCCATCCGACATCCTTCTCAAGCTCGTTAGGATACTCGGCATTTTGGAGTTTTTGCTTGAGCAAAGCGAGTCGTTCAGACGGGATAGATGGTATTTCAAAAGGTTCAATGTTCGACATTGTTTGGATCGAGAAAATTAAGGAAAGAGAAGATTTTCCTGCGCACCTGATTTTTATGCAGCTCGATCCTGGCTTATTCCGCCAGTTAACCGAATCGGACCGATTGTTACCCCGTAGGCCGATGGACTCGACAGGTGATTTTTGCTTGAACCTGTAGTTAATACACACATGTATGCGTTGTAACCACATTGCGTGCAACGCAAAGCCTGAGGACAGTACAGCGCTACGTTGGCACTAAAATTTTCTCTTTTAATAGAGTCATAACCTTCTAAGAACGCCATCAAGTGGTTTTCCTGAGTTTCTTTGACGGTTGTCGCGAGCTTAAAAAAGGCCCGAGTTCACCACAGAAAAGAAACAACAAAACAGTTTGACCCGGAAGTACCGAGCATAGTAACGTAGTATAGTATTTTAAAGATATAGAGTAATATCAAAAGGAAGGAGATAGTTTACGAAATGATTATTCGTATACGTATATAAGAAGCATACCATAATCTTTTGTCGGTCGATTTGCTATATGAACTTTCCAATACTGTACAGTAACTCTGACATCTCTTTTTTCGATAAATATTATGTTTCCTTACTATGATGTAATCACATATACAGCTCCCGCTCCTTTCATCGTTCAATATCCCCACACCGATGTAAACAGTTCATCAATACAGCCACAAGTAAAAAGAAACAATGATGTTTAAAGGTTATCGAAACGTTGCTTGTGGTGGATAGGCAAGTTTATATATAAAAGAGTTCTATAAGTTCGCTTTTTTCTTGGCTGGCTGCGCCGTTTCAACTGCCATTTGATGTCTAATTATTAAAAAAAGATAGAATAGCAGGGTGGGGATGCCGGGAACACATATAAGTTATCCCAAATACATGTCACTCTTGTTGTTTTCTTCTGATGACGTACCTCACATTAGCAAGTAAATAACCATTCTGATCAAATAGCCACACATCCCCATTTATAAAGCCATCAATGAGATCACTCATAATAACTTTAGCTAGTACACGCTGGATTGGGTTTACTGGAAGTGGACGGAATTTGATCTCCATTTGGAGCGTCATTCTCGGCAATCGTACCAGCTCGTTATGTTGGGCATATGGTTTAGTGATATTTAATAGGTCAGCGAAACAGGCAAGGCTTTTGATGTCAATCAGTTGCTGTCCATCACTTGTATGTGGCCATTCAAGTGCATGCCAAACTTCTCCTTCGTAACTGCGCTCGTGGTTCTCGTAAATGGTGATGACATCGGATGCACGCAAAAAGAGTTCCATAATAGGACTAGGCTGCATATTGTTGTCGAACACAGGCGAAGCTGGATCGTTGTTCATGATATGAAACGATGCACTATCGTAACTACTACTTGCTGTAGTTATGATAGTGTGAAGCTTGGCAGTGTATAATGATGGATTGTAGTCGTCAATGCTGGATAATAGTTGCTGTTGCGGTTGTTGATGTTGCTTGAGAACAACTTGAGCAACACAAAAATTCCGCTCGCTAGATTTGAGCTCTTTCACTTCCACAATGCATGGACCTGCATTACCAGGTTTGAAAAAGAACGAGTTCACCGCGACAATACGTCGGTCGGGTGTATATCGTAGAATAGCATCCATCGCCATTGCAACGAGGTACCCTATTTTGTAATATAATATTGTCGTTTAACAGGCCGTCCTTCAGGTTAGCATTCAAGTTTATCTTCCGTTGCACATTGGTGTGTATCGCTGTGTAGAGAACAATCGCAGACTCTTCAACTTACCACCCTGATGGGATATAGGTACGTGCAAAGAAAAGAGATTAGCGACTGCTGTGCCTAGTTGTACCTGAATGGTTATGATAGAAGTTTTCTAAGAGGTATGAAACTGTACCTGAGCGCTGCCATGAAAAACACAATAGTCCTAAATGTTTTATTTTATATCTATTATTGGACGCGATCGAGCAACAATAAAAACCGAAGATAATACTATTGTTAAAGCATGACATACAGGATCTATATTCCCAACGTATATTAATTTGCTTTCTCGTGTGTCGAGGTATCGAAGTGTTGTAGCTTTTTGATAATCAGGCATTCTTTTAGCGCGATATTATTACAAGAAAGGAAGGAGCAAGCGATTTAGAAGAGGGGAAAAAATAGCACGACGCTGGTACAAAATAAGCAGCTACCATGTACGCAGTAGATGGTGGTACAAATCCCATAAAAGTTTGTGGGAGGTACAGTATATACAGATGGCTTCGCTTATAATATACACAATAGACACAGGGTGTGGGCCACCAAACGGCTGTATCTCAGCGGATCAGGCTTCATATTTACATAAATTCACATAGTAATGGGCCAATGGAATACTTAAATTATGTAATCACACCAGCCTGCTGGGCTGGTCGTGAGTTGTAGGTAGCACAATAAAGCGCCATTTTTTATATGTGTTCACATGCCCCTTCCTTTTACGGTTTGCTCCTTCTTTTTTAATCTCTTATCGATGTAAGTTTGAAGAAAGCTAGAAATGTCCCTGAAATGTAACAGAATTTTGGCTCAAAAGCTGGTATACGGCAGCCAGAAATCGAGCAATGCTGTCCTCAAAGTGCCAGCTGAATCGGGTACATACATATCAAGTCATGCCGAAGAAGGAATCATAAACAGCGAAACGGAATTACGATTGATGCTTATTGCTCCTGTAGTATCAGTAGATAGAAGCTCTCCACAGATCCAAAATCCAACAAGCAAACATGTATGTACAGACATTTGCTACACAATAGTACTTGACAAACAGCAAGATTGTGCTCTATAGCATTTGATGATTCTAGTATCAAGCTGCTGGTCATCCACCGCCTACTGTACAAGAAACACTGAAGACGATGACGGTTACGATGATAACGACATAATCGACGAGTCATCGGATCGCGATCTTGTAGCTGCAATTGACGGTCAGATTGTGCTGCTGGCAACGTTAGATGGGTATATCAATCGTATTGTATTTAATGAAACAAGGGTCCTGAACAGGAGTACATTAAAGGGACGTATTAAGCTTAACCGCCAAATTCATCGTTTGCATTAGACAAGGATAGCAAATACTAAACCGTTTTACATCCGCCCGCTTTATTCTCTGGTTTGCGTACTATTTTTGTGCCAAGATTAAGGACCAAGTGTCGTTATTGCTATGCTTACAAAAAAATACTGTGATGCTTGTAAATAGAAAGTCAAAGTTATATGTTACTTCGAAAGGGACTCCATCCAATATCTGTGTTCTGTTACTGTATGTGTGTTGACTTAACCGGTACAGGAATAGGCTCCAATCTACGTGGACGACCTCGACGCGGCGGCCGCAAGATGAGCAATAGACATACACTCTCTTATCCGGTGTTATTGCAGGACTTATATAGAGCAAGTCAGACTTGCTTTTCCTGTTTTTGCCCATTGCTTATGCCGACAGCTACTAAAGCTACATATGACAGTGAAATCAAGACAGTGAAAGTTTATGACGCTCTCCAATATGTCAATCCGGTTACGCTACCTTTAGTCGTTATTCTCTCTTATGTACTGCCATAATCATCGCTGCCGTTACCTAATTATTCTCTCCCACTAGTCATCTCCTCCCCACTTTCGACCCTACCATCTCAACACCAACACATTATACATCTTCACCTGACTTTCTGCACCATCCATCGTATCATCATTTGACATGGTGTGCTTGTTGCTACAAGGTTTTGCTCGGGTATCTTGATAGCGCGCACCTCCCCTCTTCCTCGAAACATTGCATGAGTGCCAGTACTCTCAGTACGTGTATGATCGTTTATTGTAGCATACTTCCAGGACACACAGTAATTATTCAAGTCAAAACCTTTAAATTGCCGCGTTCCTGAGACGACTTTCCTACTATTGTTGTACTTCATGTATATCGCTACTCATTAAGCCTGGTGAGATGATACAGTGGTAGGTTCAGTACCTCATGCTCTTAGCATACGGGAGGATTAAACGGTTAATGTAGCGAAGTACAGTGATACCTAAATGAGCTACTGTTACTACAAGATAGCAAAACGACCCGACAAGCACAAAGATGATCATGGCCAATCAGTTACATTGAGAAATTATAGCTAGAGAGTAGATAATTGTAGTTGTTAGCATTCAACGCTCGAAACTTTCAGTCCCTGCTTCTATGAATACCCAGTATGACACTCTTGTTTTATTTATGTCAAAACAAGTTGAGTTTCATGCATACAAATCGTTTTTCCATGTCCGTGTACACGTTCAACCCCGACCGACCTTCTTGTGATTTGGATCACCCTGAAGCAAGACTGAGAAACATGAACTCTTTGTAGTAAATGTACAGGAAATGAAAGAGCGCAAAATACAGTTAGGGACTGTGTGGAGGAGAATAGGCTTTTATCTAATTGATGTTTAAAGAATTGCTTTTAGCCGAACAATCATGTTGACGCAGTTATCATTTAGAAACGACTCCAATATGCGGCATGTTTCAAAGAGCTGGAAGCAAAGCTTAATTAAAGAGGATTAGGTGATGTAGCTCAAGTAAGCTTTTCCAAGCGAACGAAAATCAGTTACGTTTTAGCACTATCTCGCTATAACTCGTAGAAGACTGGGGGGGGGGGAATCCCTGCCCTTCCCGTTCTTTTTACTATGTAACCATGGTTCCTGACAAGGATCTTTGAGCCGCACCGATTTGGCTTACAATATCAATACTTTGTTTCTTCATTAACCGAGTGGTACGTACTGCTCTTCAGTAAAACAGGGAATGACTGTCTGACGGCCATCAATTAGCTGCTGCGGTGACTCACCCACAGAGGTGGCACTCTGTCATGACAAATCCCAACGGAGTTTGATTCTGCTCGCAAAACGCACACGCACGCAGGCCTTCTTCCTTCTCTCGGCACGCACACCCGTCCTCTCTTTATTTCTTGGTTGTACCGAAATCCCCACTGACAATCATGGTGAGTTGATCTATTTTCTTCATGTTACTGTTGTTAGTGTGCGGTTTTTTTCAATAGTTTTGTAGCTGCTACTACTTTATATGCTTTCTTTTTCGCGCAAAATCACTTTGATAATAAGGAAAAGAAACACGTCATTCCATAGTACACACATGTATACGAGCGTGTTTCTCAACTTAATGTTCCTTTGTTTTGGCTATTTTAGGACGACAACATGTCTGACGCTGGCCCTACCAATGAGGCCCAATACGACTTTGATAGGCAAATGACAGAGGCAGAACCGATCCCTACGTTGTCCGTTGTCGACGATTGTAAGTTTTCCCCGTTTGGACCTTAAAACACCAACACCAAACCTTTTTGTCGTTTCTAAAGTCCAATTCGTCACCTCTTTCTGTGTCTTTCAATTTCTCTCTCTTTCTTTACTATCGTGGGCACACGCAACACCATGGTTTAATCTAGATGAAGAGATTGCAAACAAAGAAATGCCGCAAATGGAAGAAGATATTGTCGAAACTAAAGTTTATCACTGGGACGTTACGAACTGGCGAAACCTCTCTGACCGAGAGCAGTCGCCTGTTTTCGAAGCAGGTGGTCACAAGTGGTAAAGCTTATACCGATATTCTGCCCATTTTCTGGTTTTTTGATAGATGTGCTTATTTGTACAATTATTTTACTGTAGGAACGTACTTCTTTTTCCAAGAGGCAACAATCAGCATGAGCAATTATCAGTGTATCTAGAGTTTGCGGACTTGAGGGACGAAGGCCATGATCCCGAAGTGTACTCGTGTGCTCAATTCCTCATCTGTTTGTCTCCTCCATCTGATCCTACACATTATGTTTGCCAAGGTAAAAAGAAAATACAAGTGCGCAGTGAAGCCTATTTCATCATACATGTTTTCTTTGGCAATCTTTTCGCTAAATATACGTCATATCTATCAATCGACAATAGCATCACATCGACGTTTTCATCGAGACGAGTCAGATTGGGGCTTTACGCGGTTTGTGGATTTAAGACGACTTTATCAGGCAGATGCAAATACCGGCACTGGTCCGTTTGTAGAGGATGACCAACTTCGGATCAGTGTGATTGTGCGCGGGATTCAGGATCCTACTGGCGTTTTATGGCATAACTTTGTCAAGTATGTTGAAGGAAGGAGGCAAAAAAATTCTATCAACAACAGAAACGAAGCGTGTTTGTGCTTGTACTATGTTTACTAACCCGACCCTTTTTTTTTGTTGTCAGTTATGATTCCAAAAAAATGACGGGTTATGTGGGTCTTAAGAACCAGGGTGCAACGTGTTACATGAACTCGTTGTTCCAATCGCTGTATTGTACCAACTTTTTCCGAAAAGCAGTATATCAAATTCCTACCGAAAACGACGATCCAAACGGAAGCATCGCTCTTTCCCTCCAACGACTATTTTACAATTTGCAGTTCGATTCAGATTCTGTTGGTAAGTTTTTTTTTTCAACCAATACCATAGCAGCACTCATCGTTTTACCTTACTTTATCTGGAGACACGATTGGACTCAGATTGCTAAGCGATCTTTTTTTTATGTACTTGTACGAATTTTTTGCATGTACAGGCACCCTTGAAGTTACTAGATCGTTTGGTTGGAATTCAGCAGACGCATTTATGCAGCATGATGTTCAGGAATTCAACAGAGTCCTACAAGATGCATTAGAAGTCAAAATGAAGGTAAAAACAATGCATAGTCTGGCTATATCTTTTTCACGTGCTTGATTAAAAGGTGGACTAACACGGGAAATTGAATGATCACAGAATACACCTGCGGATGGTGCTATCAAGAAGCTGTTTGAAGGCAAGATGAAGAGTTTTATAAAGTGTATCAATGTCAATTATGAATCAAGTCGATCAGAGGATTATTATGGTAATTATGGCGAGAGAATAAGAAACAGGTTACGGAGCAAATGTGTGTATGCAATGGCGGAATAAATGCCTAATACGCAAATTATATATTAGACATCCAACTGAACGTCAAAGGTTGCAAAAATCTTGAAGAGTCGTTTAAGGACTATGTTGCTGAAGAAACGCTCGAGGGCGACAACAAATATATGGCCGAAGGACATGGCTTGCAGGATGCCAAGAAAGGTGTCATTTTCGAGAGCTTCCCTCCTGTATTGCACCTTCAATTGAAGCGATTTGAATATGATATCCAAAAAGATGCAATGGTCAAGGTAAAAGGCAACAACGAATTGTATAGAAACTGAAATGGTATACATTGCATTAGCTGGGAAACTAATACGCTTTTATATGCAATTGTACATGTACAGATCAATGATCGCCATGAGTTTCCACTTGAAATTGACCTAGAACCATATCTTTCGGATGATGCCGATCGATCTCAATCTCATAAATATGCTTTGCACGGGTAAATATCAACCACAAGTGCTAATCTCCACCAACTGCAAAATCATGCAAAACAATTGGTTACTAATGCTCTATCCTTTATTAAACAATTCTAGTGTGTTGGTTCACAGTGGTGATTTGACAGGTGGCCATTATTTCGCCTTTGTAAAGCCAACCAAAGATGGAAAATGGTTAGTGGATGCTTAAACATGGCCGGGCGGTGATAATAAGGTAGCCAAAAAAACTGATCTAATGTGCGTGCAAACTAGGCTCAAATTCGATGACGATCGTGTGGTTCCTGCGACTTCAAAAGAAGTATTGGAAGAGAATTTCGGTGGGGAACTCCTTGGTGGTGCTGGCATGAACGGTCGACCGAACATGCGAGGCTTGAAACGATTCACCAATGCATATATGCTTGTGTATGTCCGCGAGTCCATGCGGGATGAAATACTGAGCCCAGTAAGCAAGGATGACATACCCGAACATCTTGTAAAGAAGCTGGAAGTGGAGCGCGAGGAGCGTATAAAGGAAGAAAAGGATCGTGCGGAGCAGCATCTGTATATGCGAATGTACTTGGTTACGGATGAACATTTCCAATCCAATACTGGCTTTGATTTTGTCGAGTTGTACGATCGGCAGTCCTCAGATAAGACTCTGGTGCAATCGCAGCCGATTCTTAAGAAACAGAAATACGGCGCATTCATGCAAGAGCTGGCCGAAAAAATGGGTAAAAACGTCAACGAATTTAGACTGTGGCTCCTCATGAACCGACAGAATCGAACAGTTCGCCCTGAAACACCCATAACGAACAATGAAAAGGAAATGGAACTCACGATGGAACAAATCAAGCAAAAGTACCTCAATGAAAACCAGCCCTTGAAACTGTACGTCGAAACGGCAACAGTGTATCAGAACGGACAGCCCTACTTCCCTCCTCCGCCATCAAACACAGCACAGCAAGTCCTGGTGTTCATTAAATTATTCGATCCTGAGCTCCAACGGGTTCGGTAAGTCATTCTATATCTGTTTTTAATTCAGTTTCTCCACGTGGATAATATTGACACATGTGCTTTCTTTCTTCTGGATTCGCTTATTTGGATTAGCGGTATTGGGAGACTCTATGTCCCACTTATGGGCAAGGTGGGCTCCATCATGGATCAGCTGAATGATATGGCAGGATTTGAGCCAGGCACACTGTTATCGCTGTATGAGGTAAAAGAAAGATACGAGGGGAGCTTTGCTTGGAGACAATGTCGTGCTCATGTCACATACTTGGAATCGTATATATAGGAGATTAAACCTTCCATGATTGACGCAATGAACACCGGTCTAACGTTCAGCGAAGCAGAAATCCAAGATGGCGACATTATATGTATTCAGAAGGAGCTGCGTGATGACGAGTAAGTTTACACGAAAAGAAGGAAAAGAACATGTACGAAAACAGGCAAAATAGCATGGGAATATTCCTAAAACGGCACTATATCATAGCATTGCACAATACCATGCACAAGGACTCTATCCTAACGTCCCAGAGTTCATGGACTACCAGCTCAACAAGGTACAAGTGGTGTTTACGCCAAAGGACAAGAATCCTGAGCATGTGGTTACATTAGCGCTGCACAAGCAAACAAAGTACAACGACGTGGCAATTAAGCTTGCCGAGCAGCTGGATGCAGACCCTGAGAAAATCCAATTTTTCAACATTGGGGTACAAGACGAGCCAAAAGCAGCCATTCGCCGATCCTTGACCTCAAGCTTGGAAGACATGTTGCACACACCATATCCAACGCGCAACCATCATCTCAAACAAAAAGTCTTTTACGAAGTTCTGGACATTAAGCTGTCCGAGCTCGAATCAAAACGACAGGTGAAAATCACGCTGTGCACACCCACATTGAAAGACTGCGAAACGACGATAATATGGGTGTCCAAGCAGGCTCGCATTGCCGATCTGTTGAGAGAGCTGGGCGTTGTCAAGGACCAGCAAGAGAACAAAAGCAACAAGTTCTTGTCGGCGAATGGCACGCGACGCGTGCGAGTATTCGAAGCGATTAGCAACCGTTTCCATCGCGAGTTCCTAGGCACGGATGCATTGGCATTGCTGTCGGAGAGCCCGACTGCCCAACTCTATGTGGAGGTAAACAAAACTACTCTATTGTTGATTGCTGCGGCTACTAGGTCTAGTTTCTATTAAAACCATGATCTTGCTGTTCTTAGGAAATACCACAAGAAGAACTTGAGATGCGGGATGACGACATATTCATCCGCGTGTTCCACTACCAACGTGATACTTCTCGAACACACTCAGTACCATTTAAGTTCCTCGTCAGAAAGGTAAATATTCAAATTGCGAAAACGGATACGATTAATGACATGTGTTGCTCACTATTTGCTTTTGCGTCCTTGCCTCTTTAGGACGAACCTCTCAGTGAAACCAAGCAACGTTTGCAGGCTCGAACAGGACTCGGCGATAAAGAATGGAGCAAAGTAAAGTTTAACATTGTGACGACATACTCTGCTGCGCCCATTGATGAAGGTAGTTAAAGCACGGGAGCGTGTGTTTTCGCGGTGGAGGATCGTTGCAAATTAATTGAACTCGAGAGACTAACGCAAAGATACACTTAAGCAGTCGACTTTAAACTGAGTGACCACCAGTTCAATCGGGATGATTCATTAGGGCTGGACCATATTGATCGCACAGGCCGGGCTAATAGGATAGGGTTAGAGAAGCCGCTCTCTATCCGAGGTTAGAGGAAAAGCAAAGGAAAAAGAAACACCAAAAAAAAAAGTTATGAAAGTATTTATAAATATACTACACACTACACACACACACACACACATTCAACATTTACAACTCACAGCCAAGCTACTATTTAATCATCATCATCACCACCACCACCACCACCACCACCACCACCTATGCAACCTCCAAAAACGGTATGGTTACAAGCTATTACCCAAAATGTCATTTCGTTGTTGCTTCTTAGTACATGCGATTCTCTTGTATGGGGGGTCACCCTTCTTCTTCTTCTTCTTCTTCTTCTTTTCCTCATAAACCACACAAAGCACACACTCTCCCGCCCGGTCCATTCACAAAAATACAAGCTTCAATCACTTGGTTGGTGCCATTTATTAAACTTTTTGACTGATTGTCTTTACAAACATTCTCGACATCTTCCCCTATTTCCTGCCCTCTCCCACGTTTTCTTAACTTGACTCGGTCCGACCACCTTTAATTCCTTCCCGCTTATCTTTTTCAGTACCGAAAGAAACCTTTCAGTTAGTGTTGCGTGCGAGTGCGAGTGTATGCCCCTCTCGTTCTCTTTCTTGATCAGGACCGACCACGCCATTCCGTGAGACAGAAGCGCCCTGTTACTTTTTTTTTTTTGTTGAACCTTTCTTTTTTCGTATTCAGTAGTAAGGTTCACTTTCGAATTCTCTCTCCGCGTCTCTTCCTTCTTTCTTTTCCTCGAATCTCTTAATAATATCTCTTCATCATCGACGCCTATCTAACAGCACATATTTCTTTACTTTATCTAGCACTTGACATATTTTCTCGGCTTTAGCAAAGATGATGCTCTATAAGATTGTCGTATTAGGAGATGGCGGTGGTAAGACTACTATTAGAAGCTCTCAATAAATCTTAAGCTTCACGAAAAATAAGATAGATCGACGTTAACCGATATGGTTTTATATAGTGGGAAAAGCAAGTATCCTTTGCAACGATGCATAAAGAAAGTAGTAGCAGCAGTGAACGAGAGCATTGAGCTAATCTACTCTTTCTTTTTTCTCTTTTAAAAACTAGACAGCATTGACGATCCAGGTAATGGAAATCCGACTCTACTTCTTCCTTTCCCAGCTAGACGAGTTATTCCCTCCTCTACCGTCACTAATATGTGCACAAACTTCTTCCACCCCGTATTCTTGCTATTTACCCTAATAACCAATCGAACGAATACTTTCTAGCTGTGCTTGAATCACTTTGTTGGTAAGCTATGCACCAGTGCTGCAATGTCGTTAGTTATTATCGGCTATTGCCAATTAGCAACAGTCATGAGCATAATTAATGATATATTGATGTACATGTTATATACCACTTGGGTATTTCATATGCGATTATTTGACTTAGAGGTACACATAACAATATCGGAGGGTCAAAGAGAACTAAAAAGGGGAGGGCAGAGGAAGGAAAAACAGCGATTTCCGCAGACATGTGATATCTTGCTAATGCCCTCAAGTAGACATACGACCCTACCATTGAAGACTCCTATCGTAAGCAAGTGGTTATCGATGAGCAGCCGTGTGTCTTGGAAGTTCTCGACACTGCTGGACAAGGTAAGCTCGCTTCTATTAACGTGGTGTAGTTTAGAATAGCATAAACATGCAGGCAAACAGAGAGACTGCATCATTTCTTTTGGAAGCTGATCTGACTTGCACAAAAACGCACATACACAATTCCTATCTCCTTTCCCATCATTCCAACAAAAAAAAAAACAACCGTCGCTATAGAGGAATACACAGCTTTGCGAGATCAATGGATTCGCGACGGAGAAGGGTTTTTACTCGTATATTCCATTTCATCACGATCCACCTTTGAACGCGTCGAACGATTTCGGGACCAGATATTTCGCGTCAAGGATGTCAACCAAGTGCCGCTGATCCTTGTCGGTAACAAATGCGACAAGGTTACAGAACGCGAAGTATCTCGCGAAGAAGGCTTACAAATGGCAAGACGATTGCGTTGCGAATTCACGGAGACCTCAGCGAAAACATGCGTCAACGTCGAGCGATCATTCTACTCGGTGGTGCGGATGATTCGAGCCACTCGTGACGGACCAACTCATCACCGTAATAAGAAAAAGAGAGACGGAGGAGGAAAGAAATGCCCCATTTTGTAATGCACGGTGTATCATCAACAGCAAATCGACTCCATGTAAAACCACACATCGATCCTCCTTCGAACAACCATTGTTTTGTTCCCACCACACCTCCTCCAAACCCGTAGTATGTGCATACGACACACTACCACTTACTCTCTCAAATCACGAACAAACACACACGTAGTCCATGACAGCTTCCTTTGCTCTATGTCTACTCTGGTCTCCCCTGTCTATTCTATTATCTCCCTCCTGCCTATATAGCTTCTCTTCCTCGCATCACCATCTTACAACGTCTACCACCTCTACTTGTATGACATCAATCGATTTTTCCCTCTTTACACTCGTCAAAGTGCCACCGATGTTACCCATGACAGCTTTTTGTCGGCTTTTATTATAGTTTTGGGGGGTGGTAAAAGGCGTTACGAGCTTGCAGCACTTTTTGACTTTCGCTCGAACCCGCCTTTTTTTTCGCGTGATACAAGGCACGGTGATGTGTGCGTGAAACCACAACAGCGCATTTTCCGTTCATTTGACCATGCCCGATTTATTAATCACTGAACAAATAGAAGTTTAATCACAAGGAACAAGGAAAGGGCAGCGAGTCTTTCCTTCAACTAGCCTTTATCCGTGTGTGGCATAATAGTGGTTGAGACAAGTTTATGGAATCGATTAAGGAGCTGTCATATGAGCCTGAATAATCATATGAAGCAGTTAAAGTGTTAGCCGGACAGCGGAGAGGCTCGGCTGCTGAAATGCTTAAACTCTGTTCTTTTCCACTATTGTCATAGGATCAAACAGGTTTATTGTTATTGTCGTGCATGTGTCATGATGCTGATGCCGAACATACCTCGGTGGTAAGTCTGCTACTTGGGAAAGCATCCCAAGCCTTTCTAGCAACACGCTGAGTAGACCTTAGGAGTTATCGAAAGACACATTATGACCCCAATTATTGCATTGTAGCCAACAGCAGAATCTCGTTAATATTCAATGCTCTCTCATAATAATGAGAAGCTTCTGTACTAGGAAGAAACACTCTTGTAACTCAGACATACACCAGCGCCTTTTCGGATTCGTGTAACTTACGGTCTGACCATATCATGACAGTACAAGTGATGATTAAATCTATGGCGGGAAAGAAAGGTAAGAGGGGGATCGATATGGATGTCGGGTCCAATCGTGCGAGAATGAGCAAAAGTGTCTTTCCACTGATAAAACCTTTCACCGCGCGTAATAGAACACTGAGAATACTCTGCATTTGCATACATCATACAATGAGGATTTCTCTTTGTTATCTTTGTTAATCGTGATACTCCCCCAAAGATTACATGTAACCATGCATTGGCATCAGCATACTTCGGTGTGATTATTATTTTTTCAAATGTATCAATATGGTGATGATTATTAAGCTATAACAATAACAGAAAGAAGCATTCGATGCCGCTATTTCCAAAACCTGTACCGTGGGATAGTTTCCATTACTACAGCAACATTGGATATCATACAATCGTTCACCGACAGTAGTTTCCTAGTTTGCCACGTATCAAAACTATCATTATCGTCGTCCATTTAATGCCTTTCAATACAATCAATACTAGTGAACATCAACTTGCTTGTTATTGATGACTTCAATTTGGCTACATCTACAGTACTGGCTCTATGTTTTCTTCTGGTGGCTCTGCCATTCCCTCCTCCCGCAAAGCCTCCGCTCCGAGCAGCATCAGAACAGTGGTGAAGGTATTAACAGTCTAGGATGACGACTCTCCTGGCTCATCTAGGAACGTGAACAAGCGGTCGCCACCAGCTTTCTAAGCATATAGCATAGCTCTTCGTTGTACCTTTGTATGAAAATGTTGACGAGTCAGTAATGACACAACCATCGCATTTGCTTGATGTAGAAAATCGAATAAGACTTACGCGTGATATACTGCTATTCGTACGTATGTATTAAACCGCTGGAAATCTTGTTCTTTTCATTACGCCTTAAGCGTCCCCAAGGCATCCAGGGTCCATACATCTACTGATCTCTACGAAGGTACGGTACTTTGTTTTTTTGCTCTGTAACAGTTAAGCTAAACTTGATATGCTTTTTTAGATTGCTCACTAATGTTCTCTTCTCACCCAGGAAGGTCTAAGCTCATCATAAAGCCAAACTGTCGAGTTAGACTCTCATTATTACCATTGTCATCATTATCTCAAATCCAGCCGTTATGATACAGGGTAGAGCACCGTACGAGTGTACTTACTAATTCTCCAAAAGATACTATTGTTGCTAGATTAACTACACTACCTATCTTAACTAGTCTAAATGAACCTTTATCATATGAAAGCTACAGCAGTTCGGAATCTTAAGATACGGGATGAGAAATTATTTGGCACCCACAGTAGCTGTGAAGATGTAGTGCGAAACAATATTGTACTCGTCGTTACACCAAAGTATCAATCAAATCAAGTAGTAACCGAACGATCGCAAGTTCTTAGAATAAAGATTCATTTATTGATAAAGTAAATGTGGAAACAAGGAGGTGGTTACACTACATAATATCATTGGCATTTACTACGCTTCAATTTCTTACAAGTGGTCCCCGTTAAGATCAACCTTCAAAGGGGTCTAAAAAGGTTGAAGCTTCTGCGGGATGGAAAAAGGATGTGGTTGTATATCATGGCTTGATTTTTCCGATGATTATCTTGACGGGAGACCACTGCATATGTTTTGATAGTTTTGCATCGTTTCCATGTCTTCGGTGTCACTTTTGTTGTATCATACTGGATCAAGCTGCATTTATGCGATTTCAATGTATTCTCAATATTTCCAAAGAAGCATCAACTACAGCAAGAAGATTACATATTCTAAAGTGTCTTGCTTGTTTTCTTTTTTGACACTTCTTCTCTTGTATTAAACTATACCTTTAGTTGCAGAAATGAAGCTAGACATTGCTTTATCTTGCCAAGGTCACTGATCGATGTCGGTAATGCAAACCTGACTATGATAGCTCGCAGAGCCGGCAAAGTGCCATCAAATTCCAGGTTCATGTTGTATGTGTTGCAGTACGAGTAAAAAATGAGAAACTGCGCGTTGGTATCGTGCATCTGTCCCGTATAAATGAAGATAGCACTTTTACTCTATCTCTTATCATCAATCGAAACCCACACATTATTTGTTCTTGAAATATCATGGTCGACTAATGCATTGAGTATTATTTGGAGCCCCTGAGCGATTTTCTGCCAATTTTCAGCATCTTTGCTCGGATGAGGTGTCTTAATCTCTACGGCCATTATATCGAAGCGAATGTCCATATGTATGATATACTTTACAATTCGGAACTAGCTTTAGTTCTGATGTGGAAAAAAACAGTGGTGTACTATTATAGGCCCTATTGACGATTAGGGCGTGGTTGTACTAATGAAGATGGTGTGAGAACGCTGTTGACAATAATTGTGTTGGTGACGAAGGACTTAAAGGTGTCGCGCACGCCGAAAGCTGTGTATAAGCAATGTTTCTTTAGAAGCAGTCAGTAAAGGTACTTTACACAGTACACGAACTTCTAACAGCTATATGATTAGCAATACATAGCAGGTCTGAGATATATACAACGCTGACACGACCTCAGGAACCTCCGTTCATTACTATCTCGAATGCCAATCTGTCAAATGTCTCTCTTTTCCATTCCTAGATCAGCGGATATGGGAGCAGTTTGCATGAGAAAACGCATGACTTTTATCCATCCTTGCGTCTCGCCTACTTTTAAAGCGCCACAAGCATTTCTTTCAAAGATAAAGCACAAAGCAAGAAGCCAGAGTACTATGGCTATCTATAAAGACCCGTATCGCCACAGTTTGAGCACTATACGAAGGAAACAATTCGAGTATCCTGCTTTCCTGTGGTCATTCGCATCCCTTTTCTTCGTCAGCGTGACGTCTGCTTCATGTCTGCTATATCCTTTTTCGTCCACTTTTTGCCATTGCTTTTCTTTCCCATTCAATTGTGGCTATGCTTTCCTGCGCTACCAACCTGCGACCAGTGACTGTAACAAAAAGATATGGCGGTGCCATATTACCAAATGGAAAAAAGTTTATTTGTTTAGGTCCCTGCATTGCTTACGGCGACGGGGGATTGCCTTTCTAAGTCTCGAGTTTTTAGCCTAACTTGTTTCCTGGAGACCTGTGTATTAGGAAAACAGCAACTTGCCTATTCTCTCTAATCTACTGCAGCAAATGCACGTAACAAACCGCCTTATTCGAGATATCGTAGCAATTGATAGTTGTTAATTTTTTTCTCTAAAGAGAGGTGTCACCAGGAGGCACCTCCGAGTCTGTTTATAAAAACAGGATGTAACTAATTTTAGATCAATTACTTGTCCGCACAGCTTTATAAACCGAAAAAAGTGTCCTCGGCTTAGAATAAGCATTCTTTTCCGTTCATCTACCTCTCTTCGTTTTCACTGAAAAAAAATAGAACGAAAAAGAAGAGATGCCGCTCGACCTTCCTCAATATAAGAGCGACACCATGCCATCACGGCGACCACGAACCAACAAGCGAACGTTGGCAGCACTGGCTGTCGTCGGCATCTTTTTCCTCCTATTTCTAAATGCTCGCGTGGGCAATTCTGATTCTTCTTCTTCTTCTTCTTCTTCCTCCTCCTCCCCTTCATCAGTCCACGATCCATCCAATAAAGAACCTTCATTCAAAAACGACAAGCAACAGGATGAACTGTTTCCAGCACCCAATGTCGAACAACCGGATGTAGACGTACAGCAACCTCCATCGGACATTGAAGATCCCGATCTTTTCCCTGCCCTGGAAGTTGAAGACGATTCTGCCAGCAGCGAAGCCGAAAATATTTTACCTGACCAAGAATTATTTCCAACCACACCCAAGCAAGATCAAGGATTAGAGGACGAAGTAAAAGCAGGCGACAACGCCGTATCACCCCACTCCGATCATCATAGCACGCTCCCACATCTACTGGCCGAGGATAACCAGGACGATATCATTTTGAACGAGTCGAACCATTATACCTATCTCGTCGTGATCGCTTCGCCACCAGATCAGATGTCTCGCCGTCAGTTGATTCGTGAAAAATACTTTGGCTTGCGTGATAATTTGCTGCCGTGCATGCGCTATAATACCGACATGTTGTACAAGTTCTGGATCTATGGTAATATGATTCCTGCCAAGACGGACGAACGGCGTCGTTATGAAGCAGAAAAGATGGAGTGGGATGATCTTGAAGAAATGGGCAAAGGCGTCAAGTTTGAACAGACCAGTATTTTGGAATGGGTAGGTTTCATATCTCATTTTTCATCATTGACGAGGTTAAAGGTACATATTAGATGGAAAGATGAGAAGCTAATTTACTATATAAATTATACTAGGCTGAAACCACATTGGCAGAGCGTGGCATCACGTACGATTATTTGATTGTGCAGGATATCAACGCATTTGTTCAATTGGTGGACATCAAGCGAGAATTGGACAATGGCGTCATTAGCGAAAGCACCAACTCGCCTGTCGCCATTAACACCGATACACCTACCAACCTGGTGTGGGGAAACTTTGCTGGCAAAGAGAGCGATAAGCATGCATTCGTAGTGGGCTCGGCGGCTGTCAAACTCGCTGTTGAAAAGCAGGCCGAGATCACGTTGTATGACCTCAAGGTCCCTCATATCCTCACCAACATGTACAACTACTACGATTCGATAGCCACTGATGTGGAAAGTGCTGTGGATGCTACGTTGGAACCGGAGGCTGCTGCTGAAGAACAAGAGCGTGTAATTCCGCTCTTTATCCGTGAGGACGGACCTGACGACAATCATAGATTTATCCGCTGGGAGAACAATGTTGAATCTGTCCATGCTGAAGACAGCGTTGTTACACATATCTACCAGGACTCTGAGTTTGCTGATCTGGCTCGCTGGACTTATCTCAAGCCATCGCCTGTTTGCTATCCACGTAAATCTGCATTTAAGGACGGTCAACCCCCATTGGATCCCTTGGACGATGATCAAGAAGCTAGCGATGCCACCACGGATGACGACCCCGAGTTCTCCGCCAGCAACACAACTGCATCTGCCAGCAGTGAAGGCGGATCCTACGGCCCTTCTATTGCTCTAATGACCTCGTCGTTTATTTATCCCGACAACTGCATGGAGCCTTCTGCCACCTTGTCAGCAATCAACAAGCGCAAATACGCCGTACGCCATGGCCACAGTTTCGTTGCTCGATCTACCGAATTTGCTCAACAGCGGGGACGCAAGACTGTCTGGGGTAAAATCGATGCCATTGAAAAGGTGTTACCCAAGTATGACTGGATCTTTTGGGCCGATATGGACGCAGTCATTTTCAACCAAGAACGATCCCTATTCGAACTGTTAGACGAGTTGCGTGCCCGTTATCCCGGTGGCGAAGACGAGTTTGACAAGAACGTTGATCTGATTGTATCCCGACCACCCCGTGACCCGACTTTGAACGCAGGTGTCTTTTTCATGCGTAATTCGCCCTGGAGTATGCAGTTCCTTCGTGAGGTTCAAAACAACGAAGCTTGGTACAACAAGGGCTCGGCATACGAGCAGGGCGCCATGGCCGAGATCAGTGAAGATCCCAGACACAAGGACCATGTGTTTTTGCTCTATCCAGACGTACACACGTTCAACACATTCCCCAAGTTTTATCAGCCTGGCGATTTTATTGTTCATTATGCACCAGACAAGTGTCCAAGCCCGTTCGTACTGAAAGGATTGGAAGCAGCAGAAAGAATTGAAAATGGCGAGGTGATTGACAAGTTGATATAGTAAAATTCCTTATGTGATTTTGACTTTTTTCTTCGTTATTTTATTTTTTTGGTTCTGCATCACACATTCATATCTTCCACCTAACACTGCCACTCCTCCTAACCTTTCAGATCAACCTTTGTACATTCTATATAATTTTCTTTCAAAACTTCAACATCGTACAGCATATCGCTGTTTCCATCGGCTTGTATGGGCGCAATTGCATGTTTTCAGCGCATAATATAAAACTTTCTTTTTCATGTGATACTTTTCTATCAGTATATTTGCTGCTATTTTGGTGTTGTTTTAACTGTGGATGTAACTAAACAACGTTGTGCAGCGTTGCTATGGCGTTGTTATGATGATGGTTGGTCGATGAAAAGAAGAAAAGCAAGGCGAGTGGCAACAGAAAAAAAATATGGAATAGTCACTCCGCCGCCTTTTTGTGGCGTGATGTCAGAGCTATGTTTTTTTGTTGCTCTGTGTGCGTGCTGCCTCAAAAAAAACGCGAATTTTGTGCCTGCACGCTCCTCCACCTTGAGTTATATTATATACCCAACACACCTCCACCCCCTTCATATTTATTTTAGCTATTTTGCGGAACAACAGACAATCAGTCTTTCATACGAAAGAAACCGCCATTGTACTTCCACTGCTGTTGACGCTTTCCGCTCCCTTGCTACGGTTCTAATCGATCGTTGATATTTTTTTTATTCAACTCCACCCCCTTCCTCTTCTCCCTCCCCCCCTTTTTCCCAAAAACATCGATTTGCAAACCCTCTCTTGATGAATTCGGCGCTTGCTCGACGAGGAAGCAAGTCTGCCACCACTGCGTGCAAACAACACCACCACCCTAATCGAAACTATTTCAGCCATTCGTTTTTTCGTCGAGATGCACTTGCACGACACCAAAATATTCGAGACATTTCCATGGTTTGGCTCCTGACAGCTGCCACTTGTTCTACCCCAACACGCATGGGTGCCTGTCGATCCATCATTGCAACGACAGCTACAACAACCGCAGCTCAACAACGACGAACTTTTCGAGCTAGAAGTGGACAGTTGGCGTCAGCATCACGATCCATGGCCATGGTAGATGTTGACTCACCTTCCTCACACAGTGCATTCTCGACAAACGACCCAACAGCAACACAGACATCATACAAACGATTCCACCCACGGCGCATTGGCAAAAGCAGTGATCTCGACCGATTGTTCCAACACCTTGCTGAATCAAGCCAACAGTTAGGCCCTGAACGCGTGTTTAAATCTCTCAGAACAGCGCTGTACCATGCCAGTGGGTACAGACCTGAGCTAGCATGGCGAATATTTCAACAAATGATAGAACACAAGGTGACCGACTTAATGGGCGCAAATCATTATGGACACTTGTTGAACATAATAAAGTATGGGACAGACCAGGCGTCGGTTACAAGGATGCTAACGGTGCTGGATCATATGCGGGAGGATCAAAAGACATTGATGCACTATTCTCAAGTCTTATTTGCTATGAGTCGAGTGGGGGATGCATCAGGTGCATGTACACTGATCAACGAAATAAAACACCAAGGACATATCCCGCCATCAAGCCATTATACGTCATTGGCAATTGCAGCAAGGAACGACAAAGGACATGGTGCCACCCAAGAGGCAGCAGAACTCATGATGGACGCCATGAAGAAGGGCGATGTGGTATTGGAGACTGATGCGTGCGTCACTATGATCAGCTTATTGTCAAGGCGGAGGACGCAACAACAAATGACGGCTACAGTAGAGGATGATGGGATCGATAGAACAGTCAAGTTCTTGGAGGCGGTGGAATATGCACGCAATAGCAAGAAAGAAGAGGATGATACCCCGGCAGTCACAAAGTCAAGATACAACGTCCACATGTATACGTCGCTGATATCCGGTTTGGCAAACAAGGGAGATGCCATAAATGCAAAGCGATTATATGACGAGATGCGGCAGCAAGGATTAAAGCCGACGGTTGCTACACGAACAGCTCTGATAGAGGCATATGGACGGGCAGGCGATTTTGACGCAGCATTGAAGTTGCTCAATCGCAAGCATAGACATAACAATGCCATGGTGACTTCTGTTCTGACCAATGCGATACGGCATAGCAAGTGGGATGTGGCGGAGATGTTGGCAGCATCGTGGATTGAAAGGTTGGAAAGTGCAAAGACGGACGACAAGTTGCGGGCAGCTTTATTGTGGGTCAAGGTCAAGTGCGATTTGGACGATGCACGGACGTTCTTTGACACGTTATATCACAAAGATTCATCATTTGTTAATTCGGTGATGGTGAACCACTTGGTCACGGAAAGTGGTAATCGGCGATCCAAGCAAAAGGTTGAGGAGTCATACAACCTGCATCAATCGACGAGAACGCCGCCATCCCTACGCTCGCAGCATCTGCTGGTGGATGCATTGTTCAAATGTCGCGACGTGCCTGCAGCCTTGACTGCTTTCATGAATATGCGGCGGCAGGGCGTACCGGATGATATCACAATGGCAATGGTGGTTCGTGGTCTGGTCATGAATGACGAAGATACTGTAGCCTGGAACGTGTTTCGCGCTCTTAGGTCGGACAATCTACAGCGAAACTTGCGGGCCTATACCAGCATGCTTAAGGCGTTTGCAAAGAAGCAGTCTTCCGAAGGTGTCGTCAGCAAGGAAATACTTAGCATGTGGCCAGAATTACATGCGGTCCTATCAGGCAAGGATCCCGCCACTGCCATCGTACACACGCCGCCTTTAATGACACCCCTGATCAAGGATCCGTCTCAAGCATACCTCCTCTTCCGCGAAATGACCGGTTACCAGACGCCCAACGAGTATACGTATACCACACTTATTGCGTGTTTTTCAAAACACAGTCTTGCTCGGGCGACCGAAGTATTTTCGCACATGTGTGCATCCGGGGTCGTGCCGACGATACAAACATATACGGCAATGCTACAAGCATGTTCCATCTTCCGAAGCGCACGGAGTGCATTGTTGGTGTTTCGGCATATGCGGGATCAGCAAGTGACTCCAAACACGGCAACGTGGCACTACCTTCTCAAGGCATTGGTCCGTGCACGTGTGGATCCGGCAAAAGTAGATGAGATTGGACATATGGCGCGTGAGTCGATGGCAAATAAAAAGTCTTGAAATTTCTAAATAATTACTATTATTATATTCTACACGAACTATTACAAACTTTTTTGTATCATAAACAAAAGAACAACATGTACATTTTTCCCCTTCCTTTCTTTGGAACAAACAAGCAAATCACAAGCGAAAAAACAATTAACAAGCTCAATTTCGATCTTTGAGGGAATTAGCCTCTAATCTTTGTTGACACAGGTGTTGCTGCTGTTATTACTGGAAGAGTTAGTTTTGCTCTTGTTGTTGCCGTTGTTGTTGCGTGAGTGAGAACGCGAATCAAAAGGTGGCATGTTGATTGCTGTTGTGGTTTCATTGGCATCGGTGACGGAGTGCTGCATATTTCTTTTTTCGCTATCTGTCGTTTGCTGACACAGATACTGGATGATGACGATGACCGGAATGGATAGCCCGTGCACAATCACCGAGGATAAGACAATAAAGTAGACGACAGCAGCCAAAGCGGGTTGGCTGCTGGTAATACTGGCGGCAGCAGTAGCGTAGTAGAATATTGCTCCCACACCCATGGGACCAAACCATCCAGTGAACACGGCCTCACGCCAATTGTTAATGACTGGATTGATCTTATATACGCCTAGTACGATAGGTACTCGTCGAAACAACAATACAAGGATAGCAAGGACTACGAGGCGCCATACAGAGATCTCTGCAAAGGTCGGGAATGGCTATTCCACTGTCGTATCAGTAAACTGTTTGCTCCAGCGAAAAAAAAAAGCATATATCACCGATGATTTATCATTACATACCATTGTGACCCCAATATATGCAAACACACCGATGTTTAAAACAATGTCTAAAACCTTATTGTGTGGATAGCGAATATCATGCAAAGTGATCTCCGTTAGCCCAACCAAGATAGATAGTCCAGCTCAACCTTAATACAAAAAACACGCACCTGTAGAAAAGAACCTCTGGAAGCAGTTTCACCTTTAAACCACTCGTCCCACGACAGGGTGCAACCAGCCATAAAGCATGCAAGCAAATCATCGCTTTTTATACACGCTAATGCACCAAGAAGCAAAAACTGAATAAAAAAGGGGTTAACCCGGGTCACAGATGTCAACTCCCACATTGTATCTGTACTAAACTCACTGTAATCATCAGGGGATACACATGTAGCGCCTCCAGCTCAACCATATCCCTGTATATTGTGCAAAAAAAGCAAATTTGACAATACGGCTTAGTGTGTGTATGACTACAATGCCAGATCGGGGAAATCATTTCACCTTATACCTTTCATAGCACCATTTGATCAAAATTCTTGCTAAATAGCCTACAAGTAATCCAAGCGCAATCGACGCTGCGATTTCTTGTAGCATTATGCTAATGAACCAAGTCTTGAATGCTTCGCCAACAGGCATCTGCATCCAGTAGACCGCGATAAATAGGAACGGATAACCTAGTCCATCGTTTGCTCCACTGTTTAAACAGTTTGTATACTTTTAAGTATAGGATGATGGTTTCCATTTTCATTTCCTTGAATGAGAGCAACTTGGTTCATACCTTTCAGCGGCGATCAAGTCTCTAATTTCTCGTCGCACGTATTTCTCTGCATATCTGCCCTGAACTATTGAACTTGACAGAACCTATATTATAGGATTCTTCCTGTATTAGCGATGCATAAGAATAAAAGGGTGCTAGCTGCACGCTGCATGATATCGATTCTACTATTCTGTACATACGGGATCTGTGGGCGTAAAGCATGATGCAATCATAAGGGATTCTATCTGTATACATAGAGCAAAATTCAAAGTCAGTTTTCTGCACACTGTTCCTCGCTGATCCTGCGTGATGCCCTTTGACATTTTTTTGGTTCTTTTTGGTTGGGTGACTCTGTAGTCTTACGTAGCTGAGGCCCGGAATCATCAGGTAGACAAGCGATCCGCTTACAAACCACATGGATAACATGACGGGAAGTAGCATGACTAGTAGTGCCTGGAACTGGTCATAGATATATCGTCCTGGCAACGCAGCGCCTGTCACCATCACTTGTATCGCAATCACTACTCGAGTAAACTCGGTCGTAATGATCTCTTGGGAGCCCCACAACTCTACATTGACCAGATCGAGACAGTATGGTCCAATAATCATACCGAATACTACGGCAAAAACTATATTGACGGGTTCCGTTCTTGTTAGTTTGAGAGTGGCAACAAGAATGCTGTACAGCATATAAAGGACCGATAGACGTACTGGCTTCGTTCAAGTATAGCTTCTCCCGGATTATATTTGATGTTGCAATGAATATCAGGGAAAAAGCACCGAAAAGCAAGAGAGTAACGTCAAGAGGTGAAGCCATACTAGCAATGTAAGGTATTATATGGAACGCAATCAAGCGAAAAGAATCCAACAACAGTAGTAGGCAAGCGAAAGAAACACCCGCGATATTAGATGGGGTTGAACCTCCTTTGTATTGCTGTTCGGATCTGCCCTCAAACTGCGCCGAGTCCTCGCCACTACAGCAGCTACTAATGCTGGTGGCGAGCTATTGGCCTCCTCTATCTGGCGTTGTGCGTCTATGTTGATATACAGTTTGGGCTGACGAAATCCAATGGCCAAAACTAGAATTTTGTTTTACAGTAGCTGTCGGGCAGATGTGCAAAAGTTTCCTAATTATTCGCTTGTGAGTGTCATGATGTGCGCCATTTTTGCCCACAGGCAACTGGGATTGTCGCCTCTTCCATATTTGACCCCTATTTTATTTCTTGTTTGCATCTCGCTCTCTCTTTATGTCCACTACATAGTGCCCTCTCCCCACTCCTCCCTTTGCGCCCATTCTCCACTCCCACCCCACCCCCACTACAAAGAACTGCCGAGTCTCCAGACAAAACGTATGTCGATCCGTGTTCCGCGCGCGTTGCGTCTGATGATGAGTTTCGCGTTCTTTTTTTTGATGCGCTGATACAATGCGTGCAATGCGCGTGTGCGTATTGCGATGTGATAATGCAGAAAAATGTGGAATATTTTTTAGAGCAAATAAAGGAACCCATTGTTTTCTTTATCGATAACCTCTACTACGGCCATAATCTCGTCCATTATAGTAAGGGTCGCGTGCTCGAATGTTGCGATAAGAAGAAGAAGATGAAGAGGCTGCTCTGTCCACTAAACCATCCCGCCTTGACATCCACACCTGGTCCTCGTATCGCACCCGATGGTAGCGGTCGTAAGACGGTACTGCTGGCGGTGGCGGTGGCGGTGGAGTTTTACGGACATCGGTGCGGTGTACAAGGTTTTGAGCTACGGGTCGACGTTCTTTTGAACGATGTCGCTGTCGTTCTTCTGCTGCAGGTGAAGCCGTCGTTGCTGCCGCTGATGATGAGGGCGGTGTTGTTCTTCGTCGTTTAATACTACTGCTGTTAATATTCCCAGCGTTGGTCGCAATGTCACTGTCCCTGCTGCTCTTGCTTTTCGCTAATACCGGGCTGTCCCACGTCGAGTCCCCGGTTTCACTATTATAATAGTACGTTTCCCCTTTGCTAGAAGTCATTGCAACCCACGGTTTTGGCAAACTTTGGCCCTTTTTTTCTGCAAAAGCGCTGTTCATCGCTGCTGTTGTTACCGTCGTTACCAGTGTCCCATTCTTCTTGTGGCTATTATTTTTCTCTGCTGCTGTTGTCGTCGAAATGAGCACTGGTTCCATCACTGCCTTTTCCTCTTCTTCGTCTGCTTCTAAAGCAATGACAGTTTCCTTTTGCTGTTGCTCCCATTTTGACACTTCGGGTGTTGGGTTTGAGGTTTCTGTTACTGTTGCCGTTGTTGTTGCTGCTGCGGGTGCCGCTGGTGTTGGGGCTGAGGCGGAGGTTTTGTATTGGTCTTGCTTTTTGTCAATAATACTGTGTTCCTTTTTGACTGAAGAATCGCTAGTGATAGTAGTTGCGAGGTATATTTTTTTTTCTTTCGTCAGCATAATTGACCGTCGCAGTAGTAATTCAGCAGGGAATAGGTTGTGTCCCGTCTGCCCCAAGTTATCAGCTGTCTTCAAACCTTGATGATGCGTTCGAGCGATGATGTTCCTGAGTAGTGGCAGTCGTGCCATGGCGATAACGACGTTCTGAATCATAATAACGAGAACGCGACGATCGGTGTTGTTGGCTGTCGCGATGATAATCACTGTATCGGCGGTGCGAATGCATTACTGCTAGTACGACTCTTGTATCTTTTTAAAATTGGATTGATTTGTATTGAATGTGTGTGTGGATATAGAATAAGGGAAAAGAGGGTGGGTTTTGAAGGACAGCTGATCATTCATTTCGGGGTTTTTGGAGTCGTGACCATTCATCCCAAAGAAGGCAGAGTGCACACATGGTTTTTCTCCGTATATGACAAATGTTTTGCAAGGAATTGCATAATAAGAAAATAAGGCGTTGTAACCATCTTTATCATCTTACATAACATATACAGTGCGCCGGCCGTCTGCATATGTCAGATTACGGTCCAGCACGCGCTATTGCTAGAGATTTGCAGCAGCAGCAGCCGAAAACAGAAGATAGTATTTTATCGATAGTCTCGCATGCAGCAAGATTTCATGTATTAGCAACAAGGGATGGAGTAATCACGCTTTTAACTATAATTGAGTACAAGGTCACTATACGAGACGTGTCACTAGGCACACTTTACGGAGGCCACACTTTGTATTAATAGCTTTTTAACAAAACAAGATATTTTGATGAATAGAGCGTCTGCCTTGTGCATTTTATGCTAAGTGATTTGCGCTCAGGTGATGGCTTAGGAATCACGTCACCTACCATTGTTTTCTTCTTGACTGTGTCAATACTGACGATATCAGCCAGAAGCATAATATCACGATTCCCCTGGTAATGGGCTTATTTCGGGAATGAATCCTAACACTCGGCTGGGTGAAATGACATCAGGCAGTGAGGATACTGATGAATTGATTACATACAGTGTAATAGGCTTTGTGTACAAATCACACGTCATTTTTGCACGTTTATGTACCAATACTCAGGTTTTGATGCTTCTCAAGTTTTTTTTGTAAAAAAAAAAAAGCTAAATATCATGCGGACTGCTGATATTTGATCCCATTCTTACGTACATATATACACACAAACTAATATGCGCTCTATATCTTCCACTTGTAGTCAACTCAATGATTATCAGACGTATAATCAGTTCGTTCGAGTCAAAGCTTTTGTACCAGAGCCCTGCTAAAGATTCTAGTATCAATTTCAAGCATGATGTGGTAGTTTGGATATATATTTCAACAACAATGAAGCACATGCTATCAGATTAGAAAAATGAGGAACATGTTGCCAAAGAAAAGCAGAAAGCATTAAGTCATATTCTGATGTCGCAACAAGAGAAAGTCATCATAATCAACATCATCACTTACTATGATGGCCTATATCAGTCCACCACAATATGTATTCAAGTGACAAGTGAAAATTCTTGGACCTTTTTCACAGTTGTTAAAGCAATGTTTAATATAGTTTGACTGCCAAACATATACAGTAAGTGTAAGCATTGTTTTTCGATTGCTGCTTAAACATAATATCATAGAATCATTGACAGCAGCACTAGATCGACCATCTTGCTTTGAGGTACCAAACATGACTATGTACATCTATTAGATAGAATCAACAACCAACGCGGCAACAACGCCCTAGAGCCACGGAGTCTTAGAAATGTTGAACTACATATATGAAATGGCGACCAGGCACGAGGATTAGCAACATACTGCACGGACCAAGGGAACAGTGTCATTGACTTGTTTATTTCAATGAATAGCGCCATCTCAACGCCCGACCTGCAGATCCTTGACCAATTCCCGCTCAACTCCTCTCACCACCTATGCACACATGCGTTCACACCACGTATACCATAGTAATCTCCCATTACACCAAATGCACCACGCCATCACTGGAAGTTACAGCGTCTTGTTAAACCGGAGGTTAGGGACCTATATATTGCCCAGTTCAAAACCAATGCAAAGGGCCTAAACGAGATACTCGGATGTCTCACCAAAAGTACCTCCACGATTCCCAACACAACCGCCGTTGAGTAGCTATATAAGCCGCGAATTTACACCCGCTCTACTCGACGCTCTTGATACAAGCGTCACGCGCTCAAAAACACTACGGAGAGATTGGAACTGCTTTTGGCATGCTGGTCTCCAACCAAAAACAGAGCAACGCGAAGCCGCATATCGACACTGGCGCAACTCACCTGATAACTGGGAAGTACGCGCACGCCTATGGATACAGTATACTACTATATGCGAAGCATTTTCTGTAAAAGTCAGACGCACACGCAAACTTGCTTTCGCAAAGCTGCTGGCGACGAAAATATCACAGGAGCTATGCTCAAACCAATTGCAAAGCTCTGTCCGTCGTTTTGCGTAAACTGTTCTAGCTCTGTTGGCACTGGTCCTGGGTTTCTATTTTTTGACGCACAGCCCAATATGTCCCCATTCACGAAAGGCATAGCAGCCGCACCTAGCAACTACAGACCAATCAGTCTAACCAGTGTGTTTTGCAGAGTACCCGAGCGGTGCTTACTACCTAAACTTCTAAGCGCAATGCCTGCACCAGATACTCCTGCCCAAGGTGGTTTCCGCCATAGACGTGGAGTATTCGACGAGGAATCGCACTAAACATGCTTATCCGCGAGTATCAACGCCAATATGACGAAACTACCAGTCCTATGCTTTTGTGATATCAAGCAAGCATTCTACTCAACATCACGCGACATAATATGGTCAAAGATACAGGGCAAATCTGCCGAGCGCTCTTTTTCATCTCGTCCGCCACATGTTTGACGTGCCCGTATCTCAGTCATCCTCTATAACCATCAATCCCGCTACATCCACCCGGCACGTGGTGATCTGCAAGGCTCCATCCTGAGTCCACTTCTTTACGCTGTCTTTAAGGACACGCTGCCTCGCCGTCTCCGGATCTCTAAGTACATCAAAAACCATCGCCCACTTCAGCATCGCACTCCACCTCTTATGGGTGTATCTGAAGCGGCAGCTCAAACACAACTCCACAGCGGTAGCAAGAATGGACGTCCGAAGAGAGTTAGGCCAGACACCCACCGAATCCTCGTTCCACCATTACTATATACTAATGATGTGGTATTCCTAGGATCCCACAGGATATGATACATCTCCTACAAGTCGCCGAGCAACATTCGAGAGTCTTAGGCTACTCTTGGCACCCCGTTAAATGCGCCATTATCGATTACTCCCCACCAGTCAACCAACCACATCCTACATTGCGTATCTACAACAAACCACTGCGCACCGTCGAAAAATTCCAATATCTTGGTATTCCATTTATCTTTCAGGGTATTGACGCTCAGTAACTTATCAGCCAACGCACCACCGAAGCAACCGGAGGGATGGCTCTCCTGCGAAGACTCGGTGTTCATCGATATGCCTTGAGTCTTTGGCCCGTATTACGAACATATCGAGCTTTCATCCGCCCGATTTTTGAATATGACCTTGCAAATACCGCCCTATCAGCCACTCAACTCTAAAAGATATATCAAGTAGAAAACAGCTGCGTCAAAATGACATTCAATCGCAACACCACCACCTCATTTCCTACGATCGTACCTCTGGTGGTGCTGCCCGATCTACCATCTATGCAAGCCCGCAACTGAAACCTCTAGTTAAATTTTGTTACCCGTCTACGCCCTCTGCCTGTATCCAGCATGGCTAGAATAATTGAACTCTCGCTGCTTTCGAGTAAGCAAGGCGACGACCATTGGAGGAGAATAGCTACCACCAATCCTCTGCACCAACAATATCAGAAGCTCAAGAACAGGAAAAAGAACAGCCCTCCGAACGACGCAATGGAATTAACGTTCTGCCAAAAGCGGGATGAAGAACCTGCCCGTCGGCGCAGCTCATTCAAAACCATCCGATGCCTCCGGCCATCCAGCATAGTTGACCACATACTCTATCTAGCCGCTTTTCTTACAGACCGTCGTCGCCTCATCAGATGGAGAATGTACTGGCTACCATCCTATCCACTTAAGGATCGTCGTCGCGGAGCACCCCGCGTGGAAAGGGAGCACTACGCCAGCTGCCCATCTCTCACACCACTACTCAGCGGTTGTACACGGCCTTCGGCACTACCCTAACAAATCAAACAACGAGCTACATACTATCGACCATATCATGAGCAACTACCGCGTTCCGATATAGGATTGTCTCGCGGAAAATGGATAACGACCTGGCCGGCATTACTTCGCGTGCTACGTGAAATCGACAGCTTAAGCCGCTCGGACACTAACTACGACACAAATGAACCGGCATCCGAGGAAGCGCTAGACCTGGACAATGTGGCTTCATCACCATCATCACCATCATCCCCACATCCCTCACTACACTCATATCATAGCGTGTATAGACAGCTTTTCTCTCCCCTCCCTCACTTCTTACACCTTCACTTCTCTCTTACTTCCCTTAATATTTTTTTACTTCGTCACCTCTCCTCACCAAACATCTTAATCCGGCTTGACTTTTTCCCTCTCTAGAAGGGTTTTTTCAGTTACAACACCACCTCCTATTATTATTTTTTTTGTCCTCAATCATCGCACCGCAAGAAAGCGACAAGAATGCTATAAGCGTATTGTCGTTAGCCTTCCAATAAAAACGTTAAGAGGCTACTTTATTGTATACGCATATATACTGTATAAATATCCTTGACACTGTTGTTGACAAGGGTCACCACAAAGTGTTTAATATAAATAGTATACTGTATACTATTTTCCAAAGTACATTTAATTTAACTAATATATGTGCCTGTTCTTGATGGAGATCCTGGTACATGACATAAAATGGAGCTTTGAGGGTACGAATAGCGCCAAAGCTATGGTGACCGCATCGAAAAGCATCAACCATTAGTAAAAATACATACAGGATGTAAAAGAACGAAAAAGGAGGGTGGGACAGACTGATTGTAAAGATCAGGTGGGAAAATGTCACTCGTGCATGAAGAGGAAAATATCGACAGCTTGAAGCAAAATTCGATTCTTTTTTTAGAATCAAGTAGCTCTCTCCTTTTTTGTTGAATGTATGACAGTAACATTGCTTCTATTGCATACAAGACTCTCAAGATGATGAAAGATATACTGTATTGTAACAGTATTTTATACGCTACAAATGCTATGATATACTGTAAGAGTTGTCTATTTTTATATCATGGTGTGTTTAAAGAAGTGCTATCACAGTTCTTTTTACACCAGGAAGAAAAGATCGATATACTGAAGGACAATAAGCGCTCCGAGGTTTACCATCGCCCTTCTCTTCTTACTGCATGTACGTATGTATTGTTTGCATAAAAATGACGTAGAAGCCTGCGTAAACTGCTGCATCTCTCACGTTTTATATAAAAGCTTTGCTTTTTGGCGTGTGAGAGAAACCAATTTACCTCCTTTCTTCTTCCTCTGCTATTACTACTTCTACTTTTTACCGCGTTAACAATAATGGTTTTCGGTCACTCATCTTCTTCTTCAGGCGGCGTCCTTACTGTCACCGTTTGTAAGTACAATCGTTTTCCTTCATGACCAAATGCTATAATGAAAAACGCTCGTACTAATGCATGTGCGCTGCATCTCCTTCTTGTAGGTGAAGGCAAGGACTTAAAGGATCAGGATGCCGTTGGAAAGGTAAGACCTTGGCAGCAATAATATCACAGCAGTAAACAAAGGTTGGAGTGACAATGAATGACAGAAATACTAAAAGAATTGTACACTTTCTGCTTTGTTATGTTCTAGAATGATCCCTATGTGTAAGTATATCTTACTGTTCGCTTTTTCACCCGTAATTTGGGATATCATACCCGTTGTAGTCAAACAAAAAGGCTAAAAATCCACTGCATGGACGCATGCTTTATTCTGTGGAGTATAGTGAAATGTGGCTTGATGAAGACTACAAGCAGCGTTCCAGCACCATTAACAACACCAACAACCCTGTATGGAATGAAACTTTCTCTTTCAATGTTCCCGCCGGTTCGCATGACAAGAAGCTCTACTTGAAGGTTCTTGACAAGGATTTGGTCTCGTCGAGCGACAAGATTGGGGATACCAAGGTTGACCTCAAGGACGTATACATGGGCAAACCATTTGAAGGCTGGTAAGTATTGAATAACATCATCTGGGTTGGACAGGAAAAGATTGTCAGCCTGTATGACTGTTAGTGTGTGTGGCTATACATGTTGCTGATTGACACGTCTGGCACTTATATAATAATAGGGTCAAGTTGCCAGCCAAACTTGGATTGTCCAGCCACGGTGAAATTCTCTTGAGGATGCACTTTGCGCCCAATTGAAAAAAAAATAACCTCTTGCCTACCCAAATTTGCAGTCAATAAACATGATGCACAAGCCCATTTTAAAACAAAAACATTGTGCATTGTTTGATGCATACATAGCATATGTGCATGTTGTGTGCAGATACGTCTCATTTGTAACAGTATGGTTTTCCAGTATTGGTGGTAGCTTTCTTCACCTGCTTTATTCTTCATGTGATTACCTTGAAGATGAAATACGCTTCCAAACTCTTTTTGATATGCATATTACGACGGTAGAACCTGTTCAGGCCGGGTAACCCTCAGGTCATATATGCACTACGACTTTTCCTGTGTATGACGTGGCTGAATAGATACCTGCCAAGATTTATTGCATAACGAATAGTACAGTAATGATCAAAAAGCTCTTCTCAAACGAGTTTCTCATTATGTTTTCTGCGACCCATTAGGCACTCACTCTCTTTGATCATGAGAGAACAATGTACACATTACTAATGTTATATATGTATATTTAGCAAGAAATTTAGTCGATGGTCCAATCAACATATTCAGCAACTAATTTAAATTCATAATAACAATTTATGCCCAACCAAGTAAAGTATTACATACACCTCTGCGTGCGATAATTTTTTCCGGTATGAGACAAGTGTCAAGTGAAGTGGTTACAAGTAAATCAAGATTTCCAAGAAAAGCAGGAATACAGTGATCGACTTGTGTAACTCTTACAGGGTCGGAAGGGGCATCCGCTATGACAAAAGTAGAAAATAAGGACGTTGTTGGCATGTCAAGGAATCCTGAGATATCGTTCGGAGTGGAAATGCAAGATCAAGTTTTCTGTGGCAATATAATGAATAGAGATGAAGTTCAAAAAAAGAAGGGTACAAAGAGGGGGGGGTGAAAAGTACAATGATGTTCAAAACTATAGGCTAATGTTTGACGCCACTAGCAGGGTCTCAATTCCATGCCTCTAGACTAACTGTACTTGGACAAGTACGGGGATAACCAATTCATTGGCTTGAGTTGAATTTTACATATGTTTATTGTTACAGGTTTCTATGTTTGTGTACAAAGGAACAGTTGGTTGCTGCATCATAGTAATACGGTTATGTAAACGCAAAGCTTTGCAGTGAATGGTATATTGAGGAAGGTGTGAAGGAGTGAAAGGCTATGAAAATGAGTGACGGAGACAGGACGATATGATTACTAAGCTATTTCGCGGTCCAAGGAGGTAAAACCTTGTTGCAGTTGCTGAAATTACACGGAAAAGGGAATAGAAGGTTGAAGATAAGTAAGGCATGACATACGCTAATGTTTTCATATCTTGTGCAATGCGAGTCCAAAAGCAGCTAACCTCAACCCCATTTTTGACCTGCGTCAGGTCATACAGAAAAGCCACAATGATAGCGCCAATCTCGGGAACCACGATCAGACCAACGTAGAGCGGCCAGCTCAACGTTTCTTCATCATCTAAATCATCTTGAGAAAATGCCATATTACCGACCAGGGCCATATAGTAGGAGAACCGGATCAAAGTGAGGATTCCCAGTGTTGCCAAAACGGGTATCAGTAAGCTTGGATTACTGCGGACGTTGGACAGATATGTTGTTGCTGCTGAGGAGGCTGCAGCGGCGATGCCAGTGCCGCAACGCTTGGTCGCATGAGCCAAGTACATAACAAGCCCCATGTAGACAAGCGTTAAAACGACGAAAAGTAAGGCTCCAACAAACTTTATCAACAATGCCGTATGTGTTTTTTCCACGTCCTCTTCGCCCCCATCCTCTTCCACTAGGTCTTGCTTGATGAGGAATATATCGCCAGCGATACAAATCACCATCACAAGAAAAGTTGTGATAGGTGCCAACAACGATAATACACGTGTGCCACTTCCGCCTCCCCGTAGCCCGACTTGTTGCCACACTTGTAGTAGCCGGAATAACGCCAAGATCATAAATGTCGAGCCGATCGTTTCCAAAATTAACGACGCGTGGAGCGGATAATCGCTTTTGATCCCTTCGCTTTTATCCCATACGATATCGAATACCTTGGCCACTGCCATCAACACTACATAATAGCAGGAATAAGTAGATGTATTGTTGATTCAGATCATATGTCATAGCATATCATGACGCTGTCCCGGTGCCGATGTATACTTACAGCCACTCGCACCCAAGTAAAAATACGGAAGAAAGAACTTGTGCCGTTTCGATTTATCAAATAAAAGGACTGCCCCAATACCGTAGAGGATTCTATTCGAGTAAGCTATACCAAGTCAGTACCAATCATGGAACATTGATACCCTGTTTGCTATGCGTAAACCGTTTTCTCTCTCTTCCCACACTTGTTATCCGTCATCCAAGCCAGATAGCCGGTCTCTCTATATGGGGAAGGTGCCTGTGTATATTCTCTTACCCTGATACTAAAACGACAATAAACTCAGGTGCTGTGAGAGAATGTATATGATCTGTTACACTCATGGTTTTTAAAATGAAAAAAGAAGAAAAAGAGGAAGCCGAGACCTTCGTTTGCATATTTTGACGGTTCTTTTATAGCAAGACGAACGACCGGGTTTCCATGCAAGTTTAGGGTCACGCTATGGTTCATATGATGTAGTGGCGACTGACAAAAGCCTCATTCTTATTAAATAAACAGCACCCAAAAATAGGAGCGAAGCTTTACTGCCGATTTTCAACCCTGATCCCATATTGGCCCACAGAGAAAAGCTTAGTACATACATGCTACGAAGGTAGATTGTGGTATCCAAAAATATACTTTTCTTCTTTTATTGTTGTTGTCGTTAGTTTACACCTGAAAAGGGACAATATTGCGTCGATTCGCTTCTTCCACAATCCATTTGGCCAAAGGTGCCGGTGCCTTGCGTATATCAGCCACAATAACCTGCTCTTGTGTCTCATCAGGCTCTTCCAACGTATTCAATTGTGACTCGAGCATTTTGGCGCCCATAAAATGGTTTTGGCGCCCACCGATTCGCTCCTGCAACAACTCCTTGGAACCCTTCAAATAAACAAAGGTGATTGATGCATATTCGGCTGGCACTTCGCGCATGATATCGCGATACACTTTGCGTAACGAAGAACAAGTCAGCACAACGGCCCGCTGTGTGTTGCTTGGATCTTGTGATTGTAAAGCCTCGGCCTTTTCCTTTAGGGTATCGCGGATCACCCGGAGCCAGGGCCACCGGTCATCGTCATTCAATGGCTCGCCTGATTTATGAAATGCACATTTAAGTTTTAAAGAGCCGTCCATACTTTTACTGTAATTGGCGCAATGACGTTGTAGGGAAGATTGGGGTTTACCTTTGCTCATTTTGTCGACGTTAGCCTGGGGATGCAGAGCGTCACCTTCGATATATTCACAGTGGAGCAGTTCTTGGATTTGTTCGGCAACCGAAGTTTTACCGCACCCGGCGGTACCCATAAGGATGAAGACGGGGACAGGACTTGAACTGTTCACCATGGTTTGCATATAGTATTGGGTAAAGGGCTATAGATGTGAATATATATAATACGATAATTAAATGGAAGAAGGGAATTGCTTTACATGGGTGCATCCGTCAAGTGAGCAAGCTCTTTTTATACTCTTTACGGAAAACTATTGAGCCCGCAACATCCCGCCTACCGAATCATCCCAGTTGCTCCTTTTGTTGGGGTGCTATGTGTTAGCAGAATACACTTCGCTCCTTTGTCGTTGTATCTAGTATAGACGCATCTGGAAGAAAAGAGAGATATCCTTTTCACCATAACGATTATTTGTAAGGTTATATATGCAATAGTTCGTCATTATAATGATGTTGTGCTTTATTGGTTTCCTACAATCGGAGAGTAAGCTTGGCGATGACAGGTCGTAGTATCGAACGGAAGCAATATGTATTACAACGATGATGGTAGCATTTTCAAAAGAAAGTTTTTCTAGAGAAGAAACCTTATCATCTATATCAGATATATAGGTTCTCACTGTATGTAGACCCATATGTAATCAATTTTCCAGACCCACTCAAGAAGTTCCCCACACAAACAAACATGCATCGCATTTTACTCCACATTTTTGTGTCTTTGTTTGCTTCATACCCCAGAGATGAGACGGGGTCGTCGGATTTGAAAAGGCTAAAATGCGGAGATAATGGTAAGGTTTGCTGCTGTTACTGCTGGCGGGCAAAAAAAATATACACTAAAAGCGGAGGAAGAGGTGGGATGATGATGCCGGTAATGGATAAGAACAACAAGGATGACGGGTGGTGGGGAACGGTCATGGTGATGAAGAGGGATGATCTATTGTACTACTGCATATCATGCGGAAGGACGGGAATAGTAATCGAGTAATGACTTTCCATTCCCTTTTTCTCGTAATCGTTCTGCTTCCTCACGCGCCTCGTGTTTCCGTCTTTGTGATTCTGCCTGCAAAATCGCTTTGACTTCAGCTCTACTCAAACACTCGTCCACATGTTGGTTGAAAGCAATATTGTCCAAGTGCAAAAATTGGTTGCAAATTGGACATGCCGCGGGTTCGATATAATCCTGTTCTTCCTGCTGTTCTTCTTGTACATCCCCACCTTCATGCTTCTGCCTTTTCGGTTCTCGGTCGTCGTCGCTGCCGTCTTCATTGATACCTGAATGCCGGTTATCATCATCACCATCACCGTCATAATCATCTGCTGGGGGAGCCGATGCAGCCCGTTTTGCTGGAACCTGCTCTGCCGTTTGGTCCACTCGCGAAAAGAACTAGATTAAGAAAAATGTGATTATGAGTATTTATATATATATATATACCGCAAGTTTGTGTACATTATATCAGAGCCTATCTTCTATGTACCTTTTTGACAGTTGTAGTATCATTTGTACTCTCCAGTGACGACAGTTTTACCCCCATCAATCGCAGACTGACCGGCATTTCTTTAGCAACTAACTACATTATGAAAGGAACGCGCAAGATCCGAGATTTAGTGTCGTTTTTCGAGCAATAGTACAATCTCACTGGGCTAGAGTACTAGCAAAAGATAAGTTCACTAACCTCTTTGGCAACACGTGCAATATCTGCTGCTCGATATACCGAATACGACAAAGTTTTCGCCCGTACTCTTACTTCAAATGATGTCAATTTGATCTTGATACCAACTGTTTTGCCCTATATACAAACACATTAATTAGAAGCTATTACTACAAGAGTACTCCTTGGAAGAGTAAGTGTACCTTGTATCGTTTCTCGGCCAAGTCTTTTTCAAGTAAGACAGCGAGTTCATCTACTTTATCGAATAATGCCTGCTTGCTAGATATTACGGCAAAGGTTCTAGGTATACATTTTCGTTTAAACGATCTAGAACAGGAAAACTCGTTGCAGTCTTTTTCATTACCTTTCAACACTCATACTCTTCTGAGATCTGGATGCTTTGACAGTAGTGGAGCCCATGCCAAGGAACGACTGTAAAATGCTTTTAAAACTAATTGGGCTCAAAAGTCTATATAAAACAGCTCGCCGTCTCTAATCAAGTAAGGCCGTTTTTATGAGAATGTTATTTCGAACCGTGTTTGTACGTCTCCATATCTTTCTTCTTCTCTTCCATACTTACATAAACATCACCACATGTTTCAACTCCCAGCGCAGCAAGAACACGCTCAGTGACCCGTCCAATACCAGGAATCTAATTTATCGTCAGGTTCATTTGAGCTATGCTTATTAGAGGTTATGAAAGCGAGAGGGGTTCTTTTAGTCTTACTGACCTTGCGAATACGCATCTTTTGAATAAAGTCATGGATGGCTTCACGATCATTAGGAAGATCAAACTGGCCATTAGGTTTGTTGATGTCACTGCAAATTTTCGAGAGCATTTTATTTGCTGCAACACCTACCAATACATATCAAATTATGTTAGAATTGCCTTCAAGAATAACAATGTTGATAATGAATAGTAAGAGAGTAAGACTGATGATATATGTTGGCATACCTGCACTAGCTGTCAGTTGGGTATTTTGAGATATCTCATCTCGGATTTGCTGTACAACTGCGGATGCTGTCATATTATGTTCGTTCATATACTATCGTACATAGAAAAACACGGATCACATTCATAAGTCTTTTTTTATCCATAACGAAACTTGATTTACACAGCATCTCGACTTCTCGCCTCTCACCGCAATTGCTTACATTGGTAAGGTTCAAATAGGCCTACCTCGTATTCAAATTTGAGCAATGTAACTGTTAAAACACCATCAACCACTTGAACACATCATCAAGACCAGCGAGAACAACACATACCTCATCGAGACTCATGGGTGAAAAGTTAGGATCATATTTCATAAATACATCCCGAACCTTGTTCGAGGCAGTACGATACCAGTCGTAATGAGGTTTGACAATCTTGAGGTGCGGACACAATTTGAGAGCAATAAATCCAGGCATAGCACTGCGTACACCGAATTTGCGAGCCTCATAATTGCTTGTACTGAGCATGGCCATACCACCAACAGCCATGGGCACTGTTTTCAATTCAGGTTGGTCCAGTTCTTCGACAGAAGCATAAAAGGCATCCATATCGACATGGCAGATATATTGGGTCAGATCTCGCTCATTTTCCAATTCGCGTATCTAGTGATATTATGGATAACTTTTTAGAGCCCTTGATTTTACCTTTTTTTTTATTGGGGCAACAAAGGGTGTGCATACCATGTTATCGACGACTTTTTCTTCGTGTGATAAATCAAGGTTTCGAATTGTCTCATATTTAGCCAACATGGCATCAATACGTTCTGTCAAGGCTTGATCTTTACGACGCTCATTTTCAAAAAATGCTGAACCCTGATTGCAAAAATGAATCAATTCTCTTCTTTCTTTATGCCAAGTCGTGTAATATAGAAAAAAAAGTATGATTCAGAATACCTTGGAGGCTTCATAAATGATTTGATTCACTCTGTCTTTATCGATTGATTCCATACCCGCCTAATAGAAGATGGTTTGCGAGAAGAATGTTTATATGTATATGTGTTTTAACTAACTTGATCGCAGCAGTAGCAGTAGTTTATGTTGTATGTATGTAAATTCTGGCAGACCTTCGTGGCAGCAAGTCCTGCTAATCGTGAGCGCAAAGTTTGACTTGATTGTTGACCATCGTTTTGTGCAGCAGCTTCTTCAGATCGTTCAATATCGTTGTTGCTAGTTTTGCGGATCGCGCTAGTCGAAGAAGAGGCTTCCAACGATTCCAAAAGCTCATCGATCGTTAGATCGTCGTCGAATTCGTCTGGTTGCGATAACTCATTCTGTAATAGAAGGTCGTCTTCATCATATATTCCATCGTCGTCTTCAAAATAACCAGACATTGGACTCTATGATCGTTGAACGATTAACGAGAATAAGCTGTGAGAAGGTTAAAGAAAAGAACAGAGACTGTGTGCGAGTGATCATCCGCAGCATATGAAATGCAGTGGGTTTGAATTTGAGGGTGTGGCGCCACACAATTGCTGATATGACAATAAAACCGCGGTCAGTATCTGTTGTAAATAATATGCCAGCTGCCGAAAACAGCTTCTTTTTTATTTGACAACCCTTTAGCCTTTAGCAAATAATGGCGACGACACGACCATTTACGCGACTTTTCCAACCACGCGTTTTCCAGCAAAACATTACACGACGATTCGCCACTCCATTCCGTTCCTATGCAACCACACAGAATCTAGAGAATATCTATGATATCGTTATTGTTGGTGGTGGCATTGCAGGAACTGCCCTGGCTTGTTCACTAGGTATTTTTTCCAGAGTTTCAAGAACGATTCTGTTTTTTTCATTTCCACCATTATTAACAAAATAAACTATGTTTTAAGCCGCCAATCCCACCATGCGCGATTATCGCGTCGCGCTTATTGAGGCAATGGACCTATCAAATACCAACAGCTGGACACCTATTCCAAACCAATATTCAAATCGTGTCGTATCACTGACACCTCATGCGCTTAAATACTTCTCCAGTAAGGTCTTAAAAAACACCCAGCATAGATTAATATATTCAGTTGTTATCAGAGATAATGAAGAAAAAGGGCTAACGCATATGTAACGCTATTGCATTTTTTATAATCAGAAATCGGCGTGACTGATCAACTGTATCGAGATCGTCTGTGCCCTTACAGCCGGATGCAAGTGTGGGATGGTGTCACAGATGCAAGGATCGAATTTGACACAGCCTTGCTGGAGCAGCTGGGCATCAACTTGGACGAAAAGGATACTGCCATCGCATATATGGTGGAAAACGTACACTTACAGCACGCCATCTTAAAGCATTTGGAGGCATGTCGTGGTGTCGGTGCTAGTGTGGATACTTTCCAGAAAGTTCGTGTAGAGGATATCAGTTTGGAGAAGAAAAATCCGGAACAACAGCAACAAGAAGAAGGGCTGGATCTGGCAGATTGGCCCGTGATTGAGTTAAATAATGGCATGTCGTTAAAAGCACGCCTTTTGGTATGTTAAAAAAGTGGATATAGAAATCGTGAAGAATGGCGGAAATAAACCTTTGGTGCGAGTAACTAACATGATCATTTTTCCAACTGATTGACAGGTAGGTGCAGATGGAATCAACAGCCCAGTACGGAGCTTTGCCAACATTGAATCTTTGGGATGGGACTACAATATGCATGGCGTCGTTGCTACATTCAAAGTGGACTCCTCACGACCATGTGATACATCCTTTCAACGCTTCTTACCCACTGGACCTATTGCCATGCTACCGGTATATACGCTGAACAGGCTTCTCTTTTTGTTTTCCCATTTGCGTCATTTTGCTAACTGGAAGAGTTTGTCTTCTTTTCCTTCCTGTATATATATGTATATATAGCTGGCAAATGGGTATGCATCTATGGTCTGGTCATCACCACCTCATATTGCCACTAAACTTAAGAAAATGCCAGCCGATGCATTCTGTACACTTGTCAACGCTGCCTTCCGGCTGTCACCCGCCGATCTCAAGTTCCTATACTCTCAACTCGATAAAGACACCTTTGAACCGACCGTCGATTTTCAATCCGAATTTGACTGGCGTCAAAAAGTAAACAAGCACGGCTTGAATGAAATGGAAGTCATTGAACGCGAATTGAGTTTCCCGCCTCTGGTTAAAAGTGTTGAAGAAAAAAGTCGGGCTAGTTTCCCGTTGCGTCTGCGAAACTCACAATCGTATTTTGCCAACCGTGTTGTACTTGTTGGGTAATCCTTCTTTCATGGCTACATATCTGAAATGACATTGAGAGAGAGAGAGAGAGAGATTAGAAGGTGATAAGATTTCTAACGTTTAAACGGCTTACCTTTTATTCGTTTTATTCGTGCTCTCTATGGATGAATCTGGATCGGATTGGCTATCTAGTGATGCGGCACATACGGTACATCCGTTGGCAGGTCAGGGTCTGAATCAGGGAATTTTAGACGTCGAGTGCCTTGCAGATGTTTTACAACAGGGTGCAGCAAATGGCCAAGATATTGGCAACATCCACCTATTGCGAGAGTATGCGTCAGTCCGGTACCTGCGCAACCTTGTCATGATCAGCGCATGCGATAAACTACACCGTCTCTACACAACTGATTTCGCACCTGTTACCTGGATACGGTCGTTAGGATTATCAGCTGTTAACAGCCTTGATTTTGTAAAGGTAAAGATGAATAGAATACATACCGGGATCAGCTTACTCACTTTAGTTCTCTCTTTAATGTGGTAGGCTGAAATCATGAAATATGCAATGGGTATTGAATATACCGGAACGCAGAGCGGACAGACACAAGAACAACAACAACAACAACAAAGCTCTTCGTAGCTTAGCATAATCGTTCATGATCATTGTCATATATAATATCAATATTAGACCTTACACTCAGTTGGATAACCAGTCTGTTTTATGCGAATCCATTTTTTTTTCAGGAGGCGCTCGCACTCACGGGGGCTGGGAGCGAAAAAAAGGAAAAGGCCAGATGATGTTGCGGAATCACAAAAACTATCTGGGAAAGAACGGACAGGTTGTTCTAAAGAAGAGCCCTCTTTCTAGTGCGAAATCCAGATATCCGTTCCCGAACAAATTATATCTACAATCTCATTATATCGTAGGCAAGACTACGCTTATTGACCCAGCAACTTGTTTTTCTATGATTCTCGGTGAGAAAAGGGAACGGGAAGCCCCCCTCTCTTTCCCCTCTCCCTGTGGTCCCTTGCAAGAAGGGATGCAGCAAGGCATCGCGCATATATTTTTTTTTCTTTGAAGAAACCGGACCGGAGCTCTATGACGCTATGTAACGTTGGTTGAAAACTCAGCGCGCCAAAAAGTTCGCTTGTTTCACTCGCGCCCAAGAAAAAAAAAAGACCTCTCTAGAAAACTTGTCCATAAAGCATAATGAGCCGAGACGACGAATACGACTATCTCTTCAAAGGTAAAGAAAAAGAAAGAAATTGGGAACGTGTGAAACGGAATGGTAAAGATGGAGAGAGGGGATTGTTCATGATGTTTCGTGTTTTAGTTGTACTTATTGGAGATTCCGGTGTCGGAAAGTATGTATCGTTTCGCCCGCCCTGTATATCTATCTTCTTTTCTTCACGCACCCTCTTTCTCTCATCAGAGTCACTGGTTCAAGGCTACTAACACCAGCTTTAAAAAATACTTGCTTGTTGCATATGAACCAAAAGGACCAACCTACTTGCAAGATTCACGAGAAACGAGTTTAATCTTGATTCCAAGAGTACCATTGGTGTTGAGTTCGCTACTCGAAGTGTCCAAGTAGATAACAAGACCGTCAAGGCCCAAATCTGGGACACAGGTAAGACTGAGAACGACTTGAAGCATAAGAGAGAGACGAAGAATACAAGACGTGCTTCTGCTCATCTGGAATGAATAATGGCTTTGCGCTTTTATTAGCTGGTCAGGAGCGTTACAGAGCTATCACTAGCGCGTAAGTTGGGAGAATGAGAAAATGATGCTGGGCTGTTTGGAGGAGTAGATCGAATGAAAGAGAGAACGAGCGACAGGAGAGATTGAGCTGCTCTGATACAGATGGCAACATCGTGTAGTTATTACCGTGGCGCTGTGGGAGCCCTCCTTGTGTACGATATTGCGAAATACGCCACCTATGAGAACGTTATGCGGTGGTTGAAGGAGCTGCGCGATCACGCCGACTCAAATATCGTTGTGATGCTTGTAGGCAACAAGAGCGATTTGAGACATTTGCGTGCTGTGCCTACGGAAGAGGCCAAGCAATTTGCAGGTTAGGGCGATTAGACATGGGGAAAACGAGCACATTAATTGCACTCATTATCTGTCGATATTCAAACGTGTCTCCTTGAACTGGTCTATTTATTACATGTTTATTAGCTGACAACGGCCTTTCCTTTATTGAGACATCTGCGCTGGACTCAAGCAACGTTGAGCTGGCCTTCCAACGCATCCTGACAGGTAAATTGTGTCCCTTGTACACGACAGCTGCCAACGAGAAAAAGAAGATAAAGTACTCACATCACAGACGACGACGTGTTATGCAGAGATTTACCGCATTGTTTCAAACAAGGCACTCGAGTCCTCGTCGGGCGGAACGATCCAGCCCACGGCGGGTGAAACCATCTCCGTATCCAGGGCACCCGATGAGCAGAAACAGGGCGGTTGCTGTTGAGGAACAAGCGTTCATTGGTCCTTCTCTCCCAGCACCCACTCTTTCGTAATCTGGGTGGGGAAAGATGCCACTCTTATAAACGTTGCATAGGGCAAACCTAAATGTTCTTTTTTTGTGTCAATCCCTTGGTCTGATTGTGTGGTGTCATGCAAGTAGCATCTTAATAATTGGGGGGGGGAGGCGGGGGCGGGTAACCAAGCACGTGAATTGAATTTCGAAGGTAGTTGAGCACGATCATTAAATAGTTAGCCTATTTCAGCATCTCACTAACACCACCATCGTCTCTCTTTTTCCTTCTCCTCAACCTCCCACACCTTCATATGCCACCACAGCCCGAGTCGACCACACCTCCATTACAACGCAGCAAAGCCAATTTATCAGAGATACTAGCGACATTAAAACCCTACATCCATGCTCTCGTTGTCTTCGCTCGCTTATTACAATGGAAGCCACTCGACAACAACCAAACGAACCCAATGGTCCTTGTAGTGCTGCTGTGGACAGCTCTATGCTTCCATCATAAACTGCTTCTGGGCATCGTGGCGCCTGTCCTCATTGTATCTGTTCTCCTCACCTCGTCTACTATGGCAACACCAGATACGTCAAAGACCCGACCACACGGCCGTCGACGCAGCACCGCCAGCAATAGTAGCGACAAAGAACAGACTCTCGAGAATGACGATCCCATTCTGTCTGAAATTACTCACGACTTGGCCGAACTTGCCAAATTACTCTCATTTGCTTTTGTCATTGACCACAACAATAAGAACGACGGTTACTCTGAAAACAATAACAAAAAGGGAAAATCCGATGCGGATCACCAAAGGACCCGGCAGCTTGCTGTTGGCGTCTGCTTGATGCTGTTTTGGCAGTGGATATTACACACTTCCCGACTTTATCACTTGGTATGGCTCACTGGATGCATGTTTCTGACCTGGTGGAGCCCTTGGGTCCATGCGCTACGACACATGATTTGCCATATAAGAAAAGCAATGACGACAATGACAACAACGACGCCATCATCGCTGACGACGTGCTCTGATGCAGCTTCTACGACCGCCGTCAAGCAAGAACTCGACCGACTGTATTGCTTCAGCATCTACGAGCACCAGCGGTGGTGGCTCCATCGTGGTTGGAGCAATTTCCTGCTCCCGCATGATCGCCCCGAATGGTAATATTCAATTTATCGCCCCATTTATTGGTCGATACATCTAGAAACCGCTCTGTCCGTTTCTCCTGATCAATAACCTTTATTTCTTTGTATATATGTAATATACTACTGTACTATACCAACTAGGTCGGACGAGTACCTGGAGCCTACGCCGTCGATCCATGCATTCAACCTGCCTCCCTCTAGTACGTCTAGCCACTGGGTCTGGGTCGATCCTTCTTGGAATACGGACAAGAGTGGCGTGGTTACAAAAGACGACGGTGGTTGGGAATATGGCAACTGGGATTGGAAAGCGTGGAGCAACAAGGCCACCGGACTCAGCGTGCTAACTCGACGACGTCGGTGGATTCGCTGTGCACGACGTGTGGAATGCACGAGTGACGCTGATGTGGAGTCAATTGCTGCAGGTGCTTCTGCAGCATCAACACAAAAGGCGGAAAGTGTAGCATCATCGCCGCTATCTTCTGGCTGCTCTTCTCCATCCTTGCTGTTCTCCCCTAAACCCCGACCGACTTCGTTGCTTACGCATAGGACATTGTCCTCCATCACCACCATCTCCTCTTCGACTTCTTCTTCCTTGTCGACATCATGTGATTCGCCTCTTTCAAGCCCTTTCCCACTCACAACGACAACCACTACTGCCACGGGAAAAGATTGTGGAACGCACTTTTGGCTACACAGATAAGAAGAGCCACTCACTCCAGTGGAAGGAAGCAGAGGTGTACATATTCGTTCTTTCTCTCTCTCTTTTTTTTTTCTTTTCGTTGTTCAGATACCCCCTTTCCTGTGCTTTTTCTTTTGTTGCAACTATTACTGTTTATTACCTTTCTTATTCTTACTACTACTACTACTACTACTACTTACTGATAATACTTACTCTGTCTTACTGTACTGATACACAATACATATGTGAATGTATTCTCTTTCTCTATTCAATTTTGATTTTGGAGGGAAAAATAAAAACTTGCTACATTTGCTTTTCAAGTGCCAATAAGTTTTGTAATCTGTGCTCTGCAAAACTTTATTGTGGAGCAAGTGGATTCCCAAAATGCAATACACGACGTAGGTGAGAGAGCACACACACCGCATGTATAACTTGGCTGTAGTTATGCAAGCGAAGTGAGGTGCACCGGGAATACATGTGATATGTGGCAAACTAAAAAGACACCCTTTGCACTACCAACCGAGTGCCAAAAGGACATGTGATCTCTTATTATTGGTGAATTCTGACGCGCATTAATTAAGTAGACAGTTTGGTTTAAATTTTTTTACATATACTTTGAATGGAGACTGCTAAACAATAAAATATTTCAAAAATAATGGAGCGTTTAAGTAGCAGCAGGCATGCTATGGGCATGCATACAGCGGTCTCTTTTATTAAGGATTTCTTTTGGGAGCGAAAAGCGAGGAGGCAGCGAAATAATGTGTCAATTGAGAAACGAGAGCATATCGCTATGTATGCAAATACTACATGCTTGTAATGCTTGTTTGACCCAAGAAAGAAGAATCGGCTTTATGCAAGAAGACGTGCTTGAGGAGACCCACTTGACCGATCTCTGCATGATTTTCTCTTGCTGTTACTTTCAATAAGTCATTTATTCATTATTATATCATATCCATTATACATGGGAGATAATGTTAAAATGCAATAGTGTTTCCTGTTCCATTATAATACGTACGCATATTAGTAGCTTTTTAATAATTAAAATATATATATACACCTGAAGCGGGAGTAACTTATACACATTTGGAACATAAACAAAGTAACCCACCGGCACACCCATACTGTATTTATTTTACAGCATAACATGTATGTACTAGCTCTCTTTTATGTTGCGGGTGCTTCATAAATACATCTTTGAAAATATTGGTTTGGAAATTAGCTGCAATAAAACATTGAGGTATCTTGAAAATCCGGAATTTTTAATGCCTACGAGACGAAGTTGTTTTTTCGAATCATAGCTGTAGCATCAAAAGAAAGGAAGTAATTTAAAATGAGCAGAGTGTGAGGTGGAGCAAATTCCTGCTTTGATATATCAACTCATATTTTATGAAATCATGCCACAGCACGCCGGTTGTATCCTTATGAATACGCCCACAATAGCACTTACCCATATTTGGCCCTGCGTCAGTAACGGAGCACGTTCGTCTCATCATCACGCTGATATATACGATCAAAGTTGACGAGACGAGAGAAACCCCAATTGTCTTCTTCTGAGGTAAACCTATGACGAACAGCTAATAAAGCAAATAAGAGTTGAGATACAGATATAAATGATGTCGATGTAGCGAAGGAACTTGAAGAGCAGTATCCATTACCATAGCTTACATACAGTAGTGGGTGTGTAAGCCGATCATTAACCTAACACAATAAATAGATGCAGTGGGGCTAATTAGTATATTTGGCAATACAAACAGTACGTATAATATGAAAATGTTGACACTCATTTTTTACCTTAAACCTTCTCCAATATATCTCGCGCCAGCTGCAGATGCAGTACAGACGGAAGTTGGTCAATTACGCTTCGTTTACCAAACACATGATTCGATAGAGCCTCAGAAAGATCCAAAAATCCATCGACGTCAAGGGCAATATGTAGGTGAAACAATACATGGTTATCCTAGCACATTATATACCCGGTAAAAAAAATATAACTATCATACTAACCACATTCACATTGACCGCTTGCATAGCGAACACCACAAACTCTTCGATAAAGACTTGATATTTCAGTATTCTGTGGTTTTCGTTGCCCTCATTTGAGAAGGAGGAGCCAGTGATAGAGTATTAATATATTTATCCTGGCTTATTCCGCGTGCTAAGGCACTTTGAAGGGCTTGCTTCAATTCAATAACATCTTGTTGCATAAACATTCAAATGAAGTCCGGCCAAATGACTTGGTTAGATGGTAGGTGTCTAGTAGATATCATTTAGTTTTCATATACTCACATAGTAGTAACAGCAATTTATAAACAACCTCACTATCATATAATGCATTTTTGTGTTGCTGTCTACTAATTGTAGTATGACAACGTGTGCAGTGGCCATCACAGCAGTCGTATTTCTTATCTACTGCTTTAGCGGAGGATTGCAAGTGAAAGAAAAATTCTTGTAGTTCTGCGGGATGCTGTATGATAGCTATGAAACTCTATGAGCATCCGCGGTATTTTATGACTTTCACCACTGCTCGTCTTAATTGTCTAGAAGCGTTACCACCGCCCGCCAACGCATTTCTATGTATCGTTACCGCTTTAGCTTGCTTCTCTCCGTGTATTACTGGTGCTAGTGTATTTGATGACAGCGATATTTACAGATCTTCTTTTGCCCTTCCGTATATCCGTCACCGCAGTTGTTATGATCAGGCTGAATTTAATGTATATATTTAAACACGGTTGTTTGTTTTTGCTATACGATGTCATAGAAGAGGGACGCCATCGTACGCCTCTTGAAAATATTAGCTGGCGTCATTAAGTGTACACGACAAGAAAAAAAGGGTACAAAAATGTATCTGTACTAGAATTTACGTTAATAGTGGTGATCAGCAATGCAATAATATAATTCAGTATGCATTGAAGTCTTGGAAGAATGAGTTTATTTACTGTTTACTTAGTGTAATGTAACAAGATACCGGCTAATATAAGGGATATTATGTATATACTGTAGTATAAGAGTGCTGTTGTCGTTTTCTAATAAGTTTAATGAATATTTCTCCAATAAAAGGATGATGAATGTAAGGCATATGTTAGAGATATAGAAGTTTAAGCATAGCCTAATGTAAGAAATATACGGACTTGATATGATAGCTTGTGTTGTTGCAGTAATGTGAGTTTGTCAAGAGATTTTAGCATTGTAGTTTTGAGTCGTATGGTTGTGAGTTTTGTACATCAATAGCAAACGGTTGATGTTGCTTATATGCTCCAAAAGTAAGCCTTCGTGATATTCTTTTTGAAACTTTACGATGCAGTTGAGAGCTTTGTTGCTGCTCTAAGCTATTTGGATCAAAGTTGCTGCTAAGAGCACTGCTGAACCCACTTGCACTGCCGATGGGATCCAAGCTGAGATTGTTGCAGTCGCCTTGTTGTGTTTGATGCTCATGCGGATGCCTTTGTTGTTGTTGGTAATCGAAATCACCCCATGACGTCGTGGAAGCGACACCACTATCCCTATAATCGTTTTCTCTCCGACAAAATGAGGATATACTTCTTAATGATCGTATGGTAGGTACACGGCGGAAGAAGCGAGATGATCGTTGACTCAAAGCTCCTGATTCACCGCCGAAAAGGCGCGATCGTCTGCTAACGCGCCGTAGCGATCCCATGCCAATAGTATATCCGAGTGCCTATCAGACAGCAAGTTTGTTCCTCATGGTAATTAGATATGCAACGATCAAACGATGGCTAGCATCTCGGTTATATCACTCATTTTTACCTGAACCCAATTAGAATGTGTATCCAGGCTCATGCATTGAACTTTAATTTCTCGATCTTCAGCTCGAAAAACCAAGACAGGTATCTGTTTTTCATCCTTGGGGATTTCGACAACAAATGACTTGATACGCGCTATAGTTCAGTGATAGTAGTTAGTATACATGATGTTTCTCTACTTCATTCTCTCGCCCCCTTCCTTCCGCTACAAGTCGTGTTACTTCATTGAATGAATACAAATGATAATGATAATATATTACCGCTTTTAGGAGATTCTGATGTGGCACGGTTCTTCCAATACAAAGTTCTGGCACCTGGCTCTAACCAAACAAAACGAAGGTGACGTCGCTCGGTGGAGAAGCCTACCCGCGTGGTCTTATTGCGTGTGAACTTCCACATCCAGTCTCCTGTTGCAAGAACCTTTTTGTGCTTGAGACGGATACCATCGGTTACTAATAGCTGGTTTTCGTCGACGCGGAGGAGTGATGATGAAGACATAGCAGATAAAGTGCGACGAAGTCTCACGCTGGTTGATAAACTGCGGCGCATTATCTTGCCGCAGTGTTGATTGTCGTTGTCGTTATATTCGACTCGCTGATGTTGCTGCCTCCGTTCTTCATCGGCGATCGTATCTAAATTTGACACCGGAGGGAGCTCTGTAAATGTCCATGTGTGTGGCCTATCTTGCTGGTGCTGACATTGTTTTTTTACGATGCATACGCCGTAATCTTCGTCATCCAATTGATGCTTTTGCTGCTCGCGAGTTATCACACAGTCAATGGCAGTTCTCTCTTCATGCTCTTTCTTTTGTTGACAACGTGTCGAGATATCGTCGATGTTTCTTGCAGTCGGGTCAGAGGTGTAGCTGCTGGCATCATCATCATCGTAGTCCTCGATACCGTCGCCGATGTTCCGTACATGCTCGTCGACCAGCTTTTTAGTAATTTGATATCGCTTGTCCTGCTCCTTATCTTTGTTTGATGAGCTCAAACTAGTCTCAACAATCGTAGGCTGTGGGGAGGTTGATAACAGAGCGGCTGCCTCCTTTCGTCGCTGCTGAACCATTTCATTGAGCTGTGACATTTGCTCACTGTTGTCGCTATCTTCACGGGACCATGAGTCTTGAACAGCTTTTAAAAGCTCCAACTCTTGGTTTACGAGTGTTTGCTGCCGGATCATACGTGCCTGGTCCATGTGCGAACGTGCTAGCGCTTGGTTTAGTGCCTGGTTTTGTTCCATTTGCTCTTGTCGGCTGACTTCAAGATTCCATATTTCGGCATTTAATCGTTCTATTAGGAAGGAGTTACAGTTGTAATGTCAACAAAAAACGTATTTTCTCTTTGTCCCTTCTCTTTGCCATATATGTATGTAGTGATAATAGTGATGGAACTTGCCTTCAGTTTCACATTTAGACCGTAAGCGATCCGCTAACAAGTCAAGATTTCGTTGTATATCCAGTTTTTCCAACCTTAATGCTGATATGGTTTGTTCCTGGCTCTGTATGGTTTGTTGCATAGTGCGGATTTTCGATAAGAGATTATGACTAATTTCCGTGGCGAGATTGATATCAATTTTGTATCTATTGGCATGTTTTTTCTCGACTGTCGTTGTGTTCGATGTGGCAGTTGAACCAGATGTTGCTGCTGATGTACTAAGAAGTGGCAAACTATTCGTCATAATGGGTTTTCGTGGCACCGTCATAGAATTGTCGCCATCTTCATTTGTAGTAGCATCAGGACGTAGCGGTAAATATTTTTGTTGATGGTGGGAATCGTAAAATGTCATAATAACATCAAACAGTGCAAAGAAAAAAAAATCAAGGAAATGGAGAAATAAAAGAAACCAGTGGAATAGGAAAGCATCATAATATTCTATATAAAGGATTATGCAAATGACCAAATACAGCAGCAAGCATATGATAACCAACACCTAGCAAGCTCTAGTGCGAGGAAAGAAGATGTAGAGATACGATGGGGAGTGGTCCCCTTTTCCTTATATTTAGGGACATTTAATATAACCGCGTATGCATCCCATCAACGGGGTCTTCACCCTCTTGTTTTAATCTTTCAGCGAACGACTTTTCGGCGTTTCCTTCATCATCTTTTATTGACACATACTATCTGGCAATTATCAGACAGTGAGAAATGTAGGTCAACGATATAAAAAGATAAAATAAGCTCTAAGTAGTATCGTATCTATATATTCTGTACCAGGCACGAAACATATGGCAAACTGCGGATTGAGTATATGAAGCTTTTTAAAGTGATGACATGAAGCATCATCATTCAAATACAAACTGAAATCTTGCAGTGTCATGCATATGTGATTATGCATGCCTGGAGATGGTACTCGTGAACATGTTGTAAATTTTACCTTTTTCCACCGCAACGTGGCTTGAAATGTAATTTGAAATACTGTCTATTGGAGGGATTCAAAGCAAAAACTTTGTTTCCCGTAAATTTTTAATGCGAACTGCTAAGGTTGTTTTCTCTTTCTCTATGGCCGGTTCCTTTCCGAATTTTAACGGTAAAGAAAGCATGCATTTAAGACATTACCGATGCTCTTCTTGCATGCATAAATTTACGTAAACCATCAAGGAATTGATGATAGGTAGTTATCATAGGTTGGTAAAAGAGAGTGTGTGTACAGCGCTTAAGCACGGACCAGTTACTATATTCACGCACTCTATATCAATTACACTCTGGAAGCAAATCCAATGGCAAAGAATATTTTAAAAACTTGGCGAACATATACCACCTTAGACCATAGTAACCGATGATTCAAAACTTTGTATAAGATATGCTTACAATAAGTGTGGTGATATATGAATGAGCTTCATCGCTTACAAGTTCGGCTCTGCAGTCAATCGTGATGCCTTGCATTGAAGTGTTAGCGGATTGTTTTGCCACGGAGAACAATAAATTGTTCTTAAAAAAACTGATCAATTTCAAATTCTGCTCAAATCGCACAGATATAACTACTACGTATCATAAGCATTTTCACGTACAGTAAGGGACATGGTAACGCTTTTCAAAAAAAGGGGGTCAGTGAAAGGCAGTTTCTCCGAAATTTTATAATAGCTGTAAAGGATCATGCCTGCTAACAAAATAAAAATTCGGCATTTACATTTTGCTTTCGTCCTCCGTCTCTTCCAACACATACCCTCGACGCTTGCTCTAGCACTATGGATTTATTTCGAATAACACGAACTACTTGGGCTCCTGCCGATATATTTGAATCATATGTCATTTGCTATCGGAATCAAAGCATAGGCGTGCGGCTACGTCAGATGAAAATGTATCCGCAACCATTGAGTGGACTGTGACAAGTGCTGTTCTGTACGAAAAGAAAGACGAGTAAAACGCGTTTGCGTTTGATATCATAGTGAGCCAACGCTCCTTTTATATATGCGCTTTGCAGTGTGGTTTCTCGGGGAAACTCTTGTATTGCTACTTACCAATCAAAAATTTAAAAACGATACAAAGATGTTTTAGCGCAACCATCCATCGGTTGCCCTGGGAACCAAAAGCGTGTAGCGGGACAGACACGATCCTTCCAATAGGGGGTTTCACGCTTGGGATAATTTGATGCGGCAAAGTCATAATCACGGATAAACTTTCAACATGAGCTGTTACGCGTTTCGCGTCAACGTTACTTAAATTTTGCACGTTTCTGTTACCTTATTTCACACACTACGTTATTACCTTCCACCTTCCAATGTCAAAAATCAGTCAACGACAAAGGACATTACGTGAAATTAATAAGCTCATCCAGAAAAGCATGCAACGACAGCTGCTTTGCAACGACGAAAGCGAATTGCTCCAAGAAGAAGAAGATTGCGATGAGCTTCTTGACATTTACGTTGGCATCAGCAGCCATCGATACCTCAATCCTCGCGGTCACGTTCCAAAACTGCAAGACGAATCAAGGGAACGATTATTGGAGCAGGCTGCACCCAGTCCGGAGCCACAGAATGAGGAGGTGAACAGCATTGCTTCCAGCAGGGTAGAAAGCGGCTCTGACAATGACGACGACGACGACGATAATGTGCCACGCGGCAGAAACTTTACTGCCGTTTACTCGGTCAATGAAGCCAAACGACGCAAGTTAGAGTCGAAAAATCTCAAGCTCGAGCATGAGAGACTGCAATTGGAGAAGGCGCGATTGGCAGAACAGAAACGTGCGTCCCAGGCACAAGAACAGCAGACTTACGCTAGTGACAGAACCAAGTTTTTCATTGAGCTGTTGAAACTTGGAAAGACTACTGACGAAGCCAAACAGATAATTGAAAATGTATACGAGTAGTCACTGGCATTTTATGTATAAACAAAAGTTTATTGTCTAGATGTAAAATCAACTACAATGTTTTTCAGGAGGTCTCTTTTCCCTTCTGCGTCTGAAAGCTGTGATGATGTGCTATGCTCATTGCTTCCATTATCGTTTTCAGTGTCCGGATCCCATTTATCATTGCGTCGGAAGAGATAGTTATGGAGAAGACATGTTGCAACGATTATATTGTTTAGCTTTTCGAATTCGTCCTTGGATCTCAGTTGCAATGGGACATTCTTCAAAAAGCGCCACCTTCCTTTCAATATACCAATCGTATTTTCAACAGCCACCCTACCTGATGCATGCTGGAAGTTGAACGTTTCGTAATCCTTGTGCAGTCGGGCTGTTGGACTGCGGTATGGGGTGATCAGACGCGTCGTAAGCCCATATCCAGAATCACCAATTAAATATTCGTTTCCTGAAAAATGGGCATCAGGAAACAGTCCTGGAAGAGATTGGCTGCTAAATACGCTTGCGTCGCTCATAGAACCAGGGCATCCGCAACAGATGGATCGGATATAGCGGTTATCATCACATATGATCTGAAGATTCATGGAGTAGCGTGATTTGCGGTTGAAGTAAACTTCGCCTTGTTCTTTGGGTCTTTGAGCAAAGTTGATATGAGTGCCATCGACAAAACCGACACACCAGGGGAAGCCGGTCTTGGATTCTATGCGCGCAGCAATCGACTTGCGTTCTTCTTCAACAGGCCAAGACAAAAATCAGTCAACATCAACTTCTTGATCACCCCAGTCACGCGATAGAAACATTTGCTGACAAAGCCTGTAGACATACCCCATTCCGTTCCGCCTGACCACTTCTCAAAGTTTTCGCGAATAGTAAGCCGGTTGACCATTACTTCGCATACTTCATTTGGGGTGTGATCTCGGCTGACCTATTGTAGACAAAAAAATATCAAAAATTAACTTTAATTCAATCAAGTGAAAGCTAACATTAGTAACTTTTCCCCTACAATTGAAGTCGCATTATGGATCATGGTGGTTGCAATTATGGTGTGTTCGTTTGTCATGTTGAGCAGATAGGAGTAAAGTTTATTTCACCGCGGCTAACGCGTGTAGTTCCATCCCAGAATTCGCAAGTCACAAGCGCACGAAAGGCGCTCTGAGATTTTGGATGCCGAAGAACATGACATGTCAATATTTGTGCCGCATAACTGAACCAGTGGTGTGCCGAGCACATATGGCACTACTGTAAGAGGGTGGCAGTGGCATGAGTGAATAATCGGACGAGACACAAGTAGCATGAAGCATGTCAAATATTGTTTGTATTCCTAAAGTTCATTCTAACCCAACCTCGGCTTGTGCAAATTTTTAAAAGGCTTGGTCTCAAAATCAGAAGTCTGAGTGTATTAGTAGAAGAAACGAAAAAATACTAAGCATATATACAGAACTACACATCACATTCTCTACTATTAGAACAAAAAAAAAGATTGCGACGAACCGATCCTTAGCTTCCAAATTAGGAAGGTCTAAAGGAAAGAATGAAAATGATGCCCCAGCTTTTTGTCTCGCTACAACGGAAATGGAACTGTGTTGGTTGAAGAAGAGTACTATGTATCTTTATGATTGGGATGCCATCATCTAGACGTGTGTCAAAATGGGCGAAAAGAGGTTTTCCAGTATGATCAACCGCTGCAATAGCTGCTTCCGGAAAGTATTGTGTATGACCCTAAATTCAATTTCACCTAAATGCAAGGCTACATCAACACGACCTGATGAACTACCGTTCATTGCTATCTCGGAGGTCAACTTGTCAAATTTCTCACATTCCTAGTTCCGAATTAGCTGATGTGGGAGCAGTTTGCATGCGAAAGCGCACCCGATGTGATCCCCGCTATACTAGGTGTACATTTAATACATAGTCACGGCCTACTCCGCGGCAGCTGAGGAGGATTGTACACAAGGAAATTCTTCATGGTACCATCTGTTGAGTGTTTGTTCCATGTGTTTACTATACTACCATTATATGGCACGTACGGGTTCACGATAATACAGCTTACTTGATGATATATTGGATGGGTCAATCAAAACACATAACACGCTATTTGCAATATGTACTAGTTGGTATTTCTGTGCACATCATATTAAAAGTGCAGTGGTGCCCCAAATTCAACCTGAAAGGGGGCTGAAAAATCGTCGAAGGTTGACACTTCAAAGCGGGAGAGATTAAAGCTCTGCCATATTCATGAAGCGGGTACGCGAGAATACTGAAGTGATTTAAAGATTGATGCTATTGAAGTAAAATAAAACAGGGAACCACTGTATGTATTGTAGCACACATGCTGCGTGGTCTGCGTGTGCAACGGTCGGTTACGCATTATGCAGTGTACAACATCTCTTGTGTTGCATAGTGCAACAATGAGTGTGGTACTTCCTTGTTAGTTCTGAAAGAGGCGGATCTCAAGGAAAATACTACATTCAGATGTAAGTAAGCTTATGGATATAATAGGAAGAATAATAAATAAAAGAGTGATAATGATAATGAATAATGATAACGGGCGAGAGCGTATTAAGAAACAAGAGGTAGTAATTGTGGGGTGAAGTGGGGTCGTTATAAGTCAGTTGTGCGTATGTGATTGCGGTATAAGACCTGCTACAATAATATGCTCAAAGTGTGAGTTGGTTGATTGATTGGGAATAGAGACATGCATGCTTATAAGAAAAAATAAGAGAAATAGAAAACAGATTTAGTGTACTCGGACTACTTTGGCGCCTAACGCAGCACTCCGGTTGCTTTTGGCAACGACCGGCTGCTGCTGCTGCTGCTGCTGCTGCTGCTGTTGTTGTTGTTTGTCAATTGAAGCTTTCCGACTATTACTGATGAATGCAGACGGCACAGACTGCCTTCGCGACGACTTGATATCGGAAGTGCTAATTGAATGTGGCGATTCCGGCTGAAGCTTCTTGGATTCGCTTTGTATCTTGCTACTGCCGACAGATACGGGTCGCTTCTTGCTGTTATGACCGTCCTGGTATGCGAATCGAAGCAAACGTCCCGGCCGCCGTCCATCTTTATCCTCGCTAGTGGCCCCAGTTTCTTGCGGTTCTCGGGTCGAAGCGTGCCGACGGCCTGTTGTGCTGATCCCCATCATTAACCGTGCCGTTCGTGATTCACCTGGTGGACACTTGCGTCGGAACATGGAGAGTCGTTTCGTGGGCGGCTCTTCATCCTCTACTTTGCGTCCACCGTATGACAACAGCACCTTAGGACGCGCAGCGGCTGTTGATCGTTTTTTCGCAGACGAAGATGGCGATGTAGGCGAGGACTTGTTGCTTTTGTTGGATACGTTGCTTCCTGTGGACGACGATGGCGACTCGTTTTCGTTTTTGGTTTTATTACTGTTTGGCTTTTTCGGGAGTTTCTTTTTGTTTTCCGAGCTGGTTGTTTTCTTTTTGTAAAGTAGCAAACTGCTGCTTTGCGATGATGGCGTCGTGTTGCTTCGAACCAATGGTTTCCGTATAGGCTTGTTATCGGAACCCGGCGGTGGGAGTTGTGAGTGTGGCGTTTCTTTGGGCAATCGCACTGATTTAGCTCTCCGGAGCTTCTTTTCCGTCGAGGTAGCTTTGGGCGGTGGCGGCAGCGTCATGGCTTTGAACATCGGCAGCCGTGAGCCTTGGCCCCAGTGTGCGTCCGATATCGATTGCCGTTTTCGAACTACGTTAAGCACCTTCTCTTGTGCCGATGCTGTTGCGGCTTCCTCTTGAGAAAGCTTGAATGCGCGAAGCGGTAATCGGCAGCGACGAATATCGGATACGATTGGCCGGTGCTTTTGTTGTTGACGTATCGCTTGAGTGTCCGCAGTTGCTGCAGATCCAGCAGCAGACGCTGCATCATCTGCTGCATCGGGCGAATCTCGCTGAAGAGACGGTGTCTTTGATGGAGGGTTATCGGCGGCAGCATCGTTCATGCCCGTGTCATCTGTTGCAGTTGTTGCAGAAGCAGCAGCAACAGTAGCAGCGATAGGTGATGCAGAAAGTGGTTGTTGCTGCTCGGTAGCCTGTTTATTGTTGGTGACATCCGAAAGGCCAATATCAATGTCATGCAGCGTTTCCAGGGCCCGCAGTTTTTGAAGCGCCGTAACCATCGCTGCATCGTCGTCCATGTTTTCGTCCTCGTCGACAGACATCTTTTCGTTGTACATGTCTTCATGCGCCAGTAGTTCGTCTTCCCTTTCTTCTTCTTCTTCGGACATGGGCGTCGGCTCGCGCTCAACGCGGTTCGCAGGGAAGAGTGGCTCGGGATCGTAATCGCACAGGAACGGATGCTAAAAAAGGAAATCACCCGTTGTCAGTTTCTTTTTGTCAAACAATAGAAGAGGGGTTTCAAAGGACACACGTGTGAGTGTGCGCTTACGATCTTTACCTGAAGCAGACCAGAAGCCGAAGCTCTGCCCCGAGGGTCAGGACTGAGGCATTGATCCAGCAAATCTACCAGTCGAGAGGGAAGGTCGCTTGGATACGCTGGTTTGCCGTTGTCGAGGATACGTTGCTTTATCTGTCACCATGCTATTAATACCATGCCAACACATTGCCAGAGAGAAGAGAAGCATGTGGAAAGAGGAAGATGGTCGGGGGGGGGCGGAAGGGGGTGGGAGGGGAGGGGGAAAACCAATAAAAGTGATAGCGATGGCAAAACAAATATACCTCTTCTTCATTCAACTTTTCGTCTTCATAGGGCGCCTTGCCTCCATTCAAGATCTCAAGGATTACAATACCCAGGGCCCAGATGTCGATTTTTCGGTTTACGATTCTTTTCTGCACGAGTTCAGGTGACCAGAATAAAACAACGCCAGCTTCTTCCACATTGGAATCTGCAGCAGGAGTAATCGATACCACCCCAAAGTCACCTAATCGCAGCACCCAGACAACAAAACAAACACGTTAACATGCAAGAGTTACACACACTAACGCACATATCTGTTGGCGAGAGTTATTCCTTACCGATGACAATCTGGTTCGTTTCTTCTACCAGAAAAATATTGTCACACTTAATATCCCGATGGATGTATCCATGACCATGGATTTCTGCTAACCCAGATGCGATCTAGTACATAGCCACCATGTCGTTAGCTGTTATTTCAGAATGAGAGATGTCCCCCTTTCTAGGTATCCCAACACTTTTCTATAGTAGCAGTGGAAAAGAAGTGTTTACCGATTGGACTATATGAACAAGCTGGCCTATGGTCAGGTGGTGCTCAAACACATATTGTTGCAGTGACCCGCCTGTACAATACGGCATGATCAAGTAGACAAACTCGTTATGCAGGTAGACGCCTAGGAGTTTGAGGGTATTGGGGTGGTCGCATTTCGTCATTGTATAAATCTCGTTCTCCACCAGCTCTTTGGGCATGATAAAGAGATCAGGGTAAATGTCGGATTCCTCAACGAGGTATTTCTTTATAGCAACTCGGGTATAGGGCGCTTGTCGGCTTCTGCATCGGTAAACGCCACCTTGGGCGCTAAACCAGGTTGGCTCCTCATCCAAACCGTCAAAGTAAGCGCTAGGGTCGTCGTTGTATACTGGAACTCCGTTGACGTGTTGCATCAGAGAAAGCGTTTGAGAAATGAGGGAGACAGACAGAGAGAGAGAGAGAGAGAGCGAATATATGTGCACTATGTATGTCCAAAGCACAGCAACAAAAGAGAATAAAGGAGGAGTTTGGTGGGGGTGAGAGAAAAGTTTATACGGTTATTTTGTCGTTTGCGTTTTCTTCTTTGGAAATGAGAAAGAAAGAGAAACAAGAGAGAGGCAACAGCGGCCTCAAAGGTTTTGCTATACGAGCAAGTATGTATAAGTCCTGTGGAAGGAAGAAAAAAAAAAAAAGGGGGGGGGGGAAAGAGAAAACTGTCGCTTTTACCCCGAATCACACACAGGGAGCGCTTAGATGTCTCTGACTCCGATTCACACACTATTACAAGCACCTCACAGTTGCCAAATCGATTCTTTTCGCCTCTGCTGCGATCCACATTGAGCGCCACGGCTTGCTTTGTGAATGTCCTTTCGCGCCGCAAGGAGCAAATTGGTGCCACTTGTGGTTGCCATTTTCAAGCCTGCCTTCCAAATTCAAATTCGGCGTATGCAAGTGATAGTATTTCAATACTGACAGTAGCAGTACCAGGCTAGCAAAAAAGTGGCGTTGCCGTGTTGTCGTCTGCGTGTCCCCTGTTTCTCTCACTTCTCCCATCAAATTTCCGTCACGCGCTCTACCTATGTCACATATACAGCTTTATTGATCAACCGCCTCAGTAATACGTGGATTATGCATTCATTATACCACATGATCCGAATGGCTGACCGAGAATCTCCATATATTGCTTTATTGAAAGAGTGACGGAAGACACTACTTTGTTGCTACTATTGATGATAATGTTACGTTCTTCTCTGGCTACTCACTCAGATCGCCTTTTTTAAGTAAAAAACAGCCAAGAGTCTACACAGCAATATTGACTTTAATATCATACATCATAATCCAAACAATGTCGTCAAGCTTTGCTTACAGCTGCCTTTGACTTTAGCAAAGACAAATAGTACTATACTTCATCATATTATATCATTATTGACAAAGATGTTTAGCGGTCATTCATACCTCCTTAATGGCGTTGCGGTGGATTAATTCATACAGTATGTGTCTTGTAACCCGTGATTACCTTTTGGAAACACTTACACTTCTTTTCAATTCTCTTTTTAGAGCACGATTGTAACAGTAGCTTCCTGCACATATCACTTTTATGTGTGTTAAAAAATTGCTGCTGCTGCGTTAATGTCTCGGAATTGTGGCATCCTATATATCTGTTATCATATGCAAGGAAATCGTGCTGTTGCTGGTTGCCTTCTTTTTGGCTACTACGTAACTAATTATTTTTCAGGGGTGTACTGTATATGCTGGTAAGAATCTTAATTATTAGTGTCTCTGTTAATAATATGATAAAAACTACCCTCTAGGTCTCATGATTGAAGTTTGTTAGTTGGTCTAGGCCCACTTTGTATATGTGCATAGTCGGTCATTATGTACTTGATACAACGTAAGAACTCGTCTAACTACATGGTAAATCTCATACCACTGCGTATATGATGGTAAGAGGAACCAAGGTCCAATAATTCTAATTTTAAACAGTAGGACACCTGCAACATCTTATTTCATAGCATTCTGATGTCGCATATTTGATACATTTACATATGCAATAGATATAAATAAAGAGTGCTTGTAGTTTATTATAACATCAACGCTTTCATCTTTGACTAACTATAGATCAATCCTTATGTACATTCGTGAAAAATGAGGAAGAGATATCATGAAGGAAGTTATTTTATTATGCTATTGCTACTTCTTTTCGTCCCCCTCATTTCTAGAAACGTTTATACTTTTATGCGAGCCAGCGTTAGCAAACTTTGCTAGAGACTGACAACAGCAATATCATTAAGACTATGCGTCTATGACAGACCGAGAAATACTACCAGCAATAACTTCTGTAGCAATATGAAATGGTTACTGTCGAGGCCGCGAGAAGTATGCATTCTAGAGCCGCGTGTCATCGCATATATAGAGATAAGCGTAGTAGAACGATGAAAGTAAAAAAAAAGCTTATAAACTTGGCTTGCGTTTAAAGCTATCAAATGTATACTATGTATTGTACCACTTAAATAGACTGCAGAGGAAGTGGTTATACTTTGTAATTGGATTCAGGATATTTAAAACAATGGCTTGCACGCATTTGACAAAGTATTATTGTAATTCTCGTCCTACACTACGTGAAGGGATGGATTTGAAATTTTCACCGGTCATTTCACTGTCTCCAACTGTATGTACCTTAAAACTGCAAGCATATAAAACTTGACATACGTACATCGCCAGAGACAGACAATATGTATTGCTATCGCTTTGACGATCCTTAGTAAAATATCACCTATACTTTCTGTTGCGTGTACTCAAAAGTCATTTTTGTAAATACTGACGTCATTTTTTGTCTTAAGCAAATGAAAAAGAGATGTATTTTTGCCATTTTGAGACGCATTGCCGGACTTTTTTTCTTTTGCAGACCAAACTCTTGGCTCTTTTCTCCTTCTTCTTTTTAAACCAACTACTACACCATGCAACGTCTTTTCAACAACAACGCAAATAACGACTGTGATGGCTGGCGCGACAAACTGGTGGGCAAAGTACTCTTGAAGCCAAATGAAGAAACCACGCTTACAGCAGACAAGGTAATACATTTATTATACTAAGAGATTCACCAAAAATGATGGAAAAGATGGTTGCTAAAAAGTTGTTCATATATATATATATAATAACACAAATATAAAAGGTCGTCCGTGAGAACGAGCTTCCATCGCAACATAGAATCATTCCTCCCAACGGAGTTATCACAATGGACTTTCGGACTGATCGACTAAACGTAAATGTGGATGATAACCGTACAGTACGCTCTGTACACTACGGCTAATATCGGGATCACGAGGAGGACTTGAAGGGGGGAAAAAAAGTGTATGCAAAGTAGTAAATAAAATGTAAATGGTACAAAAAAAAATAGAAAGAGGGAGAGAGTGTGATATAGATGAGGATTATTCAAGAGACCATTCGCGACTGCGCTTCAACCATTTGTTGAGAAGAAGCGTAAAGTCTCGCAGGACAAAAGCACAGACGATTTTCTCCAGCGTCTCTGCACATGTTTGCAGTCTTGACAGTAGGAGTGCGTATGACAAAACCTTGTCCTGGGAAACTCGGCCAACGATCTCCGTGTATTGCATTCGCCAGGAATCTATTCATGTTTTCGGTGCCATAGTTAGAATCATTACAAATGAGAAAAACGACAAAAGAGGAATCCTTACCCAACACTTGTGCCGATGTAAATACTTGAATGAGTGCTTGAATGTATGTACTATGTTGATGCTCACTATTGCAGACATGTATTATAAGTGTCAGACTGGATACGAGTATTGAAGAGCGTGTCCCCCCCCTCCACATCATAAAAGAAACTTACGATGTCCGTGAACTTTCCAGCTTCATCCGTTCAACAGACTTGGAAAGCTTGTTACCCCAAGCAGCAATGGTCTAATATCGAAGCGCGGGAGTTAGCACAAAACTTGTGACATGGATCATATTCGTTTTCCCTTTTTACCTGTGAGGTTTTGTTGCTTGTTGACACAGTCGATGGATGGTGGTATGATGAAGAAGGTGATAGATTAAGTGTAGGGTTTGACAGAGTGGCGCCATCATTTGCCGCTGCCGCTTCTTCTAGAGTGTGATTGTCATGCCGTTTATCAAAAAGTTTCAACTTTCGAGCAAAACATTCCTTGATCTGTTCTAGAACTTGTTCTAACGTCGTCAATTCCTTGGTAACTTTTGAAAGTTGCTGCTGATCATTGTCTAACGCATTCATCCGTTCCAGTACAGGGATCAGCAATTCGCATGCGGCTAGCTTAGCATCCACTGCAGGTAGTCGGACGCTGGGTTGATGCCTTTCGTGTTTTTCAGTTGGAGAAAAGAAAGATGAGCAAGATGGATAGATAGAAAGAACATGTAAGTATATTCTCTTATGCTTCTTTCTCTCCGCCAACTCTATGCTGTATAAGCTCACCATAATTGTTTTGGTACATAAAGCTTGTCGGTAAGATAACCGCCATCCACAAGACATCGTAATATCCGTTGAGTTAGCGGTAGATCGTTTACACCAGCCTTTGGCTCTGGATCACTTAAAAACACGGCTGGGTCGATTTTCGGCTGTTCCATGAACTGTGTTCGTTCCTTGGGAGATAAAGCCAGCGACGGCACGGATGCAGAAAACAACGAGGTATTCGGACGAGATTGCAGATCAAAGGAGGACCAGCCATTTCGACTGCTTGTTTGAGACGAAGGGGAGGAGATGGTGGTTGGCGATGAGGAGGAGGCGACGGAGTGGCGTGAAGCGGCACTGGCATTGCTAGCACTGCGAGTGCGTGTTGAGCTTGCCCTGCTAGTAGGAGGATTATTACTTTGTAAGTTGAGGGGAGGGAGACTTGGCTCATGCTTCTTTTTACTAGTTCTTTGGGAATGATTGCTGCTTTGCTGTTGCTGCCCTGGCCGTCGTGCGGAAAATGTATGTGCTCGCCAAAAGGAGGATAATCCCTGGCCATTATTGTTGGAAGAAGAGGATGACGCAGGGACCAGGGGTGGTGACGATGAGGATGCTGATGCGGATGATGATGTCGTAGATGATGAGGATTTGCTGCGCTCTACTGGTAGAGTCACCGCTGACATGTCGTTGCGGCTGTTTCTGCTGCTGGTGCTGTCTTTTTTGGCGTGCTTAGGGATGCTTTGTTTTCTAGGTGGAGGTACAATCGAGGGTGCTGCTGCATCTGTTTCGACTGCTTCGTTGGACTTTTCCAAAACCTTCACCAGCGTATCCATTACATCGTCCATACTCGTTGCTGCTTCTTCAAGCAATGGATCCACTGAAAGGTAGTATTTGTTGTTGCTGCTCAAGCGCTTGTTGCTGCTGATAATGTTGTCGCTCGTGTCGTCAGATAGAGCAGTGATAGTCGCAGCATTTTTCTTGATAGGAGTAGGCTTACTGAGCACCGAGTATCGAGAAGCAGTCGTGTTCATTAACAAATCACTCGCACCCACCGATCCAAAACCAAAATAGTCTTCATCATTGGGCGTTGCTGACAACTCGGGCAGTGGTAAGCTTGGTGGGGGTAATTGTTCGTTGCCTTGTTTGTCCATTGAATCAGATGAGTGGCGTTTGGTTCTGTCTGCTAATTAACGTCAAAAAAAAAAGTTAAAATACACCGGTACTCGATAGTTTATGCAGACAATTTTTCTTTAATTATACCATTCTGTAGCCACATTCGCGGGGACCGATTAAATGGTGCGATAGGTGTGCTTCTTGATGGTTTGGGTCCTGTAGATGATGATGACGATAAATCGTGCATAGACGCATTCTCTTTGCCGTACTTTGCATGAGATCCCTTCTTTGCGAATAATGATGTAAACAGCGATGATCCGCTGGCTTTTGAGGAGTCAACCGTGTAAGCAGATGCCGCATCGTCATTGTCGTCGTGAGTCATGGATGTAGGTCGGGATTTCGCTTTGCGTTTATTCATGGGCAAGCGCCAAGACGAGGAAGAAGATGGAGATAAGGTATCGGTCACTGCACGCATATCTTTGACAACAATGCTTTCTGGTTGATTCCGTTCTGCAGTGATGATGGTAGGGTTGGTAGTAGTAGTAGTAGTAGTAGTAGTAGTAGTAGTATTAGTAGTGTTGGCGGTTGTAGAGTCGATGGAAGGGGACAGAGTTCGTATACGTTCGGTGTAAGAGTCGCACTAGGTAGAGAAGAAAGAGAGGTTATCAGAAGAAAAAGGAAGAAGACGTATTTCATCATTATTATAGTCGTAGTAATCATCACTGTGATCGTCATTCAGGTTTTTCTTTTATTCCTCGATCGCCCCTCCGTTCTCTTTTTCTTTGCAAAAGTGAATTCCTCCCCCTTCTTGGGTCACTCCACACTCTCTTCTTCCTTCTCTTTCCTAAAGGCTTCTCCCAAACCCCACGTCGGGAATACAACCATGCTATTGTATTACATTCTTCCCCTTGGAAATTATGCAGTGCATTAACTTTTCTCGCACACAAAGAGAAGAAACCACCACCAGCACCATCTTTCAAAATAGAAAGGAGGTGAAGGGGTTGAAGGAGGTCTTTTCAGGATAAGTGATAATGATGAAGATGATTGAATAATGATACTTACAATCTTTTGTAATCGAAGACGATCGTTGCGGAGCGGATCTGTTGCCAAGACATCTTGCAACAAGGCAACAGCTTCTTCGTACGCTCGAACAGCGCCTCGGAAATCATTTGCTGAATCGAGTAGCACGGCTGCATTAGCCTTCTCCAGTGCTGTTTCAATTTGAGTTTTCTGAATTGTTTCATCGTCATCGTCGTCGTCGTCGGCTTCCTTGATGCTTTTTTGTCGAGTATGTCCCGTAAGCTTGGGCATACTTTTGTTGGCGTGGCGATATCCACCGAAAAAGTTACGTTTTTTATCCCTGGTTTGCATTCGTCAACGGAGGGAGAATGGTGTGGGGGGGGGAAGAGAAGAGAACGAAAATAAGTGAATGAAGGAATGAAAAGAAAAGCGAGGAGGAAATAGGAGGTAAGTCGATCGAGATCCCTTTTGTTTTGAGTATTGATAGTTATACAGTCCGTGTGTATGAATTTAAAAGGTTGTGAAAAGGTCGCTGTTCTCGGCCATGCAAATAGTTATTGATTCGGTGATGAAAAGCATAACTACATGATATGCGAAATAGAGCAAGTTTGCAATCAGGGCTCATTGAGTCTTTTTGTGCATTGCCTCCCGAGATCAATTACTTACGCTAAAGACAACAACGAAATTAAGACATACACGCGCACGCACACATACATACACACACACAACAGGCAGGTATAGGTAGATAGATGGTTATGAAATAAAAAACACAGAGAGAGAGAGAGAGAAGAACAAGTGTAGTGGTTTGTCTCTCGCTCGGTTTTCCCTAGGTTTCCAAACTCGGAGAGCTGCAGGGTTGAGCGGTCGATACATTTTTTAATTTTACGGTTGTGGCACCATAGCTCTTTCCGGACCTACTAGGCGCATGCCGTGAGCCTATGAGATGGCAGGATTGGATATTGCTGCAGAAAAAGCAAGAATAGGCTTGACCGATGTCTAATAAGCATGCGCCAATGGCAATGCTTACGCGCACATACACACGCAAACAAGAGAAGAAAGAGAGCAAGAAGCTATCGATCAAGAAATATAGCTCCAAATTCTGCTTCCCCGGTGCGATCGTCGCAGAAACTTCATTTTAAGGTTTTGGGTTTTTTTTTATAGAAATTCATAGCTTACATCATAAAACACTTTGCTTTATCGATTACCGATGCTTCCCCACCAGCACTCGTTTTGCTTTCCGCTCATTTATGAATTAATATGAGAAATTGACCTTTCAGCATAAAAATAGGAATTATTGTTTATTTTTAACCTTTTTGGAAATGAATACAATTTAATCAGGATTTTTAATCGATGTGGCAAGTAGAAAAGAAAGAGAATCCCTCGACAAAATGGGAGCTGAAGAAGCGGCGTTATCAAAAGGCGCCCAAAGCACACCTATTACATGTTTGTTTGCTGACGTTGCTGACGTTGGTCGGTAGCACAATTGGGCTAACAAAAAGAACGTGGCAAAAGCACGCGCCGCGGCGGATTTTGTCTTGCCACGATCGACCTGTACCTGAGTGAAATCTTCGATGGCCAAGTCCACGACAGAGTTCCTGAGCTTTGCTGAGTTGGTGAGTTGGGATTGCCCCAAAAGACCCGCTCATGTGATAGCAGCACTTGAAAAGGATATACGCTTTCCAAACAATAACGGACGATGATCGGAAGTACAATTATCCAGCAAAGCGCGAGTGACCGAGGGAGGGCAATGGGGGGGGTGCCAAAAAGAGGACAGATGCCATATATGGGTGGTATTATTATTTATAACAAACGGCAGTGGAAGCGGTGGTCGTAAATAAGAATTTCAATAATTTCATCTCTTTACTTTTGACAACCGGGCCGAGAAATACATACAAGCGTTCGTGTGTGGATTAAAATAAAAAAGAAACTGCTCAAAGTTCAATTTGACCAGTGTGTCACAAAATCTGTCGATCAATTCCTTTTTCTGAGCCATGTCCCGACGTCAAGAGCAAGGCCCTTCTCAGTAGCAAGCGGTAAACACGACCACATAACTGAAGGGATTGGAGAAGGGTGTGTTTGATGGAAGTCTTACGCGCGAAAGTATACGATTACACATCATCTTTAATTTGCTGCCACGAGATCAAGTCCCTAGAGGTAACATGGGCAGCGGAAATTAAGCAAGAGCTGCATATTCCGTGGACCTTTTTGTTCGTGACGATAAGCCAGTAAGCTGCAGTGTAACTTGACGGTCCCCCAGTCATTGCGTATGCAATCGTCATCACCGCCAACAAAAAAAGAGAGTAGATGTGTGTGTGTGGGTTTTCGCATGAGACGCAAGGGCGAAACATGATGAAAATTCGTCTATCGCGCCCAACCTTGGTAGAGACCCACTCTGGGTGACCTGTTTCAACTGGGTAGCGTGGATGCTCCTACTACAGCTACTTTTTCTTTACCACTGCAAGCATCCTACATAGCAGCTGTCTGAGCACCAACAGTCGCTAACCTTACAAGCTGTCAATAATAATAAACGTTCTCCCCGCCCTTTCTCGCTCTACCATTTCAGTCGAATAAAGCCGCCACACACAGAGAGGAAGGGAGGGTCATTGAGAGCGGATAAAAAGGTATCGAACACTGAGTCCATTTTGCAGTTTGTCGCTAACAACTCGTGTAGAATAGCCGTATTGGCTTTTGACGAGTTTCTTTTTTGGACTCATTCCCGGGGTAAGCATGAAGTTGCCCATTTTTTCTCTTTTTTTTTTTTCGTTTCGGGCAAATCACTGAATTCCATGACTTTTGGATCAAATTGATTTACAGCGGCGAATTGCCCGTGGTTCCTTTTCACTTTCGCGCGAAAGAAGGCTTGGGCTATTTCCCACCTTGGTAGGACAGGAACTCAACCACTCCACTGATTGGCTAATCACATCAAAGTACCGGGATCGCGGATCGGCAACAAACACGTAATCATGTCGATGATGGCCATTGTTGTTGTCACCAAATCCATAAACAGCGAACTAAAGAGCTAAGTGTTACCTAAGGGAAAAAAAAAGGGGGGGTGTGTGTGGACGATGATGAGGGTGGAGCAGAGGGACCTAGAGCTAGCGAGAGCGCGCAGGAAAGGGCTGCTGCTGCTGCTGCTGCTGCTACTGCTAAAGAGGTATGTGGTGCATTCACACATACTTTACACCGTAATAACCACACATATCATTCACACTCACACAGGTAGTGTTTAGCGGAGGCTAAAGGGAAAGGGGGGGGGAGGGGGAGGATGAAAAGTAATAGAACAAGTTTGGATTACCGAACAGGGAAATTAAAACAAAAATTTTTGGAGTTGCCTTATAATAAAAAGGGACACTTTTTTTGCCGCCTTTTTTCGAACTTCTTTTTGCTCTTGTCTCTTTACCTCTTCTTCTTCTTCTACTTCTTCTGCGTCTATTGTTCCATACATCCTGTGCATCAAATCACCCCACCTTGCCGTCTGCCTGTCTGCCTGCTCATTAAACACCACCAGTCCCTCCTTACTGACAGACACACAAGCAGCCCTTGCGTACACACGCCACTCGCACGCACACACATCCTCGGCACAATACAGAAAGGAATACGAGCCAACAACACTACAACGCGTGCTGTACCCCCATTTCAACAACAACAACAACAGCAACAACAGCAACAGCAATAAGCCCCATTGCTGCCATCAGCCAATTGCTCGTTCATTCTGTCAACACTCTCTTTTTTTTTGCGCTCGAACCCTCCTCTTTTGTACAAAGCAGAACGCAAAAAAAAAAAGTTTAAATAATGTATACCAACTATCCCTCGGAGACGCCCTACTATTCTCAGCCTGCGTCTGCTGCAGGTGGTCAGATCCCGGTCATGACCTGGAACCCACCTCAGCAACCTCAAGTTGTGTCGTCACCACCAAACCCTCCTCCTCAGCATCATCATCATCATCAACAGCATCACCACCATCACCAACAGCAGCAGCAGCAGCATCGCGTGCGAAGCTCAGCTCAATTGGAGAAGTCTGGTGTTGCACCTCCACAGCAACAGCAACAACAGCAACAGCAGCAGCAGCACTTTGATAACGCCATGGTTACTCCGCGACCTCATTCATTTCCTGTAATGCCCGCCGAAACACCGATCATGGCTCAACAGCAGCAGCAGCAGCAGCCAAAGTTAACAACTTCATTTTGGGAAGACGAAGGCACCATCTGTTATCAAGTAGATGCTAGAGGCTATTGTGTGGCTCGACGCCAAGGTACTATCTTGCCCAAATAACGCCCCCCCCTCCTCTTCCCCCGGGCACCAAATACCATCTATCTTTTCTTGTTACTTATCATTATGTTTTTCTTACAATGTAGACAACGATATGGTGAACGGTACCAAGCTTTTGAACGTCGTGGGCATGTCCCGTGGCAAGCGTGATGGTATTCTCAAGAACGAACGGGGCCGCGTCGTCGTCAAGGTCGGTGCTATGCACTTGAAAGGTGTTTGGTAAGTCTCGTCGTCTCAAGGCCCTCCCGCCCCCCCCCCTCTATCCGACGTACCTTCTTGATAATAATTAACAAAAACAATCATCAATCAATTAGGATAACAATTTCGCGTGCAAAAGCCCTGGCCGCTCAATACAATATCTCTGATTTGTTACATCCCTTGTTCACCGATGACCCTGCCGTCTTTTTCTACGCAGCTCCTCCGCCACCTCCACCGATGCTTTCGATGCCACCCGGATACTACTATCCTCATTCACATTTTGCTCCACCTCCACCGCCACCACCCTACCTTCGCCATCACCATCATG